TAGTTGCATTACCGTATCCATACAGAACAGAATTACCTCTTCCACTAAACCGATTTCTGTTATTTGATTATGCGAAAAACACCTTCTCATTGAGAAGGCTTCGTTTTCCTTCCAAACGCAAAAATCCAACAACAACCAACCCACCGTCAACCTTTAACGTTAATCCAACAATAACAAGATTAAATTAAAAATTAAAATTAATCTAGAATTTAAAAAAATCGCGTTGTCACGACCTTGATTCATTTATCTAATAAAAACAACTTTACAAAAATTACTTTTCTTCGCAATTTTTTTGTTAATTTCGTTTTTCTTTTGATGTCGTAAAATGATCTTTTACCATCTGACCCACTTCTTCTTGGGTCCGATGTCATTTCATCTTTCGTGAAAGAAATCCGAGAGCATAACGCTCGGATATCAAATACACAAACGTGACTGGGTGCAATAAAATGCACTCGAAACGAAGTTGTTTTTACTTTTTGCCAATTTAACTCAACGACCAGACACGAAGTATGCGGCACGTGCTGTCTTCAACATCACACAGTTGTTACGTTTTATTTATTATTACTTTTTTGATTTGATTTATTCAATCTTTAACACAACTTAAAACAAAGTGTAGCAAAAACTAAAAGAAGAAATCTAATTAAATCTGAAACGGAAGCAAACGGCAGAAAAGGAAACATTCATGAATTACTGCCATATTGAATCAAATCAGCTTAACACTTGCTGTAATATTGGCTAAATTTAAGACATAGACTCTTTGACTTCATCTGATTATGGTGGAATGGCACGATTTCAACTGAGAAAGCTTGCGGCCGAGGTTCTATACATGATGTAACGCCTCGGCATCGATGACAATCCTGCTGAAATCTTCAAAGATGGTGGGTTTCCACCTACTAATCGCGGAGATATGGAAAGTGGGAAATATCATGGAATATCATTGCTATGCACTGGATACAAGATATTGACCATGTATCAACTATTTACAGTTAAGCAAATGCTAAGTTATACAACAAAATAACATGTACACATTTACATTTGAAACTTTCTTTTTTTTTAGTTGAATTAAATACAGTTTGTGTTTCGACCGACCTTCGAATCTTGTAATCCGATTCCGTTCGTTAAAGATGAGGCGTGAGGTCGGGGACTTATTTAATTACATCAATTGCTCAGCGTCAAATGGCAACTACACCCACATTTTTTAAAATAAAAATTTTAAACAAAAACAACACAATACACATTCAAAACGGTAGCTGTTCCTCAATTTTTTCACATTCCATTAACTGGATAAAGACTTTAATGTCTAAAATAGAAAGTTGTTAACCGGTTATAAAGTATTTCCTTTTTAGTTTCCGGCCAAAAATCAATACGCCACCGGAATAACTCCAATTAGAATCCAGTTTCCTAGGGACATCAGGTGGAGATTGTGGAGATTGCGGAGATTTCAAGGTTTAATGGAAAACCAACCCTGCTTGAAATCGATTCATGGTAGAAAGAGATGGAAATCGGGGAGTATTTGAGAAGGACCTCTCCTTTCTCGACGTTTTCCTCGTTAACACCATTAAGGTCAAAATTCTCTTGTAACGAGACAATAACTAAGTGGTTAACGATCTTTATTCGAAGACCTATGAACTCTCTCTGGCGCCAGTTAACTAGGTCAAACAGTATCTATACTTTTTATTTTCCAATTTGTAAATTATCTTTTTTTTTACAAATTAATTTTTTAATTTCTCCCTAATTGAATAACATCAAAACCCCACCCACCCACGAAAACACGTGTTTAGCGAACAATTAACATCTCGCCACGCCAATTAGCGGATGGAGGACTATAAATAGACACAATGACGGAACGAGATAGGGGAGAGGAAGTGCGGAAGTTCCACTTCCGGCGGGCGGCGATGACAAGGCATTCATTCACAGAACTGAATCTTAAACGAAACCGAAACGAGATAAAATAATTTCTATTTATGACAAACTTAAAACGCAATTAATTTGTTTCATCTAAATCAACGCCTTAAGCTTAGGAAAGTTTTCTCCTCTTTAAAACACGTTTCCGCATGAATATTCATGGGGATTCCATACACTTTCAACTTTCAGCGCGCGATGAAGAAGACCTTAAACATCTTAATGTCTCATTTTGGACCTCGAAACAACTTGATTTAGTGCTTTTGATAAGCCTAGTGTTAGTTCTTGTGACAGTGCTAGTGTTAGTTGACTAGTCAGTCATTTGAAACAACTAGTCAATAAAAGATGGAGCTAGTGCGAAATTATAAATTAAATTGCTCGCGTGTATTGAAAGTTAATAGCTTTTTTATGACTTCTTTGTAAGATGTTACACACGTCATTAATTATTACTCATTGAATTCCAATTTCCATATCTTAATATGTATGGTTCGGAATTTACTTCAACGCACACAAGTATTAGGTGTACCCGATACAATTGATCAATACGAGGAGGAGGAGTGAATATCAACAGGTCACGTGATGATGTGTTAATATAAATGCATAGTTGAACAACACATTCTAGGTGTGAAACGTTATTGATTATTAATAACAGTAATAAAGATAGTCGCCATAAAAGAATTTTGCAGTTAATTTAGGTCATTTGACCGGACGAGAACCATCTCTAATCTATCCAGCCTCCGCGTTTCAGTTAAAAATATCCCGTCGTGTCCTCAAAACCAAAATTGCGTTTCAAAAAATTTCACAATCAGAACAAGGAACAAGACGATATTTCTCCCGGGGATTTAAACGAATTCCCTCCGACACCTGTGATTCAAAAAGTTTTCTCTCTCCGGTGGTCCGTGGAAAAAGCAATTAAACGGAATGTAATTGGATGTCTCCTGGTGGAGACAAGAGTAAAACGAGTTGTCGTGGGAGACGTCTTCGTCGGTGGAACGAAAGAAAGAGGAAAAGGAGAGCTCCAAAAACTGGTACAACACGCGCACAGGCGAAAGGATGTGCATTCCAACGCGGTTGCTCGATAGTTATTTGCGCTTTCCTTTCCTTACCACAAAATTGCAAAATCTTGCAAATGTAAAACGACTCAGCATGCAAAGTAGGTAACGCACTTGTATGTACGCAACTAAATAAATCAAATCAAATAAGGAAATAAAGTATGTCACTTAAAATGTCAATTGAAATGTCACTTTTATGTTTCAAATTGAGGACTATTTTTGATATTTATACTGACATAATAACGGAAGGATTTCTTTTTGTACGTGAGATTTATAACGTAGACATTCCGTTAATTGATGATTTGTATTCTGACTGGTTTCAAGTTGAGTAAGCATTACTGCGTTTGAACGTCCTTTATGTATTGTTGCATTCTTAAACTTGTCTAAATTATAATTATTGTAGTTAAAAAAATTACTTCATGAATCCTTGAACGGTTGATAAGACTCCAAACCCGGCTAAGTAAGTGTTTACAGGAAGGAATAACAACTCCTCCTGTATTTACGAACCGTAAAACAAACAACAAGTAGATGTAAATCATCCCAGGCTATAAATAGTATAAATACAACAGTTATATATAGAACCAACACACGTTGGAGAAAAATTTTTAAATTTCTCAAATGAGAAAAAAACATTTCGTAATAAAAAATAAATTCGAAAACATCAAAACAGAATCAACATCGACAGGTTGATTCAAGGTCGTTTCCACACCAAAACGTAAACACAATAAAACCTAACCTACAAAAAAAAGTGACGTTTATAAATGTCATATTGTCAACGGTTTTTCAGACGTGTTTACCTTTAGATTTCTCGGATAAAGGAAGAAAAGTTGGGCCCCATTAACCCAAATACGAATAATTTATCAAAAAAACGTGATTTTTTAGATTTTTCATTGGCGTGGCAACAATGCGTGACGTAAACAAAAGGGCTTTCCATGACAGGATAGGCTCTGTTTTAGCTCTATTATTACAGGTGACCAACCTCAAAAAACATAAAATTTCCACTTACCTTCAATACATACGACGTGATCTCTAATATACTGGGCAGCCTGTGCATCAGGTAACAGGTCGATCAGATCGTAAATGGCGTAAATCGACGGATGAACGCTCTCAAACCGTTGAATTTCTTGCCTTATGGCCAGCGAGTTGTTAAAGAAGGGTTGCAGGTGCGGTCTGGTGGTCATCATGAACTGACCTAGTCGTAACAGATTTTTTTATGTTGTTAAATTCACTGTTTTTCCCGGCGCATCTTCGCAATGTCCGCGAAGAAAAATAATGATGGACACGCGCTCACGTCGTTACCGACTATTTGACATTTAACGGGTCGCGGACGTCAAGTGATACTGATAAGTACCAAAACGCGACTGAATAAACTGAAATACACTGAATTAATGCGGAAAGATGTGGCGTTGGTGTCACCATAACAATGCGGATAAACACTGAAGTAACGCGATTTTTATAAATAGATTGCGATTATTTACAGGAATCTGTAAAAATTTACGTGATTGTATCGATAATGATTCATAGATAGCGCAGTAAAACGTCAACAATGTTGATAAGTTGTGTGTAAAAAGTGAGGTTATTTATATAAAATGTTATTTAATTAATTTCTTTTATATTGATTCGTTTCACTCAATTTATATTTATTAATTATGTATTGCTTTTAGATTTAATTTGAGAAAATCCAATGTTTATATTGTTATACTAATACAGATTTGAGCATGAAGTGTTGTTAAAAAAGTTGGTGTTCTTCTCTGGTGGAGGTATTATCCTGTAGTTGTGCTTATGACTTGAAGAAAATGATAAATTAGAGTCCATCCCGATTGTATCTATGATTAAAAGAGGCCAACAGTTGCATTTTCGTTGAAAGATACGATTTTGAAAAGTTGTTCCATATTATCCATTTGGTTTCCTTCCTTGTTATTGTTATTATTATTGTTACTGTAATAACACTATTTTTATGAATTATTTCTGTTAATAAATGTATTAATAAACCGGTTTATTTAAGTCTATTTCAATGTTTTGATTTCTCTAAGGTCAAATACAAAAATAATACAATAAAGGAATTCTGTAAGGAGGTGGAGGCAACCTCCTACTACTATATTTTATTTTGCTTAACATCGCAATCCACAACCGGTCGCCAATATGTTACAGTTGAGGAGAACAGGTTATTGAAAGCACAGGTATTGAACTCTATGACAGTGGTGAAGTAACAAAAAATACCTTTAAAAACTATTCAAACTTAAGTGTTTCAACATGTAAGTGTTTTAAACTAATTTATTGTCGAACTTTAATCACAAAGTAATTATTAAAATTGTTATTTAATTTAGGTTTATTAGATATGGTTTAATTTTATTATTATTTCTAATACAATCAAAAGCTGTTGATCCAGAATTAGAAGAAGAAGTAACGATTGCCATAAACTTCTTAAATTACATGAATCAAATAACATTAGAGAGAAATGTAAAGGTGACAGAAGCAGAGTGGAATTATGTGACGAATATTACTGATGAAACGTTTAAAATTAAGGTAATTAACAGCTCATAAATAAAAGGTAATAAATTGAACCTTATAAATATCCCTCCATTGTTTCATTTAATGTTAAAAAGTCATAAAATTGTTTAACACTCACTTAGTTATAACAATAGGACACTTCAAATTTAAAATAAATTTACTTTTATTTAATAATAGCTGGAAATTGAAAAAGAAGTAGCCAAAGCAGTGAAAGAAGATTGGGAACAAGTATCAAAGTTTCATTGGGAAACTTATAAAAACCCTGTTATGAAAAGGAAATTTAAATTTTATTCCTTAATAGGGTCAGCAGCTTTGCCACCGAAAAAATTCGAGCGATTATCAAGAATAACCAGCGAAATGCAAAAGATTTATTCAACAGCTAAACTATGCGAATATAAAAACCCCGGGAATTGTAGCCTTAATTTAGAACCCGAACTAACAAAGATTTTCGCCGAATCTCGTAACCCAAAAGAATTAAAATATTATTGGTCGAAATGGCGCAAAGCCGTCGGCCCAAAAGTAAAAGTTTATTTCGATGAGTATGTTTCGTTATCAAACGAAGCTTCTAGATTGAATAAATTAAGGGATTACGCTCATTCTTGGTTGTTGCGTTACGAAGCCGACGATTTTCGCGATCAACTCGAACAAATTTGGCAACAGGTTAAGCCGTTATATTTACAATTACACGCTTACGTTCGGTTTAAATTAAGAGAAAAATACGGGGATTTAATTCCTAAAAACGGTTTAATCCCCGCTCATTTATTAGGCAATATGTGGGCGCAATCTTGGGCGAATATCGCCGATTTTTCTTTACCATATCCTGATGCAGAAAAATTTGACGTAACCGAAGAATTAATTAAACAAGGTTACACCCCATTAAAAATGTTTCAATTATCGAACGATTTTTTCGTTTCGCTTAATTTAACCGCTATGCCTGAACCATTTTGGGAACATTCTATTTTGGAGAAACCGGATGACGGAAGGGATTTGGTTTGTCACGCTTCCGCTTGGGATTTTTATCAAAATAACGATGCAAGAATTAAACAATGTACGGTTGTTAGCGAAAAGGATCTTATTACGGTTCATCATGAAATGGGGCATATTCAATATTATTTGCAGTATGCTAATCAACCTGTTGTGTTTAGGGATGGTGCTAATCCAGGTAAAAATAACCTAATCCACTAATTAAAAGTAGAACTAACATTAATATTTTAATAAGGATTCCACGAAGCTGTTGGCGATGTTATAACATTATCTGTTAAATCACCAAAACATTTATCAGAAATCGGACTTTTAAATTCATCTTCTATTGATGATAAAATGATTTTAAATATTTTATACAACGTAATTATTACTTAATTACTTTTAAATTAAATTAATTTAAAAAAATACTTTTTAGACCGGACTAGATAAAATAGCTTTCTTACCATTTGCATACATCATGGATCTTTGGCGTTGGGATATATTCGAAGGAAAAACATCTAAAGATAATCAAAATTGTAAATGGTGGGATTTGCGCGAAGAATACCAAGGAATATCACCTCCGATAACGCGAAGCGAAGAAGATTTCGATCCCGCTGCGAAATACCACGTTTCAGCCGACGTCCCGTACATAAGATATTTCGTAAGTTTTATTATTCAGTTTCAATTCCATCGGGCGTTATGTATAAAAGCTGGGGAATTTAACCCGGATGACCCCGAAGGAAGAAAACTCTACGAATGCGATATTTACAAAAATAAAGATGCTGGAAACCTTTTGGGGAAAATGCTTCAAATGGGGAGCTCCCAACCGTGGCCTGATGCAATGGAAGTTATAACTGGGCAAAGAAGCATGGATGCCAGCGGATTATTGGAGTATTTTAGACCTTTGCTGATGTGGTTGAAAGAGGAAAATGCGAAAAATAATGTTTCGATTGGTTGGGAACCCGCTGAAAGAAGTAAATTTTTTTTTGAATTATTTATTTTTATTTCATCTGGTTTTTTTAGGGTGTAAACCACATCGATTAAATGATGGGAGTGAGGATATGGAGGATGAAGAAGAAGTTATTAAAGATGTATCAAGTTAATTATTTTTTGGAAAAGAATAAAGATTCAAACAAATTTAATTTTGTTTCTTTTACATGAATTAACTGTGTGGTGCTGGTGGATTTTAAAGTCCTGGTTCTCTCAATTAGGTTGAATATTTCCTGCATTCCATTGCAGCCTTGTTGTAATGCAGGTTTACAAACTACTTTAATTTCTTTCAAAATCCTGATACATCACCTTATATACTTGTGTCATGAATGTTTAATATCTTAATTAAATTTATTTATATCTTTAATAACAAGTATAAAATTTTATTTTCTTGTAACAACTTCAGGAAGTTGTACTTCATATCTCTCATCTTCGTTGACCAACCAAATTGATCCATTTTTACCATTTTTTAAAATTTCAATCATCGCCTCAGCTACAACATCCGGCCTAAAATTAATTTTTATAATCTTTATTTCAATTAAATAAAAAAATTTACTTTTGCATTTTCCTTTTTTCCATGAATCGATTCATAACGTCGATTTGCTGCGGGAACAAACATTCCTCTTGGGGAATTTGGCACATTGGAGTATCCGTCGGGCCTGCGCACAAAGCGTGAACTCTAACTTTATTTTTTTCGTAATAAGCATCGATTCCCAACGTTCGACTTAACGCAACAATTCCGTGCTTAGTAGCGCAATAAACCGGGGTAAAAGCAACGGGAATCAACCCGGCTAAAGAAGACGTGTTAATAATTATTCCTTCATCGCCCGATTTATATTTTGGGAGATATTTTTGAAACGCTAATAAAGTTCCGGTTGTGGTTCCTTTTAAGTTTATGTCAATCATTTTTTGCGGAGTTAGTTCGTTCCAAATTCCTGCGTTATTTAAAACTATATCTAATTGGCCGAATTTTGAGATGGTTTCTTTGAATGCTGCATCAAAACTTTTTTCGTTGCTTGTATCGGCTTCGATAAAGATTATGTGGGAGTTTTTGAATGATTTTTGAAGGATTTCTGTGGTTTTTTGCCCGGTTTGAACATCGCAATCAATTATTGAGATTCCCTATTAAATCTTTATTGTAATCTTTATTAAAATTAATTTATTATTTTACCTTAATTCCATTTTTTAATAATTGCTCGGCGTATTTAAGACCAATTCCTTTTGCACCACCCGTTATTAACGCGACTTTTCTTAAAAAATCAAACATTTTTAAAGTTGCTTTAAAGAAAGATTAACAAAAACTAATTTAAAGTTAAAAAAATTTATTTAAAAACTTAATTTTATCTCAATTTATCGTTTTGTTAGTGTTAAAGGTTACTGATAATTTTTGATTTATTTTACGCTTTCTGAATAAAATTCAAATCGATTTTGGAAAGGCATTTGATAACATTTTTGATTTTCTGCTATCCACACTGACCCATTTTCTCCTTGGGTCAACATTTTTAAAAGACATCTTGCTGGGAAAATGGCTCTGCAAAAAGTATTTTTATTAATCTAATCTAATTAATTAATTTTGTTACCCTTGTCGAGGTAATTTCCGAATTTCCTCCCACCCATGATCAATTTTAGCAGGACTCGAAAGCTGCGTTTCTGTTAACCCCGGGCAAAGAGCCAATACTTTGATTTTCGATCGGTTATAATAATAAGGACTTCCAAAAGATCTGCTAACTCCAACAACGGCGTGTTTTAAAGCGGAATAAATCGGGCTTGGTGGGAGAGGATCAATCCCAAAAATGCAAGCGTTATTTATTATAACACCTTCATTTTCGGTTAAACTATCCGGGAGGATTTTATAAAGAGATAAAATCGTTGAATAAACCGTGCTCATCTTTCAAAAAAATTAATCAAAATCAATATGTCGTAATAATAATAATATCGATAAAGGAACCTACATAGTTTATGTTAACCATAATATCCATTTCATTTTCGTCGATAATCGCTGCATTATTAATTACATAATCTAATTTTCCAAAAACTTCAACAGCTTTTTGGAGGCCACCTAAAAATTAAAATAAATTAATAAAGAAGATTGATGTTTCAATTAATTTTTTAACTCACATTCAACATGATACATGGATTTACAATCTGCATGGACAAACTGAACATTTCCATTTCCATAGGCTCTTAAATCGTTAACAGCTTTCGGTGCTTTCTCAGCATCAACATCTAATAAAACAACCCCCTAAAAAAATATTAAAAAACTTTTAAGTATTAAATAAAATTATTATATCTTTTTAATTATATACTTTGATGTCTGATTTTAAAAGAACCTTAGCGAATTGATAGCCAATTCCTCCGATTCCGCCTGAAATGCAAGCTATTTTTCCTTTAATGACATTGACAGTCGAAACCATGTCATGATTTTAACAAAAAAAATTTTATTTTTGTTTTAATGTCACTAATAAAAGGTAAAGTAGCTTTGGTTGTTGGTGGTCATCGAGGGATTGGGTACGAATGTTGCGCGAGCTTATTAATGAATGGGATAAAGGGGTTGATGTTGGTTGGAAGAGATGAGAAGAAAGGAAATGAGGCTACCTGCGAATTAGAAACTTACGGGGATGGTGATATACGTTTTATTAAAACTGATATAGCAGTTGCAAGGAATTTTCAAAGTATTCTTATTAAGATTTGTTATTAAAAACCTAATTCTTAATTTTTAGATGTTTTTGAAACAACCATCAAAACATTTAACCAATTAGACATGTTTATACATTGTTCAGAAACGATTAACGAATATCATTGGGAAAATGCGATTAAATTAAATTTAACCAGCGTTTTAAGAGGGAGCATAATGGCTATGAAACATTATTTACCAAAATATAAAAGTGGAAAAGAAGGAATTATTATTAATTTATCATCCGTAGCTGGATTACAACCGATGGCTTCGTTACCGATTTATTCCTCAACGAAACACGGAATTATCGGGCTTGTTAGATCTTTGGGAAGCGATTATCAATACGAACAGTATCAATGTAGGGTGATGGGATTATGTCCTGGATTAATCGAGGAAATTCCTCTTTTTGCTAAAAATCAACCTCAAGGAATTGATTTGGATTTATTGGACGAAGAAATTTGTCATTGGCCAAAACAATCGTAATTTAATAAATTAATTAGTAAAGTTTTAAAAACATTACTTTTTAGAGGGGATAAATGTGGAAAAACCTTAATCAAAATCATAAACACGGGTAAAAATGGTTCAATTTGGATTTGCGAAGGACCATATTGTTACCAATGGAAATTTCCTAATCGATTTGAGTTATTTGCGACTCATGCTAAAGAAATTGCTATTGGATAAAAAATTAAATTTAAAAAAATTCACAGCCTGTAATTATTGGAATTAAACCACGGTTTATACATCAAATTAAAGCTTGAAGTCTCCTTTTTAATTTGATATAAAATCATATTGTTTCTCGTTTCGCTTCTTCCATCTTCCCTTTTTTGTCATGCAACCTAAAACTACTGGTACTGCTACAAACTTGAGCATAAGTACATAAGAAGAAGATTTTAAATTCCACTTTCTTTGGGCTACTTGAGCACCAATACAACTTGCTTCACAATCCAACTAAACCTGTCCATATCCAAAACAGCTCGTAATGACCATTAGTTTCTCCCTTTCTTGGAACTGTTCTGCTATGATGAGCATATATGATAAGCTGATAGCGAATAAGTTAAGTTAATTTTTTTTTTCTTTTGTAAAAACAGGATCAACTTTAACAATTTGGCTTAAGTATGTAATTTAATATTTAGTATTTAATTATAAGTATTTTTACGTTTATGTAAAGTTCACAAAAACAAAATGAATTTTAAAAAGACCTTAGATTTTAATCTTTAAATATAAATTAACTTAATTTTTGTTCTCAAAAAGCATCACGTACATTTATTTTTTTTACTATGGTCATTACCATACATAACCATTTCGAAATAGTCTTAAATGAATAATCATCCATTGTGCTAGAAACTAGAAGCACTTGAAAAACAAATAAAAAAAAATAACAACAGTTGACATTCGGCGAGGTAAAAACAATCGAAACACCACGCCTCCGGTGATTCTCTCACGTGTTTCCACTACATATTAACGCACATTGCCCGGGTTTCCTTTAGTCTTTATCTTGACGTGACACAAAAAAAATGTGCGACCCAAGTAGAGTCAAAAGAACGTTGCTCATTTTAATGTTAATCAGTGTTAACGTTTATGGACAAATTCAAAATTATAATGTTGATCAGAATGAAAGGGGATTTAATATTGTTCCAAATCAAAATGTTAATCCTTTAAATCCGAATTTAAACCCGAACTTAAATCCAAATTTGAATCCTAATTTAAATCCGAATTTAAATCCTAATTTAAATCCGAATTTAAATCCTAATTTAAATCCGAATTTAAATCGTAATTTGAATCCTAATTTTAATCCAAATTTTAATCCAAATTTAAATCCAAATACTTTAAATATACAAGACAACAATCAATATCCTGGGGATGTTCGTCAACTTTTAGCAGAGTTGGATCTTCAAGCATCGCAACAATGTACGAATAATGTTGGTGCTCAATGGAATTTTGAGACGAATGTGAATCAAGCGACTCAATTGGAAGCTGTAAGTTTTAACACTTTATTTTTCATAAATTAAATTTTTAAAGCAATTCTTGCACTCTTTAAAAGTAAAATTACGTCGAGTGGGAATTAGATCATTTCATGATACTTTAAAAGAAAGAATACAATTGTATGATGATGTACCCACAATAAATCCTAAACGATTTCTATTTTTTCTTTTTTTTATTCGCTTTAATTAAACCTTTCATACAAAGTTAAGTAACGAGAGATAATTTCCCCTCTATTTGAAATGTTATCGTTTGCGTGACCCCAAACGGTTTTACCTGATGAGGTTATCAAAGTGCTGTTATGCATTCTTTAAACTTTTTTTCATATACTTAAAACCATTATCATCAATGACGATTCCTATCCGTTGTTTATGCGTTTACGTAATGAATAAAGGCTTATTGTGAGTTGGGGATACTTAAAAGGTTAATTATCACAATTATTGGAAAAGCGTCGCGCACTCTGGAGAACAAAAGGTGGTTCTCAGGATGACGAAGACAATCGTCGAAGACAATCAAGGGGGACGTTACCCAGCGTGTTCGTCTCCTCGACTAACATTATGGTAATGGTTCAACATTGATGGCCATAAGAGACAATGGTCAGACTATCAGTGTTGCGAAAGTTTTAACATGGGAATGACCGTGACTCCCATAGATTTTTTTTACCATTAAAATGAAAAGAAAAATAGAATCCGTATTGCCTATGGGTAATTAATAAATTGAGAAAAATACCACCATCAACATTGTTCAAAGCAATCAAACCGTGGATTAGATGGAAAGTGTGGGAATAATTTTGTTATATAAAAATTTAATGAATATTTGTTATACAGAGTCCTCGAAAATCTCTCTCTGTATTAAGAAAATACGGCGATAATTATACAATGAATGGCTTTTAAAAAACCAGTCATCTAATATCCAGGATGAATGAATCATAACGGAGTTGCGAGAAAAAATAAAAGAAACACCTAATTATGATATCATTTAAAGAATACCAATTAATCAAATTTTTAAAATATTTCTCACGCTAGTTAATAATAATTAAACCAAGCAAATAAATCATACCAATTACACATAGATTTCTAAGAATTTCTCAATTACATAATCTAATTCACTTCTTGAATTAGATTTCAATTCAAGGTAATGAACAATATCTCACGATTCATCATCAATTCGTAAAAGATGGATTGATTTACTTTGAAAATGTAGTTTCTCACGCTACCATTACGTCTTGATGGAAGAATTTGTTTACAATTTAATACGAAAAATGTAAATTTTTCATATTATTTCATGTTATGGTAATAAACTTGAAATAAATAATGTTAAAACATGAAATTGTGGTTACGATAAACGCGAACTATGATTTGAATTTAAATGACTCATTTAATTGAGGTAAAAAGATCTTATATAATAAAGAAATGTAGGTGAAAAATTTTCTAGGAAATTTATTCTACAATTTATGACTCAATCATCCCTAATTCTTAGTTACTCACGTCGATTAGATCAATTAGGTTGGGTTGAATTGTCGTTGTGGAAATTGCATGTGTATAAATTGTCCTTGGAAAACGTGTCACTTGCGCAACTCGTAGAGACACTATTGGTAAATTAATCCGTGCTCACTAACTTGCTGAGGAAAATGAGGAATGCGTGAAGAAAAAATCTTTTGTGTTTAATTTTATAATGATTTTAACTACCGTCTTCTTGACAACTATAAAAACTATAATTAAATACGATTGTTTAACTTTTTCTTTTCATCTTTAACTAAATGCCCGTCAGGTGTAATTTGATTTTTAATGTTATCTCGAATAATTATTAAAACGTGTGTTTGCACCAAAAGAAAAGGTGTTCCGTCTAACCGGAAGAGATGGTCCTTGTGTGTGTTCCATAGACTGGACGTAGCGCCTTTATTTTTTATGTAAGAACAATAAAGGCGCGACGTCCAATCTCTGGAAAAAACAATTAGAGAGTCATAACTTTGAAAAACTGAACTTTCTTAAAAAAAATAACGTAGTTAAGATAAAATATAATTTTATTATTTTGTATTAATTTATAATTTTTCTTTTGATCCTCAGTTAAACGCCCAACAACTATACTCCGATTTTCAACATTATCTTTGGAGCGTATTCTCTCAAATTCCGAACTCGAATGTTCCTGATATAATGACTTATCGCCAAATTAGATTTATGTCTGTTGTTGGACCAGCTGCTTTACCCCCGGATCAACTTGATAGAGTAAGAAAGAAAAATCGTAAAATTTCTTCCTAATTATTTAATTTGTTTTTTTTTAGTACAACAGATTAATAAATGATATGTTGGCAATTTATAACTCAGCATCAATTTGTGCTCCAAACGAACCTTTCCGTTGTGGGTTACGTCTTCAACCGGATCTAACTGAAATTATGGCACGAGTTAGAAATTGGGATGAATTGCAATATGTTTGGACTGAATGGAGAAGGAATACCGGTCAAAAATATAAAGATACTTACGAGCAATTAGTTCAATTAACAAACCAAGCTGCAAGATTAAATAGTAAGATAATTAAAAATAAAAAAATATTTTACTATACATTCATTAATTTAGATTTTACAAATGCTGCTGAATATTGGAATTTTCCATTTGAAACTTCTAACTTAGAAGATCAACTTCAAGACGCATGGGAAGAAGTTAAACCATTATACGAACAACTTCACGCTTACGTTCGAAGAAGATTACGTGATTATTACGGTCCCGAAAAAATTAGCAGACAAGCACCACTTCCTGCTCATATTTTGGGAAATATGTGGGGTCAATCTTGGACTAACATCTTTGATATAAGTCAACCTTATCCAGGAAGGACATTTTTGGATGTTAGCCCAGAAATGGAACGACAAGTACGATTCTATTAATTAATTTTATCAATTAAACAATTTTTATTATTTAGGGTTATAACCCCGCGGAGATGTTTCGATTAGCTGAAGATTTCTTCGTTTCAATGAACATGACACCACTCCCATTAAATTTTTGGTCAGACTCCGTTCTTGAAGAACCTCTAGATCGAACAGTTTTATGTCAACCTTCAGCTTGGGATTTTTGCAATCGACAAGATTTTCGAATTAAAATGTGTACAAAAATTACTATGAAAGATTTAATAATGGCTCATCATGAAATGGCTCATATTTATTACTTTATTAATTATAAAGATCAACCGAAAGTTTACAGAGATGGAGCAAATCCAGGTAAGAAGTTGATTAATCATTCTTAAAAAAAAATCCCACTACAACACGATTTTACGCAACAACGGTGTAGTTTCTAGCTTTTACTTTCAATCCAGCACCTAATTAATTCCCGACATCCCACCAGGTGAAAATAAGTAGATGATCGTTACTCGGTTATCGCTTTCTACGTTATGCACCGTCAATCGATATGTTTTGCAAAAAAAGTCAATGCACTCGCCAGATGGCGTCCGGGTAAATGATCTACGATGTCTAGAGAAAGCGAATTACGGTTTCAGGGTTCCACGAGGCCATCGGCGAAGCCATCGGGTTATCCGTTGGGACACCGAGACATTTACAACAAATCGGATTAGTTCAAACTTCCGTTGATGATTCCGCCGTTGATATCAACTTTTTATATTCAATGGCGTTGGATAAAGTCGTTTTCTTACCATTTTCGTATGCTTTGGATAAATGGAGATACGATATTTTTAGAGGAAACGTTTTAAAGGATCAATACAATTGTCATTGGTGGATGTTAAGGGAGGAATTTACTGGGATTAAACCTCCAGTTTTAAGATCTGAGAACGATTTTGATGCTGGATCTAAATATCACGTCCCGGCAAATATACCATATATAAGGTAAGCAAATATATTTTGATTTAAAATTATGGTTTAAGTAGAGTTGGGTTAGACTTGATTAATTTTATTAAAATGAAAGATGTTTTTTAGATTTTTTAGAGGTATGTATGGTATTGAAATTCTCACAGTCTCGGTACATTTTTTAAAATTCAAGTTGAGATTATTTAGATACACCTAGTTGAATTTTGAAATTTGCCAGATATGTTTCTATAATGATCTCGAAATTAATCTGAGATTTGACTCACCAATTAATAAGGTGCTGAGATCATTTTACATAATGTTTGCCAACGCACTTCGTTTTGGATTTGCTTCTTTCGAGTTTTCTTCCAATAAAAGTAAAATGTATTCTTTAAACAGTATTTATTTAAACTAAATAACTAAAAAAAAAAACAAAAAGGAATATTTAACTTTAATAATATCCACCATGATCTTCTTCTCCTCCGCCATGATGAGACTCGATTTCGTGTTGTTCTTCGTGTACTGGCACGGCTACAGGTACTTTGACTGGATAAGGTACTTTTTTGATGACTTCAATGGGTACTTTTTTGATGACTGTGTAAGGTACTGGGTTATCGTAAGGAATTTTGACTGCGTAAGGTACTTCTTTATCGATTGGAATTGGAACTTTCTTTTCAACTGGGAATGGAGCTGGAACTGGGACTTTTACTGGGTAAGGGATGGGTTTTTCAACTGGGTATGGGATGGGTCTATCAACATGGACTTTTACTGGATATGGGACGGGTTTTTCTACGGGATAAGATATTTTTTTCTCAACATGTACTGGGTAAGGTTTAGGGACGTGAACGTGATATGGCCTGTCAACTAAAACTTTAACTGGATAATGAACAAGTTTTTCGACTGGATATGGTTTTGGGATGTGTACGGGTACTTTATATGGAACGGGGATTTTCTTTTCTACTGGATAAGGGTGAGGAACTGGTACTTTGTATGGAACTGGAATCTTTTTCTCAACCGGAATTGGTTGGGGGACAATTACTTTAACTGGATATGGTTTATCGACGTGAACTTTGACTGGGTAATGCTCAATTTTTTCTACTGGGTAAGGTTTGTGAATTGGAACAGGTACTTTTACCGGAACTTTAACCGGGTAGGGTACTTTTTTCTCAACCGGATATGGTTGCGGAACAGGGACCTTTATAGGAACGTGAACCACTTTTTCAACTGGAACTGGAACATTTTTTTCCACTGGATACGGCACCTTCTTATACACTGTTACTGTTTTAACGTGTTCGTGATGGCCGTGATCCTCTCCACCGAAATCATGTTCATCTCCACCTCCTCCAAAATCACCACCTCCAAAATGATCTTCACCACCACCACCAATATCACCTCCCCCAAAATCGTGACCAAAATCACCTAAATCCAACCCACGCTTTTCTTTCTTTTGTTCTTCAACCGGTTTTGGTTCTTGTTGATTATTTTCAGCAGAAACCACGGCAATTGCCAAAAGAAGAATCGTAAGGTTTTTCTGGAACAAAGAAGATTTGGAGTTAATGAAGAAATTTTTAATTGTATCTTTGGTAACCTACCAGCAACTTCGTCATCGTATGTGGAGAACAACTCAACTGGATGCTCCGATGCGGGTATAACGGCTTTTTATAGAAAGTGTAAGCTAACGCTTTCGCCTCCCTGCAACTTACCAAGCGTGTGCTACCGTTTGTTTCTGTATCAGTGAGCTTGTTAAGCTGTTACAATTACGCAATTTTTGGTTATTACTTTTGATTTCGACTATTTACTTCCTATCTGTTGTACAATTATTTGTGATTTCTGGGTAATTTTTTGTAATCGATCATTATTGATTCAAGATAATCAGGAAGAAAATTGAAGAGACATAAAAGACATGTGTTGTGTTAATGCATTTCCTTTAGAAATTTATTTTTATTAAATTAATTTTGTTTAATCAAACATTAATTAATTTAGAAAGTTTTTGATTTTCGATTGTTTTTTTGCATGTTACAAAAAGACTTTGATGTATTTGTTATGCACTAATTGAAGTTGGAATCAAGTTGGGATCTTTTATATTGATCAAAAACAAGGTTAATTTCAGTTTGGTAGGGAGCAAAACAAGTTAGCTTAAAAAAGAAGATTCCTTATATTCCGTTTTGTCCCAAACGGGCGAATAAACTCGTATTTCTTCCTGGAAAAATTGTACAAGATGTTCTTCATTTATTTCTTCTCAATACTTCCCGCGACAGATGTAAGATGTAGACGAGATTACCGTTGGATTACGTAACTTAATCGTCGATTACGGTAGGAGCAGGAAACTATAATACCAATTCCGGTTACGCTTGAGTATGTCAGAGCTCGTGCTTCGACTTCTTTCTCTTCGTGTGCGGGTTTACTTCCGAATGGAATTACGCGTTTACGAATCGTAAAACTGCGTACGGGTTATTATTTAAATTAATGCCGATTCGTCGACGAGAAAGGAAAGTCGTCGTTTTATTTTTTTTTGTGGAAATATCCGGTTGTTAATCGGACGTGCTGAGTTTATTAAAACTGAAATGCTTTTGATTCGTGTGGTTTCACGAAAGAAAAGAAAATAAACTTGAGATAACTTTGCGGTTAGATGTTATATAATTTTGATTTCAATTTTATACGGTTTTTGTAGGTCAATGAGATTTTAATTAATACTTTCAAAATCAAGGTTAATTTCATGCACTATATTAAAATTGAATTAAAAATAATTTACTTTTTTAAACCAACACATTCAGCGCCATCTCTTCGTTTCAGTCCAAATCTTCACGCAGACAACTTTTGTTTTATTAACCATCATTTTCTCTTTTAGTATACTTTCTTAAAGATAGATGGCTTTTAAATTTCATCATTAAATAATTATATAATTCTTATTAATTCTCATCTTTTTAGAACATCTTAAACCCGACTTAAGAAATTATTTAATTCTATTATATTCTTAGAGTCATTGTTCTTCAAAAAAAGAAATAAAGACGTTTCAGTAAATTGGTTTAATACAATCGCGAAAGTCAACGAATTATCCAATTAATACAATGTAAAATAATAAAGTAACATTAAAAGTTTTTTGTTCTTAATAAAACGCGACGTAACGGTTGTGAACTGAAACTGTGTCAGATTATTGCGCAAACGCTACCTGAAATGGTACTACTGAAATCGCCGGATGTTTTTAAACCCCGTTACGCCATTTCACGACATTTTACAAAATACACCGTGTCCTTGAATTGTATTTCTTTCTCGTAAATTAGATGCTAATACGTGATCGCAATCTCTAAGGAATCTAGACCGATTCTTTCCTGCGTTTTTTTTATTAAGATCTTTTCGAATCGCCTAAAGCTAGGTTTTGGCTGAAAACGATTTTCCTTTCTAAACGGATTCTCATTGATGTCTAATTAATCATATTGCAAAAGTCTTACCAGGAACAATTTTTAAGTTATTGTAGTTTCTGGAAGAAATATTGGTAGAAAAGTACGAATATCTTACAACCATAATAAATAAAGATGGAAAGATAGATGAGGAAATTCGTAACAGAATAAGGGAAGTGCAGTCTACTACCAAGTAAACAACATCCGCGCAGGCAAGAAGGAACTGAACACTCAAGCAAAAATACTTAATATACTTAATTATGGATCAGAAAATTGGACGATGTTGGACAATCGATATAGCCATCTGGTTTGAATAAAAGATCTAAGAAAATGTTTAAGAGAAAGTGTGGTAAACCAAGAACCTAATGGGAGATAGAGATTGAGAAGATGGTTGAAAGAACAGGGAAGAGACTCGCCGGGCTATGGCCAGAGATAGGATGATGTAGAAAAGATGGATCCAAGACCAAACACCATAAGGTATAAATGGGGGCAAGAGATAGAAGAAGGTTCTGGAAGAGGTTTGCAGAAAAAAAAGTTAACAAAACCTAAAACTATCAAAACTGACAGTTATCAAGTCTTTTGAATAACTAAACCTTGAACAAAGAATACGATTTAAATCTAGAATCACGTAGTGTATCACATTTTGATCAGCTGTGCAACGCGAAACGTCAAATTCTGCATACAAATATAAAATAACATTTCGGAGAATATAGATAGGTTCAGTCATGCTTTAGCCTAAAAGATTGAGTTTTCTTGCTGGTCAAGATTGGCTAGAATTACTTGAAGATTTGGGCTCTTATTTTTGCTGTGATTCACCTGCTTCGTGTGTTATGAGCAACTTCTGACTAACTTACTACTAAGTAATAACCAGCCACATGTACTTCTTTGCAATGTATAGATTTTGTATAGCCAATGTCTTAATTAGGAACAACTTTTATATTCCGGTCCTGCCTGATCTTATTTTAACCACACTGCGTAAAGACCCCTTATTTTTTTATTTGCTACAATTTGAAATCGTTCTCTAATCTTTATAACTCCTTTTATTAAAACGGAGCGAATTTAGCTCATATTAAAAGGAGTTTATTGCCCAAAAAACTATATTTATTTCAATTTTGAAAACTTTATTCATTCCATTAACATTTAAAACGCGCTTTCACCACCGCGTATAAGTCAGTGGGTTAAGTCGTAGTAATGTTCATTAAAAATCGTCAATTGTTCATTACATCCGCATAGAATTGCGTTGTAATGACGTGAAATTAACCAATTCTTGGTATTTTTCTTTTCGATCGCTTTATTATCGTCGCGATTAGTTTTCAAGTGGTTTTCAACAAAATTAGAATGGATTTAATTGGTACTTTTATTTTAAATGCATGTGGAGTGAATTTTTTACGTGAAACGTAGTAATTAATAACGTAATGTTTAGATGGCGTGTAAAAGCACGTAAATACACGGTTTCTTCCTCGAGCCGGGTTTCCATTTTTAGATTTAGAAATCCGCAACGAGTTTTCTATTTTTTATAAGCGCGAAGTGAAAACGTAACGGGTAGGGTATTTTTAATAAAACATCAATGATTATTTGGTATTTAATTATTATTTAATTTATTGATTTATTTTTATTTATTTATATTATAAATAATTAACGTACAACTTTGCGTATTTTGATTTATACAAAATTGCGATCACAAATGGATGAACCGGAGTCAATACCCATGATGATAATGATTGTCTTCGTGTACTGGTACCGGGACGGGGACCTTTACGGGGTAGGGTACGTGTTTGTATACTGGGACATGTACTGGCTTTTCAACAGTGACCGGTACTGGGTTCTCAACGAGTACTTTGTATGGTACTGGGACTGGTTTTTCAACGGGGACTGCGATTTGTTTGTATACGGGGTACGGTTGAGGTACTGGAACTTTAACTGGCACTGGCACCGGTTTTTCTACTGGTACAGCAATTGGTCTATCAACATGTACTTTAACTGGGTATGGTACTGTCTTTTCAACAGGTACATGAATCTTCTTTTCTACTGGGACTGGATATGGGTGGGGAACATGCACCGGGTATGGGCGATCATATGGTACTTTAACCTCAACCGGGATGTGCTTGATAACTGGATATGGTTTCGGGATATGGACAGGTACTTGAACGGGAACATGAACTGCTTTTTCAACGGGGTATGGGGCGGGTACTGGCACTTTAACTGGGACTGGAATATTTTTAATAACCGGGTAAGGTTGTGGGACGTAAACTTTAACCGGGTAAGGCCTATCTACTGGTACTTTAACCGGGTAATGCACAATTTTTTCAACTGGATAAGGCTGAGCTACTGGAACAGGTACTTTAACTGGAACACTGTATGGAACGTGGATTTTCTTTTCAACCGGGTAAGGTTGGGGGACGAAAACTTTAACCGGAACCGGAATATTTTTATGCACCGGAACTGGTATCGTCTTTTCAACGGGATAAGGAATAGGTACTCCTTTAACGACTGTTATCGTTTTTTGGGAATGTACGCTATGTCCTAAATCGATTGGTCCCAAATGTCCAGCACCTACTTCGTATCCATGATCGATACCTCCACCGTATCCATAACCTATATCCAAAAGCCCACGTTTCTTCTGCTTATTGTCTAGCTTCTCTTCTGCGAGCGCCGTAACGGCAAGCAGGACTAAGAAAGACGTTTGCAGCTGAAAAAGAGAATAATTAAAAAAGAATCCGTATCCACATTGTTTCGATCTTCGTTAAATTCACCACACACTCACCGTGACTCTTCTCATTCTTCTCAGGGTTGCAACGTTGTACTGTAGCGAAACTTGGCCACCACCTCTTATATATAGTTCCGGAGCAGCTTTCGCTTACAGCGTATAGTATACGGTAAAAGGAGCCATCTTCTCCCACCAGATTTTCTGCAATTTTGCTTGGTGTACTCTACGGTCGGTTTGGTTTAAGGAACGTAGTAGTTGAAGAAAATCATTGCATAAGAGGGTTGCGTTAAAAAAAATACATATTTCAATCATGTTATACAAAGAATCTAAAAACGATTAAATTTTCTTCTTTTGTATTGTAAAAGAAGTAAATGTCAAGATTATTTTGTAACGAAAAACTCCTACACATACATTTTTTTTAATCCTAAAAATATCGATATTGACGAAACTTATGTAAATTAATGTAAATCGATTTTGAATTATTTCGTAATTTTCTTATTTTATAATTGCTTTCATTAATTCCTAATTGTTTCAATTCGTGATTTTAACAACTTGAAAGTGATTAAAATATAATTGGTGCCTCATCCAATTACCATAATCCGAGAACAGCAATATCCGGAACAAAATTCTTTTGCACGGTGAATTGGTACGATCTGATTACTTTAGACTTTAGAGCGACTAACGGCTTCTATTTTCATGCTAATTGAGTCATATGTTTACAGTAAAAAACAATGATATAAATGGTTGTGTGACGTTAATTAATTAAAGAACCCCTACTTAGTTTTTCTTGAACACTGCGACCATAAAAAATAATTAAATCCCATTTAAAACCTAACAAGGGAAAGGCAACTTTTTACAAGCTACGAAATTGTGTAGAAATATTTTTTTTTTCTAATTAATTAACTTTGCGAAATAATTCAAGTAGAATAAGTTATACGAACGAAATCAACTCAACTTAATTATTAAATACATACAATTTTATTCATAATTTTATGGTTTTAATGGTATAAATTGTTCGTTTTGAGCTTATTCTTTTAGAACACTTCTTAAACAATTCTTTTTGTTCTCAATTAATATTTATGATTCTTACCAGGTGTGTCAATATAAATTTATTCATAGATGCTACAAGCTGTCAAAATAGATAGGCTTAACATTCGCAACTCACAAATTTTCTGCTTGGAAATTACGATTTGCGGCCAGCATTGATTGTTTGTTAACATTTGAAGAAAATTGCTGCAGAATCGCATCGAATACTTGTCAAAGACATGTTCTATGTATACGCCATCAATGGGTATGATGTTGCGCAAATGAGAGCAAATTCTACAAAACTTGCTGAAATCTTCATCTTTAAGATTGTCCCACGAGGGTTAAGGCTACGAAAATGTGGCGGCCAACAGAGAATATGGTGAACTTGTAGGAGAAAGTAAACCAATGATGAATTAATGACCAAGTTAAGGAGAGGAAATGGCGTTAGATTGGCCACACGCTAAGAAAGCCTCATGGAGCAGTTGGCTCAAGAAAGACGTGGACGAGACTGTTGAGGTAGAAGCAATGGAAACCGGGAAAACGTGGAGCGAAGTGAAACGCTTTGCTACCAGCTTGAGCGACAGGTAATAAGTCAAGTTCCTTGGGTTGCTTGATCTTTGGGACATTATTCTCTCAATTCATAATCCATCTTATACTCATGAAAGTGATGGTTTTAGTAAAGAACAAAATTTTGCATCCAAAAATAGCACATTCAATTAATTTTGATTTCAAAACGTAAAATCCAAAAAGATCATTCGAATAAAATTCCTTTTATAGCTTGTTTTAAATTGAATCCACTTTATTCTAACGATCCCTTTAAGAACAACTTATACCATTTTAAGAAAGAAATATTTATGTAACCTTCTTATCGATCTCAATCTTCCAACTTACAGGAAATACTCGAAAGAATTTTTATGATAGACAATGCGATCGTAGAGACACCTGTATGCAACAACTTTCACTCTTAAACACAAAGCCACACACGCAACGTCTATTGGAAATAATATCAAAAACCCGAAAGGATATTTCCACAGAGTAATTTTCTTGTTGCCGTGGATTTTTCTTGTCAATTTCTCCCCACCCTCGCGTTTCGCCACTATTATTACGTAGTACAATTAAGATTGCATCAGTTGTTACAGCAACAAAAAAAAAGAAAAACAACTTTGTTGGTGTTAATAATTTGCAAGAAAAAAAATGTCCTTGATCTCTTTATAGTGGTAATGGCCTTTACAATGAACCGTTATAGTAATTGAATCACACTAATTATTAAAAAAAAACATTTATTTTTTTTAAAGAAAAATAGTATAAATTACAGACAAATTAATATCATACAAGAAAAGAAAGAAAATTTAAAAGAACACGTTTTGTTAAGTTTACTTATTTTCTACCAGTCGTGGTGATGATCGTATCCATGATGATGGTAACCTTCGTGCACTGGTACTGGTACTTTAACTGGAACAGGTACTGGTTTTTCAACTGTTACAGGAACATGTTTTTCAACGGTAACTGGATATGGCCTATCAACTAAAACTTTGTATGGTACTGGATATGGTTTTTCTACTGGTACATGGATTTCTTTATAAACTGGATAGGGTTGGGGTACTGGTACTTTAACTTCTACTGGATATGGTTTTTCAACTGGGACGGGATAAGGTCTATCAACCGGAACTTTAACTGGGTAAGGTACTGGTTTTTCAACTGGTACAGGGATGTGTTTTTCAACATGTACTGGATAAGGTTGTGGGACATGAACTGGGTACGGTCTATCAACTGGTACTTTCACCTCAACTGGAACTTGTTTGATAACCGGATAAGGTTGTGGTACATGAACTGGAACATGTACAGGTACCGGAACTCTCTTTTCAACCGGATAAGGTTGTGGAACAGGTACTTTAACCGGATATGGAATGTGTTTCTCAACTGGGTATGGTTGGGGAACTAAAACTTTAACCGGATATGGTCTATCAACTGGAACGTGCACTGGTACAGGTACTTTCTTTTCAACCGGGTAAGGTTGTGGTACTGGAACAGGCACTTTTACCGGGACTTTAACCGGATATGGAATATGTTTTTCTACGGGGTAAGGTTGAGGTACCAAAACTTTAACAGGATACGGAACGTGTTTCTCAACTGGTACAGCAACATGTTTTTCAACTGGATATGGCACTGGAACTCCTTTAAGTAAAGTTATCGTCTTTTGTACGTGGGTGTTATGTCCCAAATCAACGTGGCCATAACCAAGTCCTCCCCCTAAGAAATCACCTCCAAACCCAGAATGACCACCAATTAAATTATGACCTCCAATTAAATTGTATCCTCCAAGTAAACCATGACCACCAATGATGGAATGTCCACCATCTAAATAACCTCCTTGTCCAACTGAATATCCATTATCAAAATCACCTCCATATCCATAACCTAACGAAAGTAATCCTCTTTTGGTTTGTTTTTTATCAGATGATTCAGCTTCCTTTTTCTTCTCCTCTTCTGCCTGGGTTAATACCGATGCAGATAGGACTAAGAAGGTCACTAACTGAAACATTAAAATCACGTTGAATTAAAAATAATTAAACACTTTATCACTTAGATTTTGTACCAATTTTTTCTTCATCATCTTGTCGTCGTTCTTGACGTTGGGTTACTATTGATATTCACCGGCGTCGGAGGAGTTTATATAGGTGGATGTTGCTTTCGCTATACGTCCGACTCCACCTGAAGAGTTAATCCCCACTTCTTTACCTGTCCTTTACGTAACCGGTGTTTGAGTCCTTAAACTTGTCTCTTTAATAAAATTTTTTTCTCTTTATTTTCAGATACTTCGTGAGCACTCTTCTTCAATTCCAAATTTATAGAAGCCTTTGTATCGCCGCTGGACAATACGTGCCGGAAGATCCAACAAAACCTTTACATAAATGTGACATTTACCGAAGTAGAGAAGCAGGGCGAATTTTAAGGTGATAAAATAACGTTTTATTAGATGAAATAGAAAGCGATCATTAATGAATAGTGAGAATTTCCATTATGAGGAGAGTGTTGCGCAATGAAAACGGGTTCTGGACGCGCGTACTTCTCTCGCTGAAATTTAGATTCTGCTCTGGTTTCGAACGGAAGTATTCTTTTCTTGCTGAATAATTTATATCGCGTCTATGAAATTGGGTGCTTTCACTGCGTCGCTTAAACTCGGATTTTTTATCTAAATACAAACCGAATCCGACTTTACGATATTCAATTCAATTCAAAGCGATCAAAGTACACCGCAAATTGTGTCAGTACGTAATTTATTTCGATTTATTTATTTTTTGCGAACTTTGATAAATTGCCACGTTTACCTAGTTAATTAGTACATTAATAAATTTACTTATTGAACGAGTTAAAAATTGTAAAATCGGTAGTTTCTTTAATTTAACATGGTTCAGTGGGTAAATCGTACACACATAATTTGTATTTAAAATTACGTAACCAAAGAAAGTTGATATAGATCCCTGATATATATAGAATGTTTTAAAAGTAGAGTATCAAACTTATTCTTAAACGATAATAAAGAACTTTCTCTCATTTTTATAACAAATTGAGAGATGATGATGACATGGTTGCGAGATCAGTATTGAAGAATGAACAGAACGACATTGAGTGACATTAAAATAAATTTTGCCGATGTCTAAAATAATCAAAAACGAAATTAAGTGCTTTCCAGGACTATTTTGAGGAATGTTAGACTGTATATTCTTCTTCTGACAAAGTTCCAAGATGTGTTTGATCTACCTCTCCACCTTCTATGTTGAGGGATATTTTCAAGAACTCTTTTTTGGCCATCGATTTTTGACCATGCTCATCATATGGACATACTATATGCCAATAATTAATTTTCGAAGATCTAATATTCAATGCATTTCTATGAAAATATCAAAAAAAAAGTGTAATTGTTGAAATGAATTTTTAAACAGCCTATATAATTGAGACATAAAAGAGAAATTGAAATTGCATAGATATCAAATTATAGACGAAAAAAAATGTAGCCTTGAGCCCGACTTTGGTCGATGGTGTTGAGTGACTGAAAAAATGCGGGTAACATGAACGTATCGGAGGTGAAAGGTAAATCAAGGTCTTGGCTCTGCTCCAGTTGCACCACTGGGCCACAACTTCCAAAGCACCGAGTCATGCAAACAAAAGCTTTCACGACTTACGTCTCCGTAAACCAACGGTTTGTTGTGCAATAATTCAATTCCCGGCTAAATTTTATCAATCAAAAATTTACGATTAATTTCTTGTAAGTTTATTTTTTTTCGATTATTATTATGAATTTTTTTCGTCATAATCCGAGTTAAAATTGCACAACGCAGTGTGTATAGGTCAGATGGAAAGTTAAAAAGTTAAACGAAATATCCTGCGTTACGCCAACGGAAGCTCAAGACAAGGTCGGTGTCACTACGTAATTAGATATGTTGGGAAATTTGTTTTTGCAAAATTTTGATTATCTTAAGAATTAATTTGTGTATAAATTAATTATTTTTTTTTTAATTCACTTAGTTTATTGATGGAAAGAGGATCTTCTCAACCATGGACAGACACTTTACTTCTTGCAACCGGAGAGAGTCGAATCACCGGAACTGCTATGAGAGAATATTTTAGACCGTTAGAAGATTGGTTAACAAACGAAAACTTAAGAACTCAAGAATTTGTTGGTTGGGTTTACGACGGAGATTATTGCAAACAAAGTATTGAAACGGCCGGGTTACAAGTGTTTGGAGGGTTTTATAATAACGCTCAAAGTTTGAAGTTTTCTAATATTATTGTATGTTTTGTGTTCATTATTTACTATTATATTTTAACGTGATAATTTCATTTACTTTTTTTAATTAATTAGATGTTTATAAGATTTTATTTCTTTTATATTTTGTATTATATCTTTATAAATATTGGTAGTGAAATATAATTATTTTCTTTATTACACTCAATTACACAGTTATTTTTATTTAAATCAATACAATACAAGGTAGAACCGATACAATCTCCTGCGATTGTTTATAACCAGAACTTATGTAAACCAAGTTATGTCATAATATACGAATTTTGTGAAAGTCTATAGAGTTTTACGTGAAACAGCTACAATTTGTTAACTGGTTTTATTATGGTTTATGTGGCCCCTTTCAAAAACACCAAACTTAGAATAACATTTTTAATAAACTTGTAATCATAACAATTAATGATAATTTTTTCAGATTTTTTTTGGGTTGATAATGACCGAAATTTATTAATACAAAAATGGATCGAATGAAAAAAAAATTACGTTAATTGCATAATTGTTACCGCATCTTAACACAGGTCCCCGCAAGTGTTACGAGTAACAAACGAATTCGCAGCACTTTTACCCATAAAATACTACTTTCACACGTGGTCCCCCCGCGACAGATGGTCACATTTACTTCCATCCACCATCTGTCATACTAAAGTCAATCGATGTGGTATTTAGTTTTTTGGCACGTCGTCCTTCAGGTTCTAGAAAATGAAGAGAAAAACTAGATTAGAAATGTTTTAGTTTCCTTTAAAGAGATGTTAAAATTTTTATTTTGCAGGAAGTTTAAATTGTTTAACTTGATTCCTGCTTTTTACTACTTGTAAAATAAAAACTTTCACGGTTTTATGATCTAATTCACATTCAATCAAATTTTTCATTTTATATGGTGGTTTTAGGGTAAATATCTTCCTATATATGAGAGATTTGTATCTTTACCAAGATATATAAGGAACGATTTCGGCCCAAATCGCCGAGGTCGTTTGCGGGCGAGGCGCTGGATTTGATATATCCACACGAAATCGTCAGTTTTACAGGATTTTAACAAAGCGACCTCGGCGGGTTGAAGGTAAATGTCTTCTTATAATGTATTCACACATAATCGTCAATTTTACAGGATTTCAGCCTTGTCGTAATAAGGGTAATAATTCCTACTCAATCCTATTGGCACTTTATTCGTTTATTTGTTACAAACAAATTTTAAACCACCTTTAATTGTTTTAATTTAAACAATTTTATGGTTTATTTAATTTCATTTATCTTAATCGAATTTCAATTCGATCATGAACCAAAAGCTTTCACGTTTCTTAAACAATATTTCTTGTAATTTACCAATTAGCGTTTACAAATCTTTACGCAATCTGCAGATTTCATGTAGTAATAAAACGCCAAAGTACAAATTTGATGAAGATCGTAATCGCAGTTGATTTTTTTAACAAAGAACAATAGGATAGCAAAAAAAATTCTTCATTCTTTCAAATATGACGTCATCTTGAGGGTACGTTTAACGCATTAAACGAGATAATGACTTCGCTTTGAAGAGCACAAAACGGATTCGGCTTCAGTCAGCAAATGGTTTCAGAGCATCCGAGATGATTATGATTAAAACATGTGCACATAATTTATTATTATTTGAAACGAGACTCTAAGTTAGTTTGAAAAGCGATTTTAGAGAAGAGGATTTTTAGTTTTAGTTGAATTAAGAGTGAGTGCAGTTTGAAAAGGTCAAAATGAGTGACCAAAAAAGTATGTATTAGAAGTAAGCGGGATGTGAAAGGAAGAGAGATTTGAGGTTTTCGTTACATAAAGTTTTCAGTTAGGATGAGCACTCATTTCTCTTCCTTTCCGTTTTAAATAATAAATTAATTTACGTTGCAAAAATAGGTTTAAAGAACAATGAAAAAAGAAAAATAGATAACATTGACATAAATTTTTGAGAAAATTCCCAACGTTAATTAAGAATTAGAATGAAAATTTTGAAATTTTGTTGTTTTGAAATGAAATTCTTTGTGGCTTAAATCGTCACAAATATAATTTAGAGAGCTACGGAAGTTGAGGTCCAATTACCGGCAATAACAGCATCCTATACGTGACAAATATGACGAATTAAATTAAACTACGTCGAGCGAATGAATTTCGCAGATGTCTTAGTAATTTAATACAACCACGGATTGTGCAAAAAACGTCGGAATTCTTCGGAACGTTTTCGTTTCCTAGACATCGACCATATGTCGATGATGATGTTGCGCGTATTTCTCGCCTCGGGAATCTAATAAAAATTAATTTTCTATTGCACAAACGTGTGAAAGCAAAAATCGTTCCATATCGAAAATGAATGGTCCAGCATTGACACGATTTCAACTATTTATTTTTAAAATCTTGTTTACTACAAGTTATTACAAAACTTTTTTTTAATTTCAGATTCGATTATTACGTAATTTATCATCAAGAAGAATTTAATAAATTTATTTTCATAGCCATGACTAAAATAAATAAATTAGTTTATTTATTACTCATCATTTACTTCTTTGATTCGAATTCAAGGATGATTTTTGGTGAATTAGTGGGAGATAATGTTTGCCAGGACGAAGAGAGGTGAGTAAAGGAAGGAACTTGTTTCTCTTCGTATATTGGTCTCATTATTCTTAATGCTTGACGACGACTTAAAAAAAAGGTAACGGCGAGAGTGCAGGATGAGTCCAATTTGTGCAATCTTACCGGAAGATATCGCTGCAGTGAGCTTATTATGCCCACCGTGTTCGACGCGTGGCGGTGCGTGCGATGACGAGTGGATTTCAATCTTCAGGTGCCGAAAGAAAGTAAAAGTGGCTTCTGAATAGAAATCTTCAAAGGCGTAATTATGTATATCGATGTTTCGATTCATGTTACAAGTACTTCCTTCTTATTGTTGCATTAAGATTTTTATTCAGATATTTTTCATTGTCTTTGAAATAATTATATTAATGCAGATCAAAAACTTGGTCGATATTGGTGTGAAAGTTGTTCCAGAAAATATTTCAGGTCAATATTACCACTTCTTTTTCGTAAACGTAATTTCCGCCTTAATGGGTATATGGGCCGCATTATGTGTTTAAAATCGTTAAAACCAATACGTTTAAATTTAATCGATCTCGCGAAATATAGAGCAAATGTCGAAATATTTCTTCACCAAATAATTACCATTTCAGACGATGCAAACTCTTCCAACAACTTCCGTTCACTTCTAACTTGAAAACAACTTCCAGTTCCTAACAACTTTCATCTAATACACATTAAGAATAATTACAACATCTACTTTATTTTTTGTGAAGTTAATTCTTGTTTATAAGTGTACAACTATGTACATTTTCACTTTTATTACTCATATTTTTTTGAACATTAATTTTTGATTATGTAAGGTGAAGAATTTCGATTTTTTTTTCTTTGTTGCCTCTTCTGAAATAAGATTAGATTAAATTGGCTAAGATATCGTTATATAAATATAGAGAAAGCCCCTAAAAACGGTATTAATTTAGCTCGGGCGTTCGTAATGGCTCCATGTAAACGCGTTCTACCAGTTTTGGGTATGGCGTTTATGAAGAATGCGGAAGATTGTGAAATCCCAACAGATCTAAAATAAACTTATTTAACAAATAATAAACGCCATTAAGCACGTAGTGTACCAAAAGCACATTTAACGCATTTTCTAGCCATTGACAAACGATTATTGAAGATTTATTTGACAGGGCCAAGATTTCTGGAGAGATATGGTAGCATTAAATAACTCCTCATCCGTCCGATGGTGCAATTTTCCTCTTCCATTCATCTCTGTCTTCTGATGCCCTTTTCTAGTTTGCAGTTTCTAACACGTTCATAGCATCCTCCAAACTGTTTTTCTAGTGTTTTCTTTGGTATTCTTCCATCAGAATCCTTTGGACATGTCCTGTCCATGTTAATCGTTTGAGCTTTATATATTCTGAGACTCAAGGTGCCTCATATAACTGGAACAATTCAATTTAGTTGAGGTTGGGTTGAGTTCAGGCCTTGTGTACTTTTCCAATATTCTTTCTGATAAAGGTTTTCCCTTCATTTTTCTTATTTCATTCTAGAATTTCCTGTTATTCAATCCGTATGCGTCACTTAAGTTTGTTCCGAATTCTTCCCAACTTTTCTTTTCTCTAGCTACATGTCTCTTCGTTCTATAATTTGCTCTATCCTCTTCCAAATTCGTTCTTATGTATTTCTTCTTTTTGATTGCCTGTCGGACCTCTTCATTCCACCGGTGTGTTTTCTTTGTCTGATTATTATATTTTCTCATGCCACACATCTCGATAGCTTTATTCAGTGTTAAATTCTCCGTTTGTTCTAGCTTTTGAAATTCGTTGTTAGTTTTTTCTTGGTATTTTGTTCTTTCTTCCTCCTGCCTTAGTTTATGGATGTTTATTTATCTTTCGATTTCTATATTATTAATACTTGCCATGACTAGTCTGTGGTTGGTTCCCATTTCTGCTTTTGCTTCAGTCTTTACCTCCTCGACTCTGTTTTGGATATTCTGGGTGTATGTGATGTAATCAATAATACTTTTAGCATTCTTTTCTTCCGCCACAAACGTATATTTATCTTGCCCCCTCTGACTCCACATAGTGTTTCCAATCAATAAGTCGTTCAAAATTCTTTTAATTGTGGATTACACGAGGGATAATTCTCAAGGCCAAAGTAATGTTGCAGTAATAAATGTATCATCTGTGCCTCGATTAATCGTCGAGCGGTTGCGTAACAAGTGATATGTAACAAAATTAGTTCGAATCAGAATTGAGAATTCATCTTTACACAAAAATGTCTAAAAAAGGAATTTTATATTTTAATTAGACAATTAACAAGAAAAGGTCATGATTTGGTCATCGTTTAATCATAAACAATTTATTTTTTAAACATTTTCAATCCAATCAATTTAATTATTCCGATTTTCCCACCCATTTTCTAATTAAAAGCTTAATTAACTTAATCAATCTCGTTGTTTATGTAGGTTTATTTATAATTTTTCTTGTTGATTGTTTTGATTGGTTTATTGTTTTAATTTGTAGGTACATGGTAAACGTTACGAGGCATTTTCTAAGAAACATTACAATCCGGGACTACGAATGGTGCCTTCAGGTTCCGCCACGGTGTTCCACTTACAAAGTGCAACAGATAAACGACTCCAGAACAGTTGTAAGTTTACAACCGCAAGTCCTACATTGCGTGGACTAATAAATCGGATTTCACTTTCTATCTCCCATTCAATACGGTTGTCTTTGCCAATTTTCCCAAATGGAATCAAATGAATCCAAGGATGAATTTCAAAAGCAACGATTTAAATTTTAAAATGACCCTTTTATAGATCAAAAAAAATTTTTCTTGACCATAATTATCTTGATGTGGGAATTGGATTTTTATGAAAATAATTATTAGATCCGCATTTTTGTAATGCAAAAATGATCTTGAAAGTGTTGAAGCTAACAATGATGTATGAGTATTTCATGATATCGAGGTATTCAAAGAAAAAGTAACAGGATCTCGGTCGCAAAAAGATCTGTATCGGAGGTTAACTATGCTTTGCCGACGGAATAATGGATTTCTGTAAAACGTGACTCGTAATTTGCGTTAAGTAACCGTCTAAATCCGCCCGCGCACCAACACGAAAACGTTGTACGATCTAAGAGAACTTTTGAATCAACCCAACCCGTTCTATTTATTCCATTTATTTATCACACGGTTTATTTGTTTATTAGGAAGAAGAAAGAGTGAAATACATCAAAACTTGTTGCAGCGGTTACAAACTTTCAAACAAAGGAGATTCTTGCATTGCAGAAGGTTGTCCAAATTGCATAAATGGTATATGCAATAAAACCCAAATTTGCGATTGCGAACCTGGGTACCAAGGAATCGATTGTAGCGAAGGCAAGATGAATTAATTTTTTAATTTAATTTATTTATGAATGAATTGCGAATGAATTCATTGTCCTATTTACGTTTCTTTGTGTTTAATTAATTACCTCGTCGAGGAAGTCTTTTCAAATCCAACGATTTTCTCCTCGATACGCTGCAAGTTTTCTTTTTTTTTAATTCTCTTTTCTTTATAATAAACGCACACGTCCGACGATTATATAACGGGTTATGAGAAGAAAGCCGCTTTTCCTTCTTTCATTTCAGAATGCGATACCGGCTTTTTTGGGAAAGATTGTAAACAAGAATGTGATTGCGGCGATCAAGGGATTTGCAACAAAGAAAATGGGAAATGTTTTTGCCCTCAAATACAAACAATAAACGGATTAAGGTAAAAATAAATTTGAATCAAACTTTAATTAATTTATAATAAAATTCTTTTTGATAGGTGTGAACCAACATGTTCGAGAGATAAACCTGATCATGAATGCAAATTTCAATGTATTTGTTTTCCTATAAAAGAAGAAGCTTCGTTAGTTCTTGAAACAACGACAGATTTTGATTTTTCAACTCAATACGATGACAATTTTGATGTGATTGATGATTATAATAGTGAAGAATTAATTAGGAATATTCAATTGATTAAAACTAATAGTTATGTGACGAAACCATGGGTTAATATAAAAAGATCGAGTAGTTATCCCTTTAGCTATTTCACAACTGAAAATAATAAACCACCGAAAATGTATGGATTTGATATATTATCAACCAAAAAATTTATCACTACAACTGAAGCAGCGAAAACAACAACAATAACAACAACAACAACAACGATAAAAGAGATTAATAATATAAAAGAAACAATGAATAATAATTTTTCTAATGAGAATTTAATAATAGATAGTAGATTATTTATAACAGTATTATGCGCGGTACTTTTTTCAGTGCTCGTGATACTTTTTGCAGTGACGTTTTGTGTGCTGCATAGGTTAAAGGAGAGAAAACGAGAATGTGAATTAAAAATTAAAGAGAAATCTGCGCAAAACATCCCCAGCGTTTCCGTTACTGCGAGAAGCATTTTCCATACCCCTTTACCAGGTAAGAAAATTGCAATGATAAAATGTTATTGTACGGGAATTTAAGAATTAAAAACCTCGATAAAATCTACAACAGGATATTGACCATTAACATTCAAATTATGATTAATCAAGATTGAAATTGAAAACCTTCACAATTCTTTTTTAAATATAGAACTAAGTGAAGGTTTTTGAATTCTTTATTTTTGTTTGGGGTTTTAAAAATTTTTATTAAAAAGAGTGTTCATTAAACATTTCTCTATGACATCAAAAATTTTTGTTTCTTAATTCCTAAACGTTTTGGAGAAAATAATTTTTTCTTTAGCAAACGTAAAATTAAATAGGTGAGTTTTGAAAATAAATATAAAATAAAGTAATCACGTTGAGAACTTAAAATTTGGCATAATCAAACCTCAAACCTTCCCTTATAATCTCATGGAGTCTTATTTCTTAAATCCTCACCCTTTCAGAGAAAACTATTTTTTTTTTCTTCTCAATTTCAGCTCAAATTCAACCCCATCACAGCTTTGTCGGATCTTCTGGCTCATCACGTATTCTGCTCATCTCAATCTTGTAATTCTTATCCTTTTCTCGATTTCCGGCTCCCTTACTATATTTAGCACAATTTACTTCTTATCCAGTACTCTTCTAAATCGTTCCAAATCATCACATACATTGTGGGGTCTACAATCCAGATTCATAGAGAAGCGTTTTGATCAAAGCATACGAATGCTGCACTTAATGAGGTGTTAGAATGTGTGCCGAGACTTCAAAAGATGCACTTTTTCATATTTATTTCATTTAATATCGCTGTAATTGATAGATTTTAACTTTAATTTGTGTAGACTCCGTGGCGCAACGGTAGCGCGTCTGACTCCAGATCAGAAGGTTGCGTGTTCAAATCACGTCGGGGTCAATTAATTTTTTTTATATTTTTGTTTTAGAACCTCCAACATTTCAAAACCCAGTTTTTTCATTACCTTTGGACTCAAATCTTCAACCAAACGCAATCGAGGTTGTTTGTAACATGAATTTTCCTAAAAGTACATCTTCTACATTACAGGGTAATTAAATTTGATGTTAAATATATTTGAAAACATTTTTTTTTCAGAAGAATTTTTTTATGATCATCCACCATCCACAGGAAGTTATCGAGCGGCTTCAATTCCAGAACCTCCAACACCTTTACTAGAAAAGCTCAGTTTCGATCCGATTTACGATGAAATTCCGAATCAAAAGAAGCAAATATCATCATCGTCAAGTCCTCCACCTTCGTATATTTCAGATAAATCAACTCTTTACATGAATACGCGATGATGTTTGTTTTGATTCCTTTTTTCTTTTTGTTAATAAAGATAAGAAAATTGAAATCGTTTGTTTTGATTCAAAACTTGTTGCCAAATTGAAAATAATTTAAACAACAATAAACAGAATAACCACAAATATAGATTAAAACTTATTAAAATGATATTCTAATATTATTTACGCGCACTTTGACTGAAATGCGTCAATTAAAATTGCGAATGAAATCTAAATTTGGCGATTATTACATTTTTGGCACATATCATTGTAACAAAATAGGTTCATTAAACTTAGTGTTAAAAAAAAGATTAATAAATCCAGTCATAACAGAAATTGTACACAAAAATTGATACAAGAAGAATTAAATTAATGAATGAAAAAGATTCATTACTTAAAAACAATAATTTATGTTGTTTCTCTTTACTTGCTTTTCTAATAAACTTATCTAATTATTATATTAATTAAATGTTGAAAGATGATTAAACACACAGCTGTTAATTTAACCTCATTAAAATGATTTTAAAGACCAACTTTTTTAGTTTAATATAAAAACGTTAAAACTTTTCCATGACTTATTTTCAATTTAGACAAGTCATTACTTAATTTTAATTAATAAATAAATTTTTTGTCAAAACAAAAAAAAATCTTAAAATGCCTTAAGTTGGCAAAATTTAATATTGTTGGCCTCGAAAATCAAAAAACGTCATCTAAACTCGTCCTACCCAGACCGATCTAGTTATTCGAGATAACTTCAATGCCCCTAACGTCTCCGCGTATCTCTTGCTACTATCGTCCAACTTCACCAGCAGCAGCAGGAAGAGCATCAACAGTACAGTGTGCAATTCAAATTATTATTTCGAGAGACATCACTCTCTGTACGTGCAATTCTTTTAACCGGAGCGTATCCCTACGCATCCTTCTCTTTTCATCTCTTTTGAATGAAGATCAAACATGGTTACGGCCGCAACAGCTCTATTCACGCTTTCTATCGTATATTACGCGCTCTTGGGAACGGTTAACACGGCGCCAAAAAAAATTGATGAAGATGAAATTTTCGAAGATTACCTTGAAGAGTAAGTTTTAATTTAAAATAAGTTTTCGAATTAATTCTGTCCCATTTAAAGTTATTACCAAGACTTGAATAACAACGCATTAGAAGACGTTTCTAATAAAAAATCATGCCCCGATGGATATAAATCCAAAAACGGAATCAATTGTATACCAATTTGCACGTATGGATGTGAAAATGGAAAATGTACATCTCCGGATGTTTGCGAATGTGAATTAGGGTAAGATTTTCTCACATTTCTAAATTAAATGATTCAATTACGTTTAATTTAGGTACGAGTTCGTGCTTAATAAATGTGTGCCAATTTGCACGAAACCTTGTAAGTACGGCTTTTGTAGCACACCGGGTGTTTGCTCGTGTTTTTTCGGAACGATTTGGAATGAAAAATTATCAAGTTGCGTATTTAACATTGAAACTAGGCATAAACGAGGGTTTGTTGGATCCGAATTACTGTTGTTGCAACCTTGGACCACAAAACAATCTTCAACGACGAAGAAACCGGTGAAAAAATCGACTTTAAGAAAAACTTTAAAAGTGAAGCCATAACCCAAGTACAATTAGTGTTTAAATTTTTTATATATAGGCTAACCATGTTACATGTCAGTATATTAATTTGTATAATTTTGTAAATATAATATTTAATGTAACTTTTAAAATGTTTGTCTTGATTTATTTTTTTTATTTCATTATCTCAGGATATCCTGAGACTATAAAATTATCTTCTTTCATTAGCGAATAAACAGTACGTCCTTTGTAGATTGATGAGTTTATCTCGGTAATGAAATGTTTATAAAGTTCCTTTCATTTATTAAAGTTATTAAACATTAGTTATAATGATTAAAGCACAATCTAAAAATAAGGTATTTATGAAAAATAAGAAATGTATTTATTTATTTCACAATAAATCTTCATCAAATTTGCTTTAAGATGGTGTATATTTCATAACGATATCCCAATTCGTTCTTGAGATACGATTTTTTAAGATTTATTTTTCACATTTGTAACAACCAAGCATGCAGAGTTGGATTTAAAAGATCATAACAACGGTGTTTATGAAAAATAAGAAATTATTTTTGGCACAATAAATCTTTACCAAATTTGCTTTAAAATGTTATTTATTTCATGATGATATCTCAATTCGTTCTTGAGATACGGTTTTTTAAAGTTTATTTCGTATTTAAAACAATCAAACATGCAGAGTTGGATTTAAATAATCATAAAAACGATGTTTATGAAAAATAAGAAATTATTTTTGGTGTTTATTTCATAACGATATCTCAATTCGTTCTTGAGATACGATTTTTTAAGATTTATTTTTCACATTTGTAACAATCAAGCATGCAGAGTTGGATTTAAAAGATCGTAACAACGGTGTTTATGGAAAATAAGAAATTATTTATGGCACATTAAATCTTTATCAAATTTGCTTCAAAACGTTCTTTATTTTGTGATGATATCTCAATTCGTTCTTGAGATACAGTTTTTTAAAGTTTATTTCGTATCTAAAACAATCAAATATGCAGAGTTAGATTTAAATAATCATAAAAACGGTGTTTATGAAAAATAAGAAATTATTTTTGGCACAATAAATCTACATCAAATTTGCTTTAAGATGGTGTTTATTTCATAACGATATCTCAATTCGTTCTTGAGATACGATTTTTTAAGATTTATTTTTCACATTTGTAACAACCAAGCATGCAGAGTTGGATTTAAAAGATAGTAACAACGGTGTTTATGGAAAATAAGAAATTATTTTTGGCACAATAAATCTTTACCAAATTTGCTTTAAAATGTTATTTATTTCATGATGATATCTCAATTCGTTCTTGAGATACGGTTTTTTAAAGTTTATTTCGTATCTAAAACAATCAAACATGCAGAGTTGGATTTAAATAATCATAAAAACGGTGTTTATGAAAAATAAGAAATTATTTTTGGCACAATAAATCTTCATCAAATTTGCTTTAAAATGGTGTTTATTTCATGATGATATCTCAATTCGTTCTTGAGATACGATGCTTTTCTAATCCGTCACTCAAAATTTTACTCAATAAAAACTCATTAATATTATAAAAAAACTAGTGTAATAAAAAAGGAGAAACCTCAACACTTTCTTCCAGCAATTATTTCATTAAAAAATAAGTCACATGATGTCCAGCCAATCTAAGCAAAAGAGAAACTAAACGATAATAAACAATACCCAGAATCGTAAACCATAGATCATCCATATTCAAGGTAATGACGTAGTCCTACTCAAAAAAGATCTGTAAACATCCCAAATTGTTTTTCGTCTATATAAATAAAAATTCATCGAGGATGTTTTATCATTTTGTGACCGAATTTATGATTGAAGTCCTGGCCGAAATTGTTAAAATAAAAAACGATAACGACAAAAGAGACAACAATCTCTTCGTTCCCATTTACAATCTCTCCGTATGCTTGAATCATTTTAGTTTAAAAAGAGTTAGTTGTCGCAAAGTTGTTGAGGAGACAACATGTATTCGTTAAATAATATTGCAATTTTAGTCTTTTTGTCGATTTTTGGTACGATTTCGATCGTTTCTGGTGCAGAAAATGTAACGAAAAAAGAACCCGGAGTTTGTTATCTTGAAGTGCCGTAAGAAATTTTTGTTAAACATTTTAATAATGACCTTGAACTCTCGTAAATAGATTATTACGTTTTATATCTTTTTCTTTTAGAACCATCGACTTGTTAAGTGACGATCAAAAGTTGAATCAAGACTATTTAAAAGGAAATGGAGTAAGATTTATTTTTAATTTTTAAATTATCATTTAATACTTTTAAAATTTTTAGTCTCGACCTGGATACACAAAAATCCAAATTTGTTGTATTGGTTATAAATTGCAAGATCACACAGCTTTCCACTGTGTTCCTGATTGCCCGGATGGTTGCCTAAATGGTAATTGCACATCTCCTGGAGTTTGCGAATGCCGCAAAGGATTCGTACTCGGTCCAAAAGGGACATGTGTTGAAGTTTGTCCTAAAGGGTGTTACAACGGCGTTTGTGTTGCTAATGGTACTTGTAATTGTAATCCAGGATATAGTCTTGATCCCAAACATCTTTTCTGCATCCCACAATGTGCAAATGGATGTGGTTCTGGTGGTGAATGTGTTGCACCAAATAAATGCGAATGCCAAAAAGGGTAATCAACAAAAAACAAATAAACACATTTAATTTCTTAATAACCTTTTAGGTTTTATCAAAACAAAAATGGAAAATGCGAATTTTTCTGTGATGGTGGTTGTTCCGGAGGGGAATGTATAGGACCAAATCAATGTTCTTGTAAAACCGGTTTCGAAAAACTCAACGGAGCTTGCGCTCCAAAATGTACGAAAGGTTGCAAAAACGGAGATTGTATTTCTCCCGACGTTTGTAGATGTAAATCAGGTTGGAAATTGGATAAATCAGGATCGATTTGTGAAGCCACCTGCGATCAACCATGTTTAAATGGAGTGTGTTCAGGTCCTAATGAGTGTAGTTGTAATTCTGGGTACACCAAAGATCCCAAAGAACCCAAAGGCTACAGATGCGTCGCTTATTGTCCGGAAGGTTGCCCAAATGGAGTTTGCTCATCTCCAAATTTCTGCATTTGCAATCCCGGGTATATTAAACAAGGGAAAGGAAGCAATATTTGCATCAAAAGAACCAGAAGGCATTCGTTCCATCCCGAATTAATCCCAGAACAGATGTTTTAAGAAAGTTTTTGATGTATTTGAATATGATATTGTTAAAAAAACATTTTCGTATCATAAAATATAAGATGTTAATATCCAAGTATTTGAATTAACCTAAATATCTCGCTTGTTGTTTTAGATAATAAATAAAAAAATTTAGTTATCGCATCAAATACCGCTAATTTTTTGCTATGGGGTTGGGTTTTTTTGCTTTAGGGTTATGTTAGAAGTTCCTATAGGTTGACCACGTGTCAAATTTGTATTAGAGTTGAGTTGTTATGGTCTGCGCTGGACTTGCTTTCGAGTTGGAGTATAGTTGCATTAATTTACCCCAAGGTAGTAAATTGGCGAAGCAATTGAACTATACTACAAGTCATTAGGTCAGAGTCTCCCAACTGAATGTGGGCTGATAATTTTATTGAATTAAGCTATGCACCATTAATTTATTTTAAAAACAATTTTAATTAGTAAAATTAGGTAGAATTACTGTTCATCAGCCCAAATATTTTAAAAGTTATTAATTTTTAACAATTTTTTTTGTCGAATTTCTTGAAAATGTTATTGTTTATAAATTAGTAATCAGCATTTTTTTTAATTGTACGCCATTTTTCCTGGTAATCGGTTTGTTAACATGTGTTTACACTTAAACAAGTTCACAAGTCCAAAGTTGATAAATATTCGATGCTAACGCAGTGTTAAATCAACCTCCTTCAACATGAAATACACAATTTTAATTTTTTTCTTCGGATCTCTTATATCCGTTAACTCTCTAAGTGGAAAAGGTGTTTGCAAATTTGAAGTACCGTAAGTATTAAACAAAAAATTGATCGATCTTTTTATTTGATTAATATTATTCAATAGAACGATCCAATTAATAAGTCAAGAACAAAAACATCTTGTTGATTCTTTTAAAGGAAATGGGGTAATTATGTATAAAAATTATAATAATTATAATAAAACTTTAATTTTAGTCAACACCTAGTCACAGTACCATCGAGGTTTGTTGTTCCGGTTATAAACTCGACTGTAACTCTCAAAGATGTCTACCAGAATGTGCCCAAGGTTGTGAAAATGGAGAATGTACAGCGCCGAATACTTGCACCTGCAAACATGGTTTCATAAAAGGCCCCAAAGATAAATGTATCAGAGTGTGCCCTTGGGGTTGTTTAAACGGAGTCTGCGCAAACGATGGTCGCTGTTCTTGTAATTCCGGTTACACAATGCATATAAATGGAATGTATTGTTTACCAACTTGTATTGGGGGATGTGGTAAAGGAGGAGAATGCGTCGCACCAAATCAATGTCAATGTTTAAATGGTTATTACAAAGATTACCAAGGAAAATGTATTCCATCATTGTCTCAATATCAACCTCATCAACAACAAATTTATAATCAAACCAATCAAATGAATCCGAATACTCAAAATCGATCCTGTCAAGGAGGTCATCAACTGATTAATGGTGAATGCAAACCGATTTGTAGCAAAGGATGTCAAAATGGAGTCTGTTTAGCACCGGAAAGATGTAGTTGTAACCCCGGATGGATTTTAGATCTATCCGGAAGTATTTGTACTCCACATTGTAACCCAGCCTGTATTAATGGAGATTGCACGGGAGCTAATCAATGTTCTTGTAAGAATGGGTACATTAATGACCCAACAAGATCCTACATGTGTATAGCGCATTGCCCTGGAGGTTGTCCTAATGGGGTTTGTTCCGGCCCGAATTTCTGCATTTGTAAACCTGGATACGTCAAAAGGGGACGAGGATCTAACGAATGCGTTCCTGGTTATTCCGGATAAAACGTAAATTGGGTTGCATAAATTTGACTATTTTGTAATTTCATGGAAACAATTTTATTATTAAACATAAATAAATCTTTCAAAATAACTTCAAGGTTTTCAATCAAATAATTTACTTAAAATGTCTCAAATTTCGGATGTGGGCTCCCAAATTATGTATAGATCCGTTGGTTGGACGTGGGGATGGAGATCTATACTTATGTTACAATTTCAATTGCAATTTTCCGTGGCAATCGCTTTATCGATTGTGATTAGTTTTGTTGTTGTTCTATCAGAAGCCGCGTACGCAATAGGAGCTTCAAATTCGGATAAAATTCCTGTTTTGTATGATAACCAGTCAATTTGTAAGTATTTATTTTTAATTTTAATTTTTTCTTCGTTACTTCATCTTCATTCAGACGCACGGCTAAATCAATGACAAATCTAATATTAGTATTAGTTTTAGTTGTTATTCAGCGCCAAGTTATTGTATATTTTTATTGAACTAAAAATTAGAACTAACACAATTCGTTTTTATTTATTTTTAGATCTTTTATATGCCTTCGACATAGTTTACTTCATCGACCTCATCTTAATGACAATTTATAAATCGTTAGGTTGGACGGATATCAACTTTAAACACAGCCCAAGAGAATTTATAGTTTTAATGATAGAATACGGTTCTTTAATACCATTAGATGGAATGTACTTTGTATTTTCGGATGCGCAACTTCAAATTTTGTACATCTTACGATTAAGATACGCCATAAGAATCGTCCGCTTAATCTTATATTATCACGGAACGAATTATATCTTTATAAAAAGCTACGTTGTCCATATAATATTGGTGGTGATTGTTGTTATTATTGTAGCAACTATAGCTTCGGCTGTATCTTACGTTTCCGTTTGCGATGGTGAAAGTAGAACGTGTGGTTATATGGATACTGATTTATTTAAACAAATTTCGTATACGTTTTTATCTAAAATAACTGAAATGGGGGTGAATTACGAGAATTACACCACATTGAGTGGTTCTTTATTGTTTTTTATTGGCGTTATTTTTTTTCTGTGTAATATGTATTTAGTTAGCAATTTTATTTGTGATATTGTTATTTACATGGAAGAAAAGTATTTTTTGGTTAGTAATTATCGCCGATTAAAAGTGCGAGTTGCACGAGCTGGATTTTATGTAAAAGCTAGTAATCCCCACAAATATATTAAGATTTTACACGATTATTACGATTTATTTTGGGAAAAAAGACACGGAATAAACGACGATTTTATTACTAAAAATCGATATTTACCCAATATAAAATCGAAAGAAATTTTTTTGGATTTGTCTTGGATACCGTTTCAACACAGTCATTTTTTTCGCGAAGAAACCACCCATTTTCTAAGACATTTATCTTTAATCGTTCGACATATTTCGAAAGCACCCGGTGAAATTATTTACCAAAAAGGGCATCAAAAATCTGAGTTTATTTACGTTGCTTCGGGTGTTGTGCAAATTTTATCGGAAGAAGATAATGAAACACCCATTATTTCTTTATCCGATGGGACATGTTTCGGGGAAACTTGTTTATTTGTGGATTACAAATCAAACTCAACTGTTATTTGTAAAGGTTATTGTGAGTTAGCTGTTATACATCGAAAAGATTTTATAAAGATATCAAATCTTTATCAAAGAAAAATGAGGAGACTCCTTAAAAACACCTTAACTAGATATAAATACGCAAATTATTTCGCAAAGTTATCTAAATTGCAAGGTGTTGATACTCACAGTGAGGGAGAGATGCATATTCGCTGGTTAATATACACTTTAAGAAAACTTCTTTATGGTGATATTCAAGGCGGGTCGAGACATATGGTGCAAAAATTAGAATCCACTATTTTTTGTACGAAATTTTTGGATATGTTGGTAATAGCCCAAGAAATTAAACTTGTAACAGACACAGTTTTTTTAAAAAAATCATTTCCTTGGATTCTCCAACCATCATCGCCCGTTTTAATCGGATGGAATCGATTAATTACATTCGCATTTCTCGTCCACGCTGTATGTTACATGTACACAATTACAGTTGCGCCGGAAGTAAATAATTCTTACATTATTTATCACGCAATTATAAGTATGCTTTGGATTTGCGATCTTTACATAGAAATGTCGACAGCCGTTCAAACAACGGAACATTTTTTGATTACCATCAAAGATATTATTAGTTATAAATCGCAAGATTTTACGTTTTTGTTAAATATTGCAGCTGCTATGTGCCCTGGATTATTATTATTTTTAACTTTACCGAATTCAAGCCCAAGAGTTGTTTTGTTATACGAATGTAACAAACTTTTAAAGGTTTATAAAGTGGAACAATTTTTCGAGTCGATTAAATACTCATCGATGACTAAAATGGTGTTTCTTCTTTATTTGAAATTTCTTATTTATATGGCGTTATTGTTACTTTATTTTGCTGGGTTTTTAATCACCACTGTTTGCTTCGATTGGGAGTGCACAGAAAGTTTCAAAACATATATGGAGAGGTAAATATAAGTAATATAACAACAATTATTAAATTAATTTTAATTAATCTTTTAGTATTGGTCATTTCGATCCATTAAGAGTACTTCGTTTCGGTTTGTTACAAGTAATCAACTTCTTTTGCAATTTCTTGCGAGTCTATCACAATTACCACTCGTACAGCGATCTTATAATATTACAATGCGTGTTTTTTCTATTTCAAATCCTTTTTACCGCATCAAGAACAGCGGCGGAAGCTCTAAGACGTTACGACGCTCAAAATATGAGTAATTACGCAACTAGAGTCATGTCTTTATTCAAAACGTTCAATGCCGTTAAATTGTATTATGGGGACGCCTATCAAAACATGAAACTCCAATATCAATACGATTCAACAAACTTTTTACATAAAAAAGAGGTTTATCAAGTGTTATCGAAAAATTTTTTGACTATTTTAAGAGAAATCGTGTACAAAGAGGATGTATTAAAATTTACCATTTTTTCTGGAGCTAATAAATTTTTAATCGAACAAATTGCGACCGTGATGAGATCGATTATTCTTTGTAAATCTTCTTTGGTGGTGAGTCAAGGTGAACTTTGTAAAAAAATGTTTTTGCTACAAATTGGGAATTGTATCATCAAATATCCGGATGGGACCACGAAACTTTTAAAAGCAGGGGATACTTTTTGTGTATTAGAAACTTGTATGCAAACTACTAGTTTTAATAGAATCGAAACTATTACAACTTGTCAGCTTTTAATGTTAAAATTTGAAGATTATTTGCAGGTAATTATCATACATACAATTATTTTTATTAAATTCACAATTCATCTCACTCAATCAAAGTTCCGATCAACCATACTTTTCGTCCTAACTTCCTCTCTCCTTCAATTCGGGCACTTAATGGTGTACGCCCTCACATTCAACCTTGGCTAGATCTTAAACAAGCTTTTAAAACTACGACGAAAAATTTCTCACAAACAAAAAAAAAACAGCTAAAAACGAATGGATGACAAAAGATATTCTTGAACTAATGAAGAAGCGAAATTAAGAATGGTCTCAAATAGAGAAAATTAGCCTCTTCAATGACGACAGACCAGAGAACCCTCCAGCAGAGGGATCCACTCTGCCAGGACCAAATGTATTAAGAAGTAAGGTCATACACGCCATTAACTCGATGGTTTGAAGAACTTTTCAGTTTTAGGCACAACCAAATTAAATGACAGTGCAAGTTTTTGTAAAGAAGCTTCATTTTTCACTTTGGCACCACAACATTCGATGAATTTACATTTACATTTTCATTTTACATCTTTTTCTATACAATAACTTTTTCATTTATTCTACATACATAAAGATTTAATTTGATGATACTAATTTCATGTTAATTTTATTGCAGATAATGATGGGAAATATGGAAATGTATCAAATTTGGCGATCAACGTGCGATGAATTCAAAGAAACAGTTTCAAAAGAATCATTAAAAATTCTAGACATATCGTACCAACCTAAAAAGAAATCCGCCAAGAAAACTTTATTACAAAAATTGGGAATTTATAAAGTAAAAGTAAAAAGACGAGATTTTCCAAAGTGGATGATCGGATTTCGGTCACTTTTTATGCCGTACACTATCCGATCAGACGGCTTATTTTTAATAATTTGGGAGATAATCGGTTGGATTTTAGGAATAATCGCCGCTTTATTAGTTCCAGCTTTAGCTCTTCTTTGTTCTAAGGAATCAAATTTATATTCACTTTTCCTCATTATAGACGTAATTTTTTGGTTCGATATTTATTTACGTCATCATGTTATGTATTATAACCCTTATGGTATTGAGGTGAGTCATCCGTATTGGACCGCCTGTCATTATTGGAAACATTCGTTTCTTTTGGATATTTTAGCATGTTTTCCGTTCGATTTAACTTATTTTTTTATTAACAAAGGGACAACTATAATTCCATTTTATTATCGTATGAATCGTTTGGTTCGTTTATACCGAATTAATGGAATCGTTCGTTATTTTACATTTATCGATATTAACCATATAAAAATGGTCGAATCATTTAAGTTTGTTTCGCTTTGTTTAGTTGGAATTTCAATCACAACGTCGATACATTTTATGACGGTTTGTGAAATGTACCCAAATTGTACAGCGAAATGTGTAAGTAGTTTAATTCGATTGAATGAGACGGATGAATCGGAGTTTTCAGCCTCTAAATATCATAGATTAAGTTATTTGTATTCAGCTTCGTTATTTTTAAATAATTATTATGGGTTTAATCGTTTAATCGTTCGTTCTGAAGAAAATTTGTTGATGGTGATTGGTCTTGTTGGTTATTTATTTTGGGCTTACGTCTCTTCTAATGTAATAGCTGTAAATTTAACGAGAAATTTTTATTTAATATCGTATCAAAACGCTATGAAAGATTTAGTTAAATTTATGAGTATGAGGCGATTAGATAAGCGCTTAAAAAATGAAATAATTGCACATTATGAGTATATATGGCATAAAAAGCAAGCAATTAAAATTAAAACTTTGCTTGCAGTTTTTCCCGAGCCCATTAAAAAATCGATTTTAGTCGAAATATGCGGTATGAAAATGTTGCAATCGGACGTTTTTTCTTGCGCAAACGAAGGAATTATAAGGAGTTTAATCGGTTTTGCGCGACATTTAATTATTTTAAAAAGCGGAATTATTTATCGCGTTAATGATGTTATAAGCGAATTATATTTTATACATAAAGGTAAAGTTGAAGTTATCGGTCCAGATGGAAACAGCATGGATATTTTAGAGGAAGGGAGCATGATTGGGAGTTTAGATAACATTTCAATGTCCAGACAAACGTTAACGATGACGGCTTATGGACACGTTGAGTTATTGTATTTCCCAACGGTTGAGTTTCATAAAACTTTATCTAAATACCCGTTCGTTTATAAGAAATTTTTACGTTTTACTTATATGAATGTTGATTACATTAAAAACGAAAAACAAACTGTGAAACAAAAAAAGGCAACCAAAAAACGATTAACTAGGATTTTCGATCGAAATCGTTGGATGGTTTTTTGGAAAAAAACCATGGTTTGCGTTGCGTATTTAAATTTTGGATTAGAAACTTATCACATGTCCACGTTAGATCATTCCCCAATTTTAATTTTTCTGTTATATCTAATCGACTTTATGTACTTAATGAGAATTTTTTTCAAATTTAATACAGCGTATATCGACGAATTTGGAATTACAATCAAAAATAAAGCTTTAATCGCGGCTAGATACAAAAAAACGAGTTTATATTTCGACTTAATCTCAATAATCCCCTTCGAAATGTTTAGCATTTTCATGTTAGGATATAGTTATACAGCATCAGCTTATGCTTGGACTTATCTTAGAGGAAATAGGTTAATCCGAATCGGATACACCTTAAAATACGCTAAAATAATCATTCATAAACTTAACACAAACGCTTTTTGGGTTCGAACGATGCATTGCACTTTATTACTGTTAGTGTATTTAACTTCGTTAACTTCAATTCTTTGTTTTTTCGATTCATTTAATTATCCCTTAGAAGGAAAGTCGGGGATTGAAAAATTAAAAATTTATTTAAGTTATTTAAGAATGATGTTAGAAATGATTATTAAAACGACGATAACGTATGATTTAGAACGTCTTCATACGAATTTTGACCACGTTTTAGTGTTTGCTATGGTCCTTTCTAAGTGTATGGCAATGAATTATATGGCGCAAGTTGTTTATACAACTCAAATTGTTAATCATCGCCGGGGAATGTTTGAAACGTTCTCGTCTAAACTAAAAACGTTTATGAGATTAAATTCTTTATCGCATCCTTTGCAAGCAACGAATATTGAATATTTAAGTTCGCTTTGGAGTCATTTTAAAGGCGAACAATTTCCCCAACTTTTATCTGAAGCTCCTTATTATTTAAGAGAAGGTGTTTTAAACTCCATGTTTGGAGTTCATCTAAGAAGTCATGAAGTTTTTAAAAAATGTCACGTCGATTTTATTCGACAAGTTGCAGCTTGTTTTAAAGTGGCAAGATTTTTTCCCGGCGATATTATTACTTATATTAAGGATATCGATCATTGCATGTATTTTATTCATAAAGGCGCTGTTGAAATGTTGTGCGAAGATTCTTTGTATAACGAGGAAGTTGATGATGTATTAATTGAAGGACAAATGTTTGGGTTTGAACAAGGAATTTATATGAGAATTGGTCACGAGTATACTTATAGGGTCAAAGAACAAGCTTTTATTTTGGTTTTGAAACGAGAAGATTGGATTCATTTATTGGGGTTCTTTCCAGCATCAAAGTTACATTTGTATGATAAAAAGAAAGAAATTTAAATTGTTAACCCATTTATTATTATTAAAATAAAAATACTATAAAAGTAGCAAGGTTGTAACAAAACATGAAGTTCTTTCTGTTTTATATCTTTAATTTTATTAATTAACAAATAACCTTGATTTGAAAACAAAAAAACCCATAACTGAGAGGAACCCAAAACTATAAATAATTTTTTTCCAAAACATTGATTTGATTTTGCTTATAGAAGAAGATGAAATTAAATCAGGTGAGTAATTATTTTTATCCCACTAAAAATTAAAAAATAAATAAATAAATAGAAACTATAAATTACATAAAACCTTACTAATAAACACTTTTTATTTAACACTTCCACAACCTTTTCAATTTTCTCCACTTGCTGATTCAAAGATAAAATTTCTTTTTTAAACCTTTCCAACTCAGATTCGTTTACGTTTTCTATTAAATATTTTAATGATGCGTTCATTACTACGATTTGTCGGCAAGCCGATAAAATTGAGGTTCCCACATTTGCCAAGCTGGAAATTATAAAATTATTATTATTATTAAATAGTTAATCAAAGAAAAGCGTATGCGCATGACATGGTGGTTATGGCAAAGGATGCGGCGGAAATGAGAGGGATGGAGGGACACTTGGAGAGGTATTTCAAGGTGAATGTAGCAAAGACAAAGATGATGAAGTTCTGCAAAGGATTGAGAAATGGAAAATAAGTTACTAAAAATATCTTAAAGTACAAAATACTTTTGATGGAATGGTATTTGAAATATAATTCCTATTTCGCATCAATTTAGAAACACCTGTATAACTAAAGAAAATTTACCTAATTTTTTCATTCTTTTTAATAATAGGGATTGATTTTAATCGAAACGGTTGTTTATGAAACTTGTACAAACCATTTAAAATCCTGTACCGTTCATAAGGCATATTAACCCCAATTTTTTTTAAACCATCCTCATTTATATGTAAAAATTCTAATAAGCTTATTCTAGATGTAATAAATTTATCAATTGCGTTTTCAGAATTCATTCCGTACAAAATAACGCAAACATCACTTAAAAATAATGTACTAAAAAAGAAAAGTAAATACTTTTCAAAGATTAATTAGATACTTATTACCAGCCTTTATTAAAGAAATCATTAAAACTTTCTTGTGTATAACACGTGAGATTTTCATAAGGTACATCTATGGAAGGTAAAAGTTTAACAATTTCTTCATATCCATGTTTTAAAGCTATTTGAGTAGGTGTTTCACCTCTTATATCCATTTTATCACAAATAAAACCATCATTAAGTAACATTTTAACAACATCCACTTGGTTTGAATCAATTGCCCAAAAAAGAGCCTAACAGACAAAATTAAAATCATTTTATAACAAACTTTATTAAAATAAAAATTACAGTCCACCCCTGATTATCTTCCACTTCCTTATTATCACATTTCAATAATTCTTCAACAATTAAACAATTTCCATAAGATGAGGCATACATCAGGGCTGTCATTCGTTTCCTATTAATCATTGTAGGATCACAACCAGCATTTAAAAGTATTTTTAATGTTTTGTAAGATTGCTCATATGAACATGTTTCTTTTGTACAAGAAGATGTTGCCATTAAAGCCGTATAACCATCTAAATTAAAATTATTTATTAAGAATTTAAATCGCAATTCTTTATTTTACCTCTACTATAATTAGGATCACCTCCCCTTTCAAGAACTAATTGAACAATATCCGGGGATCCAATTGACGCTGCTAAAAGCAGCAAGCTCCAATCCTCTTTTAATTTCGAATTAACATCATAACCTACAACATTATAAATAATTATGAATAATCAACATATTTTAATTAATTACCTCGATCTAAAATCTCCTTAACTTCATCAAATCGACCCCCAATACACGCTCTATAAACCTTTATTTCATCGGTTTCTTCGATTTTGAGGTTACGTTTAACGGACGCTGGTGTTGAGAAGCTATTACACTACTTTTATTTATAAATAAATCATATTCGAAGGTAAAACTTACGCTGTAATAATCGTAATCGTCCTCGTCGCTTGAATAACCGGCAGGAACGGGGTACATCATTTTTAAATTCGAAATTATTTTATTTAATTTTTAAGGTTAGGAAAAACATCGATGTTAGATGTCAGTGACAGATAGAATGACCAACCTCTTAAAACTAGAAAATATTAGGGATGTGTAAAAGAAGTTGCCTAAATAAACGATTTAATAATTCAATATTCCATTTATTTATTAATAATACATGTTTAGGTATATACATATCTTAAATATCACTTATTTATAAATACACAAACGTTTCATGAACACACCATAATATAATTTATTAAATAATATCAAACCTGCACGATTAAAAGCACCGCAGCGGAAATTAATTCTTTTAACATTTGTATTCCTTTATTTTAAATGAATGGCACACTCGCATTAAAACAAATTCCCACCTTGATACATAAATAGGTATTACCTTGTTGATGAAAATAAATAATTATTTCCACTTTCACAATTATTCGAATAGTCTTGATAAGCGTAGGTATTATTTCTATAAGACTGAATGATTCCATTGTAATAAAGATGCTGGTTATTTGAAGTATTTTCTTGGTAGTAATTAACGTTATCATTTCCATAAAAATTAACCAATTGTTGATTGGCTTGTTGATTAAATCCCGGGTGTTGATCGAAATTATATGAAGTTTCTTGTGGTGGTAATTGGTAATTACTGGAATTAAAATTGAAGCCGGGATGTCCATTTAAACCAGGAGAATTTTGTTGAGTGGGTAATAAAGTAGGTGAATTTAAACCATCATTTCTATTAGTTTCCATTGGAAATCCGGTTAAATTACCATGATAAGAACTTGAAGCAATCATTTGCTTCCTCAACTTCGCTCGGCGATTATTAAACCAAACTTGTATCGTGGCTTCAGTTAAATTCATTTTTTGCGCTAATTCCAACTTAAAATCAGAGTCTGGATATTGAACCTTGGCGAAAGCTAGTTCTAATTCTTCTAATTGTTCAATTGTAAAGGCCGTCCTACTTTTCCTTAACTTCCTTTTTAGTTGTATACTTGGTTCGTAATCGTAATCGTTTATATTTGTGGAGTTTTGATCTTCTGATGACGAAGATGGGGATTTATCCCAATTGGTTTCTCCCGATAATACATTTTCGATTGCGGATAATGCCGGGGTGTTATTTTTAACGCAAACTCCTTCGGACACGAGTTTATCCCGGATTTCCCAACTTGGTAGGTTGGGATTTTCCTTTTGGTATTGTTGAATACGATCTTGAATAGCACGATCGGTTATTTTGGGTTTTAAACCACCAACAACACCTGGACGAATACTTCCAGTTTCCTAAAAAATTATTAAAAAATTAATTACAAAAATTAATTTTTTGTTTTTAATTAATAACTTACTAGATATCGGTTTAAAATTTTGCTAATACATCCATGTGAAACTCTTAATTCTCGAGCGATTTCTGAACATTTTACACCGGCGGCTGCTAATTCAACGATCTTTAATCGCGTTTCATTCGGTAATGGTCTTCCGTTCAAGAATACACCACCCAATTGATTGATTTTAGCAGGACCTCGATGAGAAACACCAAAATTTTCCATCGTAATTTGATAAATTTTTTAAACACCGATGTTACACTTTCAGTTGATAATTTAAAACTACCCCATAAACAAGTCAAGAAGTCATTTTTAAACAACCACTTTCACCCCCTCTTTCCAAAAATATCCAAAAATTATAAGAATTTATTTTTCAAAGAAATTCTTTGTCTTTAAACGCGCAGTTATTCAAATGCGGTTGGTTGTATTGGAACAAATTAGAAGAAAAAGAATAGTCATTCTTTTTTGCGTTGCACAGTAGCCAAAAGTTATTATTATTGCGGGTTGGAGCAGGTAATATTTTTTTTTATTGAAAGGAGAGGTGTGGTGGTGGGTTTTTTTAGTAAGAAATATGCAACATGTAAATAGGGGTGGATTTATGACTTGTTACTCAACGTTAAGTGGTTAGGATACTGATTGTATTGTGACTAGGTACAAAAATTTTATGGTTTAAATTTTTTTTTGGGAAGTATTGTAAAAACCATATTTATTTTCTAATTGTTGTTTTATCTTAATAAGTCATTTTTATTTAATAAATAATATATTTGTGTATTTCTATATTAAACGTTTAAAAAATCTGACAGATTATTTCTGAAGACTAAAAAAGACTTTTGATGTCATATTAAAACAAACTCGTCTTTTTTAAGGAATTGCAGAGAAATTAACTTATTTATTATAAAAAAAATTGTTCATTGGGATTTAGAGTAATTAATATTTGAAGTAACTTTGAAGATCGTTTCTTGGAATATCGCAGTTATGATTTTTTGAATGTTTTTATGATTATTTACATCCAACTCTGCATGTTTAATTGTTATAGATATGAAATAAACTTTAAAAAATCGTATCTCAGGAACGAATTGAGATATCATCATGAAATAAAGATCAATTTAAAGCAAATTTGATAAAGATTTAATGTGCCATAAATAATTTCTTATTCTCTATAAACACCGTTGATATGATTTTTTGAATCTAACTCTGCACGTTTGATTGTAATAATTATGAAATATAAACTTTAAAAAATTGTATCTCAAGGACGGATTGAGATATCACAATGAAATAAAAAGCATTTTAATGCAAATTTATTTAGAATTCAATACTTTCAAGATCATTTCTTGGAATCTTCAAATTTTGGAGTTATGATTTTTTGAAGGCAACCTTAAACCTAAATGTTAGGATAATTAATCTTTACGTATCTCAACAACGAATTGAGATATCATCATGAAATAAAGATCAATTTAAAGCAAATTTGGTGAATATTTAATGTACCATAAATAAATTATTATTTTCCATAAACACCGTTTTTATGATTATTTAAATCCAACTCTGCATGTTTAATTGTTATAGATACGAAATAAACTTTAAAAAATCATATCTCAGGAACGAATTGAGATATCATCATGAAATAAAGATCAATTTAAAGCAAATTTGATAAAGATTTAATGTGCCATAAATAATTTCTTATTCTCTATAAATACCGTTGTTATGATGTTTTAAATCTAACGCTGCATGTTTGATTGTAATAAATATGAAATATAAACTTTAAGAAATTGTATCTCATGGACGGATTGAGATATCACAATGAAATAAAAAGCATTTTAATGCAAATTTATTTAGAATTCAATACTTTCAAGATCATTTCTTGGAATCTTCAAATTTTGGAGTTATGATTTTTTGAAGGCAACCTTAAACCTAAATGTTAGGATAATTAATCTTTACGTATCTCAACAACGAATTGAGATATCATCATGAAATAAAGATCAATTTAAAGCAAATTTGGTGAATATTTAATGTACCATAAATAAATTATTATTTTCCATAAACACCGTTTTTATGATTATTTAAATCCAACTCTGCATGTTTAATTGTTATAGATACGAAATAAACTTTAAAAAATCATATCTCAGGAACGAATTGAGATATCATTATGAAATAAATAACATTTTATAGCAGATTTATTTCAAAATGTTTTGGTGGTTTTGAAATAATTATTTGTATAAAGTAACAATATGTTTTAACCCGCATTGATCAATAGATTCCACGAAATCAACATAAAATTTTGCAACATCTTAAAATACAATGATACACGAGCTAAATTTAATCACACTCTAAGATAATTAATATAATAACCTAAAAAAACTTGTTTTGGTAGTTTTTAAAGTTCGAGTGTTGCGGAAAACTTTATAGGTGTTTGTAAACATTTAACAAAAACACTTCAATGATAAAATATCACCTTATCAAATTAAATTAGACTTAAACTAGGTATTTATAGGCGAATCAACGACATTTTCAATCATAACTTAATAAAGTAATAATCCAAAGATGCGTTTTTTGTGGCTGTTTTTAATTTCCATCTTTTTAACTGTAACTAGTGGTAAGTTTCTTAATTAATTTATCCCTTAATTTCATTTATTTTAATTTTAGGTGATAAACCATGCGATGATGAAAACGCTCATTATATTACATGCGGAACATTATGCGAACCCAAATGTCCTGAAATGAACTCAAAAGAAACCCTGGATAATTGTTCAATGTGTATTATTGGGTGCCATTGTAAACCTGGATACGTTTTGCACGATTCTAAATGTATTTTACCTGAAAACTGTCCTTCAAAAGAATAAGTTAAAAAAACCTTTTCTAAAATAAATTTTTTATTATTAACATTATTAATTTTTTTGATTTAAATTTAACTCCTCGGTAAATTGCGTTTGAAATAATACGATAAAGTCATATTATGATCCCGTGCATCGTCGGTGTGGTTAAAATGAACGTGATAATCAATTTCGCATTGATAAGTAAGCACAGGTTTGCGATTCTTTTTCTTATATGCATTAACGACGTGGCACATTCCTTCAAATAAAATTGTTATGTAGAAAAAGAACTTTAATTGTTTGACATGAACGATGGGTTCGTTATATTTTCTGGGCATGTTGTGTACTCTTAATTCGTAATCGTAATCCTCATCATTATCGTTATCATTATCGCGACAATAGACTAAACCTTAAAATGGGGAAATTAATTCTTACATTATTTATTAAATTAATTAAAGATTAACTTACTTATCGTTATTAATAAACAACCAAAAATTAAAAATTTCAAATTCATTTTTTTTGGGTGTCTTAAACTTAATGAGTTCGAAGTTTGTTAAAAGAATGTAACTTTTTTTAATTGTGACCATAAAAATGGGTGATTTACTTTTTTGGCGTTTATTACTAATTTGATTGATTTGAATAAATTAATCATTTTTTTTTAATTAAGTATTTAATATTTTAATTAAATATTTTGTTCAACAAATCTAACATAATTAAATCAGTTTATGCTCTAATCAATGTTATTTACTCAACTCTATGCTCCTTCAATAAACCCCGAATATTCTTCATATTTTCTTTGTACCATTGAGAATTTAATTTCGCCGTTTCAACAGCTTGATTAACACCATTTTTAATTTCCTTAAAGTATTCTTCGTTATTTTTTGTAAAGTTTTTTAACTAAAAAAAATGTAATTAAAATAAAGTAAAATGAAAACAAAAATTTACCCATAAATATTCAGTTGATCTCGTCATATAAGAAGCTAAATTACTTATAATCGTGGTTAATTTATTAATAGTTGGTTGGATTCTTTCGTGAATCTCTTTAATGTGTTCCTCAATAAATCCTTTAGTAACATAAAAACCTAAATCATTTCCAACAACCGCTGCAAATACGGTTGTGACATCTTGCCTCCTAATTCCCGAATTCGAATCGATCGCCCACTCCAAATAACGTTCCAAAAGCCACGTTTGTCTCGTACAACCCAAATTCTTTAAAATCAAATTCTTTTCAGTCGCTACGTTTGAATTTAAATATAAATTCCATAAAAACATCCATTCCTTTTCCCCGCCATTCTTAACTCCAGCACAATAAACCAAACCCCTCAAATCCTTAGGAATTGTTTCTTTCGACTCCGTTTTCTTTTGCAAATCTTTAAATAATCTCACGGCATCTTTAACACATTTTTCGTGTTCATATTTACATGCGGTACTCGTAATTAAAACTCTATGCTGTAAGACGTCGACGTTTTTGTCGGTTTCAGTGATTTCTTTGAAACCGCCAACTTTCAAATAAATCGGCACGATTAATTTTTGAATGTATTCTTTGAAATGGCCGTAAGTTGAGGTTCGTTTTAATAAAATCTCCAACGAACCAATGTTGCGTAGAGCTACTTTCCACGGTAAATATTCGGTTTCTTGTTCTAAATACGATAATAATTCGAAGAAATATTTGTAATTTAATCGACCCACCCAAGCCAAATTTGAAGAATCGTCCAATAATAGAATACGATTTAAAATTGGAATGTTGGTGAAATTTGGTGATTTTAAACTTTTAATTAAATAGTTCCAATTTTTTTGATCGTAATTAACTCGGTATAAACCTTGAAGATTAAATTATTATCACATTTTATGTTGTAGTTTTATAAGTTATACTAATTTAAATATGGATATTAAGAGATTTTAACAGTATTTAAAGTTTATTACTAAAAGTAGAAATAACACTATCATTAAAACTGTCACTATACCCAGACTTAGACCTAGACCTAGACTTAGAAACAAATTGGGGTTGAACTTGATTATTATCTGCACTGTCCAACACCTAAAGTTCCACCACTAGGGTTTAGCCATTTTAAGAGACTTACAGCTAAATCTGAATGTTTCTAGTTCTAAGTTTAGTGTTAGTGTTAATTTTAGTCTTAGTTGTTCCACAAATACCCATGTACGTATAATAAAACTGACCTGTGGCTTTAACATTAAAAATAATCCATTCGTCATCCTTAGCTGAAACATGAATAATTTTAACGTCACGTTTCGGTGGTAACCACAACTTAGGTTTAACTTCCATAGAACGAAATTCAAAACTATTTTCCGTTTCATAAGTTAAAGGAATCAACCATTTTGGGTCACCTTTAACATTCTCTAAATCTCTGTCTTTAAAAAACCGTTCCTGAAACGAAATTATTATGTTTAATGAAAAAAAATTGTAAATAAATTTTTTACTTGTGTAACTAAAACTGTTCCATTCGTTCCGTATTCTCTGGTAACATTTAATATAGGATACCCGGTTTGTAAAGTCCAAGTATCCATAATTTCTTTGACGGTTAATTCTTTTGGTAAAGATTTCTCTTCGTGGGCTTGTTCGGTGATGAATTTCCATAAATCGTCTTGTTCGGCGTTTCCGTATTTGTGTGCTTTTAAATATTTGCTAACGGCAAGTCTTAAAGTGTTACCACCCAAAAAATTCGACATCATATGTAAAAGATATGATCCTTTTTTGTACGAAATTGTATCAAAAATTTCCGAGATTTCTTTCGGATTTCCAATTGGAACGGAAACTGGATGAGAACTTTGTAAAGCGTCGAAATTTAACACGGCTAATAAATTATCAACGGTTTCTTCTTGCAACGATTTCCATTCAGGTGTTAAATTATCAACGGCCACCGCTGCCATGTAAGTTGCAAATCCTTCGTTCAACCATAAATCTGTCCACCATTTCATTGTAACTAAATTTCCAAACCATTGATGAGCTAATTCATGAGCTACAACACTTGCAACGCAAATTTTACTTAAAATAGATGTGACTTTTGGATCGAACAAAAGATATGTTTCGCGGTACGTAATTAATCCCCAATTTTCCATTGCCCCAGCAGAAAAATCGGGAACCGCTATCATGTCTTGTTTCGGTAATGGATATTTAATATCAAAATATTCTTCATAAAACGCTAAAACTTTCGGGCCAATTAATTTAGCAAAATCTACTTGATCCAATGCGTCTCTTCTGGCCCAAATTTTAAATGTTACATTACTCGATTTAGGTGATACAACATTTTTCAACTCAGATACTGCGTAAGCTACCAAATATGTTGACATTGGGACCGATGTTTCATAATGATCCATTTCATATCCAGTAATATTTGCCCTATTAAAAACAAATTATTTTTATAAAATTTATAATAAAGCTGTTATATTTACATCGTTTCTGTTGATTTAATAGGCATATTACTAATCGAAGAAAAATTCTTCGACCTTCCTAAATTAATTTGAAATTTAGCTTTCATAGCGGGTTCATCAAAACACGGAAAAGCTCTTCGAGCATCGCTCGGCTCGAATTGAGTAACAGCGAGCCATTTAGTTTTTCCACTTTCCTTATCCAAATAAGAACTTCGATAATAACCAGCTAATCCTTCTTCGATTTTGCCCGAAAACGGTATAAACAACTCGTATGTTTTATTGTCATCAAGTTCTTTTTCGAGTTCAATAACCAAGAAATCGTCTGCTTTAACTTGTGCGATCGATTTGATTTTAATAAAATCATCTTTTTTGTTGCTCGCACCAACATCCAAAAGAGTTACATGTTCATTATCGATTTTTAATTTCTTCGAATGTAAGGTGATATTCGTAGTTTTTGAAGTGCAGTTTAACTAGAACATTTTTTTTTAAATCTTAAAGGTCAATTACGAAATAAAACCGTTCTAAATACATATAAAATGTTGCGTCAGCGACAATAACACAACAGCAAGCAACGAAAAGACATGAATACGAAATTGAAGAAATTAATTTCACTTACGTTTATCCAAACACGACCGGTGAAGTTAAAATTATTACGATCACCTAAATTCGTGATGATTTCCAATTTATAAGTATCGGGAATCACCGAAGTTGGTAGTCTGTAACTCTTCGCGATTCCGAGAAGAAATAAAAACGTCCAAATGATTCGAATGATCATATTTTCTATTTATAAAGAGAAAAAAATTAACACTTTCACTTGGATTAAATTGAATTTGTGGGCTTAAAAAAATTGGGTGAGGTGAATAACCACGACGATTTCAAAATTATAATTTAAAAAAATTCATTGATTGAATAACCTTAGATTGTAAAAAAAAGACAAGAAATCTGTCAATATAATTAAAAATAATTTTTTTTGATTAATTAAATATAAAAATTAAATTTTAATTACAAATACTTACTTTGAAAGTGCCCAAAAAATTTGAAACGATTCATTTTACGATACGCTCATATCATAAACCGACGATAAAGAGACAAGTGTAGTTAATACAACCCACAGTTCGATTGTGTTACTTTCCAACTCGTCGACGTACAATCCCCACCAATAAAACCAATATTCCTAATGCTGTAGGTATTCAATTATACATATAAAATGAATTTGGCTCCTGTCGGTCGTGTGGATACTTAACGAGTCATTTTTTATTTATGCGTGTTATCGCCGCGTGGTTGTAATTCCTTTTAGGCTTTTTTTAACACATTCAATTTGATTCGTTTTCATTTTTACCGTTAGATAAGAAATAAAAACTCGAAATGGTACCTCTAAATAAAAAAAGGAAAAAAAATAGGTGTTAATCAGAAAACGTGGGACTCTGTTATGTAACTTATTTGGTTGTAATTTAAATATTTTATTTCTAAATTGGGGAAGGTTGATGAACTTGAGAAAAAAGATATTTATCATAAAATTTGTTCCTTTTGAAAAAAATTGTTGAATTTAAACAACTTGGTGGACAAAAATATTGAAAACATTTTATAACACTGCAAAATATTAGTCAGCTATACATTTCCGAATAGCCATTTGATTACGAATTGTTTCGATCAGTTAAAGTGGTTTGCCAATATTTTTCCTGACAGGGGAGAAGAAACGGAGACAAGAAGGCGTAGAACCCGTATGATCAAGTATTGGCTTCGTTCAACCTTGATAGGCTACTTAACTGTTTATTTAGTTACTTTCATAGGACACAGCACAAGACAAACCCAATTCAAGTTGTCGACTGTTCCTCCATTGACTGTTTTTTGGATTCTGGAGTGACATAACCCTGAAATCCGTGGTAATTTTGTGGTGCGAGAAACGATGGCGCTCATATTAGTAGTCGCCAGAAATTTCCGAGCTAAGGAAAAAGTGTAATGCCGAAGAAAATTGGCTAGGATAAATAAGCGCGATTCAGGAAACGAGTTTAAAACCGCTAAAAGACAGCTAAAGCTAGTCATAGCAAAAAGTAAACGTGCAAAGTGACATAAATCTCGACCCCTGGGGCCTCGGATACAGAATTGTAATAAAGAAGCTCCTACAGAGCTTGATGCCGCGACGATGGCTTCAATCGTCAACGTCTTATTCCCAGAGTATCCCCAAAGAGGCAGAAAAGAAATCGATTGCAATATGAGGTATTCCCGCTGGCAAAAACGAATTATTACAAATTGGTCTAAATCTATCAGAAGCTAGATGTTATGTTTTACTTTCTTGATTTCTGCATACATCTTAACCAGATTGATATACAAAAAAGACCAAAATAAAAACAACTCATTTTATTCTTGATACCAGCAAATAAAATCTAAATTAAAACAATTTATTCATTATTTTACAACATCTTAAATTAATATGTCCACACATCCTTTTAATTTTTATTTAATACAACTATTCAATTTGAAAATGTTGTTGAGGTTGATGCATAAGTAATTGCGGATCTTGACTCAATATTTGTGGATTTTGCACAATGATTTCTGGTTGTTGCACCATTTGATTAGGATAGATTCCTAACTGTTGCAAACAAACCAAAGCGGCGTTCGCCTTCGCTTCCTTTTTAGTTGGACTGGCTATTTGCGGTTTGTACTCGATGTTATTTAAAATAACCTATTAAGTAATACATAAAATAAAAGGATCGGTTTTAAACAAATTTGATTTTACCCTGAATAAGAAATTCTTCTTGTGATCTGGTCCACATTCGAAACATAAATCGTATTGGGGAATACCCAATTTATTCTTGCAAGCGTATTCACCTAAAAGTGAAACGGGATGTTTTCCTTGTAAAACAACTTGTGATGAAGTTGCTCCTCCTCCTTTACTAGGAACGTTTTTAATGCTTTTTCTCTTCTGATGATCCTCTTTGGCGATGATTCCCTTCTTATCCAGTTTAACTTCTAATAAAAGTGGTTCTAATGTACCTGATTTCTCTTTTCCAAGTCCTTCTCCTGGTCTCCAACCCATTTTTTGAAGCAAATGCATTCCCATCCCACCAGATACTGGAGCAGCGGTCTGTAGCTGATCCTAATAAAATAAATTTACTTAATACATTTTTTAAATTTATTTTTCGATAAAATGATTTTAATAAAAATAAAATAAAACAATTTTTTAGTTGGCGTATATCTTTATTAATTCAATATAAATTATTATTTTTGGAAGTCTTTTTTGTTTTGGAAAATTGTTTTGTTTGATAATTTTTTGTTGTTGTGTACTCACCAGATGGGGGACTTTCGGGGCGGTTCACCGCAATCCGATCGGCTCGTAAACTCTACATTTAACTGCAAACAGCTGCAACAGATTCTCAGGTAAAAGAACAACGCAAAACCAACCTATTTAATATTTCTGTCGGTTTCGAGATGTCCTTCCTGTTTCGAGGGGACGGAACAGCCACAGATTCTACATTCAAAAATTGAATTTTTGAAAATAGTCTGTGGCTGCTTTCACCATTTCTTTCTAAATTTGAATTCCAATTTTCCGCCCTTACCTGAGAACTTGCACTTGCAATTTTTATAATTCAATGAGAACAAATTTAATAAAATTGATTTTTTCAAGTTCTCATTGATTATAATTTTTTTATATTTGTTTGCTCGTAACACGAACGATTTCTTTTTCAATTTGTTTTTTTTTTCTAAACGTTTAATAAACTGAAATTTTTATCGTTGTTACCTTACGTGCCCAAGCTTGATACCCGGATGATAACTCGGCCTGTGATAAAATTTGTGCTCCAGTTGAACCGGTAAATTGTCCAATTTGTTGTTTACTCTCAGCCCAACTATTCATCTATAAAAACAATAATAAAAATATATTTTGACTTTAGCAATTTCAACATCAAAAATTCATTACCTCTTTTTGTGCTTTATACATTGAAGTTAACGCTTGGACATCATGAGGATTTTCTTGCAATTTTCTCATAGCAGATAACCTTTGACTAACTATTGATGCTACATCAATATTTTGCTTAAAAAAAAATTAAGCTTAATTTTGGAAAAATTTTAGAATCATCATGTGGCTTAAAACCCAAAAAACACATTAAAAATAAAAAGAATTATTATTAATTATTATCCCAAGCTATTGAAATCGCAAATAATTAAAGCTTTCTTTACCAATATATACTAACAAAAATATTTTTATTTCAGGACCGCACCTTAAATGGGGCGCTGGAAAAATATGCCCGTGGGTTTTGTGTGGAGAAATAATAAATAGAACAAATGTTTATAACCTCTTTTAATACGTTTTTTGACATAGCGTGAATAAAACTATTTAGAAGTATAAAAAGTTTGAGAACAATGTTGATGCAATCCAACTCCACATTAGCTGCATCTAAACTTAGTATTTTTGTGCCACAGACGGCATCGAATTTGAGATTCACTTCTAATAATGTAATAATGTCCTTTTTCATCCAGTCTTATGGAATTAGGCAATATTGTTTGAGCGACATTGATAACTTGGTTTCACTTCGTTTTGAAAGAGAGGTAGACGCTTTACTAAGCATGAGATAAGTCTGAACTATGTATCTAGTGAACGACAAAAAATCGTGAGAATTTTTAGATTGCCTTCCAGGTGAAAGCCAAGACTTGGGTTAGATTTAGCGCCCTCCATAGATAAAATAATTCAATCGAGTGCAAAGCGACCAAATCTTATAGCGGAAACTATTGGATTGACTCATCTATTGATAAATGTTTATCCCCAGGGTAATACTTCAACCATCTTTCATTCATTATATTCCATAGTGGTCTAACTTTGGCAAATGTATCATTATGAGAGAGGTGGTTATTGTCACAATCATGAAAATAGCGTAAGAGTTCTTCAAAACGGTTATGGACCATGCATGAAGCAACTCCTAGATGATGGCTATTAATACTTTGATCCCAGTACAGTCCCAGTACTTGCATGAAGCAACTCCTAGATGATGGCTATATTAATACTTTGATCCCAGTACAGTCGTGAGCCGCTATTGTAACCTGTTAAAAGAATATGCCCACAAAATTCTTTATTGCCTCTATATAGTCAATCGAAAATTGACCTGCCTTTTGGCTATGGCAAAAAATTCTAAAGGGTTATCTTTATCTAAAACGAAATCTGGTACAGTACATTCTTCTTCAGGCTTTGGTGTTATATCATTTTGTCTCCATTTTCTTTTGACTACAATCTTAGCTTTCTTACCAGGCGGTTTCACAGACGAAGATATTCATGGTTGATTCTGTTGTTCATCCTGACTCATATGCGGAATACCTTCATAGGTTACCAGGAATCCTTCCACCGATGGTACCTTGCACCGCACCTCAGCTTCAGCCAATAGTTGTCGACGAGCAAGGTTGTCAATGTCGTCCCCGGAATCCTCATCTCCACTGTCTTCATCGCTCAATTCAACATAAGTATTCCGGTGGCGTGATAAATATATCTGCTGATATTATTGGGCTGTGCTCTTCTAAAGCCGATATTATTTCATGAACGAAAAAACGACGGTTAAAACACAAAAAATTCAAATGGGGCTTCAATCAAAATTCGCTAATTCTATGTAAAAACTACAAAATATCGTTATTATCTCTACCTAAACTAAAAGATTAGGCATATGAACATATAAAAACAATATCAGTTAAATTTTGCAATAAAATGCATTTACCAAATAACTTACCTTTTTCCAGAACGCATCTTGGCTAAAATTCACTTCACTTAACCAGTTATTATAAACTAGGTAGTCTAGGTCTTGTGGTAGTTCTAGTACAAAACTATAGAACTAGCGACGGCTAACTATGAGCCCAACGTCTCAAAAGACGGCTAAATCCGAATGATTCTAGTTCTAGGTCTAATGTTAGTTTTAGTGCTAGTATAAAAGTAGAACTAACATTAGACCTAGAACTAGAATCATTCGGGTTTAGCCGTCTTTAGAGACGTGGGGCTAAACCCGAATGATTCTAGTTCTAGGTCTTGTGTTAGTTCTAGTGATAGTGCAATATTAGAACTAACACTAGACCGAGAACTGGAAACATTCGGATTTAGCTACATGTCTCTCAAGACGGCAAGACTGCATATCAATAGACTCTGTGTTAATAGCTTGTGTGTCAATTAATACAAAAAATTCTGAAATAAATCAGTAAATTAGGTGGATCCGAATATAACGCTTAAAGAGAGGGGTAGGTCATCAACGACATTTTATTTGTTGTGCGTCGAAAACCCAAGAAACAACTGTACAACAACTGTACCCGAAAATATGCGTTTTAACCGAATGTGCTGCGAAAATATACGGTCGATGACGTCACATCGAAACTTTAAAGTGATTTTTCGGTAAATTTTACACGTTTCCGCGCTTTTTTTTATTTCTAACTGCTTACTTGAGTCCATTTTTAAGCCACATTATGATTCTTGAATTATACCTTAATTTTAATCATAAAATTTTTACCTCCATTTGTGTATTATTAATAAATACTTCAGGTTGAGTTAAAGTTTCTTTAGGTTTTTGTACAATCGTTGTTTTAGGTGGAGTTGGTTTTGAAATATTACTACTTGAAACACTTGCTATAGTTATAGTTGTTGTTGTGGTCGTTGTTGTTGATTCTGTTTTTTTCGGTGAAACAGGTACCCATTCGCTTTCAGTTTTTCGATGTTGTTGTCCGCTGCTAACTGGAAATTGTATCCGTAATTCAGAAGCACGTTCTTGAGAATTTTTAATCGGCAATGGAACCGAATTCTTTATGTTCATGGTGATAGAAATGGGTCTTTCTTTAATTAAAAATGGGTGGTGAAACTGTTTATCACTATCAGAATCAGTGTCGTTATCTTCTGAGACACTGGAAAGTTCACCTAATTCTTCTTTTTGTGATAAAGTTTTACAAAAATCGGTTAATTCCTCAACGGTTTTTCCTCCTGATTTAATGGCAGCAATAACTTTTTCTTGGGCTTGTGGTCCTAGTGTTAAAGCACCGGGTAAACTTCCCGATTTCATCATTTGAATTGCATTTTTTCGTGCAATTTCTAATAATTTCTTTTTATCTATATGTGATGATAATGAAGTTTCATCTCTGTTGGGGCGTTTTTCTTTCTCTGAGTAACTCCTATAATGATGGGTTTTAGAATATTTATCATCTTTGCCATAAAAATCGTCGTAAAATGATCGTTTTTTTTCGTAATCTTTTCGATCCCGTCTTGGACTATATTTTTCTCTTTTTCGTTTATTTGATTTTCTTTCGATTGATCTACTACGTGATCTTAATCGATACCTTTCTTTACTCCTTCCTCTTTTAACATCATCTTGGGATTTACTCCTTTTTTTCTTTTTATTACAATCTTTACTATTATCTTTTTTGTGGTTAACTTTTTCTTTTTTAGGTTTAGGTTCAATTTCAATCATTTCTTTTCCTTTAATTGCTAAAATTGTTGCATCGTAAATGGATGAGCACTTCTCTTCAATGTCTTTTTCTATTTTAATGTCAATATCTTTCTCTTTTTTAATTAATAACCCGGTTATATCAATACCGGAGTTATCACTACACTCACTATCGGATCTCTTTCTCTTTTTTGATTTCTTTTTGTGCTTTTTCTCTTTGTGTTTATGCTTTTTTTTGCTTTTCTTGTGTTTCTTATCTTCACCTTTTTCCTTTTTAACAATCACCGGCGGGTCGGCATCAAAACTTCCGAATAACTCGGAAAGGATTTCCATTGATGATTTTTGGGTGTCTTGTGTAGGTTGTTCCACATTTTCCATTGGCATTTTTAATACAAATTTGTCTTAAAACAGATTGCTGTGGCTGGTTTTTTTGTTTACTTTATGAAAATGGGTGATGTTCTCGAAGGTAGCGAGTGGAAATCGTATAAATGTAAGTAGAAATTTCGTTCTTGCGCTTTTTTTTCTTTTTTGTATATCGATAAGTTTACACTTTTTGTTGTAAATAGATAAATTAAACGTTTGATATATTTTGACGTTTAATCTGCGCAAATGTCATTCCATTGAATTTTTAATACCAACCTAAAAAATAAAGCTAAAAATAAATTTTCCCAATAAAAAATTCTTTATTATTTTGTTGCAATTTAATTTTTTTGATAAATAGGTTGTTTACTTTTATTAAACATCAATATTAAATTTGTTTTTAAAAGATATCTATTTGGTGCTTTTAAAGAAACAAAATCCCTATGACATAACCCTTCCGTAGGGACTGTCATTTGATAACTGTCTTTTTTGTATAAAAAATATAAGGCACTTTTATGCGCTTATTTTAAAAATCGAATCCGTTCAACAATCGGAAAACGCGTCAACTATCGATAGTTTATTTTTGTTGCCCTCGCGTGTATAAAAAACTCAGCAGGAAAATCGCCTACCACGTTCATCGACGATTTTTGCCCCTCTTTCGGATAAAACCCTTTAAATCATTAGTACAATTTGCTACAGTTTCAGATATGAACAAAGAGCTTAATGTCATCACTTTGGAAGGTAACAACAAAATTGAGAAAAGAAAATGGTACAGAAACGCGGCACACAGGTGAGTGTAGTAGGTTCAGTTAAATTAAAACCGAGATTATTTTCGTATGTCTTGTTTGCTGCGGACTTTAGTCGTGTTGAGTTTCGGTGATGAAACACGTTTGATAAAAATATCTTCTTCAAAGAAAATTTTAGATAAAAATTTTTATCTTTGACATAACCTAAAAAATTTAAACGTCATAATTTTTTTAAGGTTAGTTTTAATTCTTAATAATTATTTTTTTTAATAAAATTTGTCGTTAAAATTCAATAAAAACTGATAAAACGTTACAAAAACAACACTGACGTGATCCGTTATCAAGATAATTGTGAACTATTACTTGAAGCACAGGAAGTTTTCGCTTAATTCAGTTTCGTTCAAGCTTGAGTTCTGTGATAAACACTCTGTGAACAAAGAATTCTAAGAAAACGTTATAAATTATATTAAATTATTACATTTCAATTTATTATGTCTTCGATTAAACGAAAAAGTGATGATACAACGAAGAATTTAGATGAAATAAACTCTCAAAGTGGACATTCTTGTAAATTAACCACTTCCGGTGGTAGTTTCAATGAGAACAATAAGAAATGGATGCATAAAAGACAATTACCTCACAGGTAAAGAAATAAAAATTATTAAATTATATTAAAAAAAAAATGTAACAATCTCTGATGCAATATTATTGGGACCTCTGGTAATCTATAAATAACCTTTTCTGATATATTTCATGTATTTTCGCTTGATTTGCGTAAACACCACGTTCCAACATAAATTTTATTTACTATTTTAAGTTTGAATTTGTCATTTTAATCTTATTTTATTGAATAAATTCATTTAATTTGAATTTTTCAAAAAATTCTCCACGTGGTCGATTTTAATTAGAACGGTAATTTGGCTCGGTATCTGCGCTATTTTTTCTTTTTGTGGCCTTGCAAAGAAATGACACTATTTTTTCCATTAAAGAATTAACTAACATCCAGTTGTAAACAAGATTATAGCCAGAAAAATAGACAATTTATATATAAAATGAAAACATGTTTTTTAAAATTAGGCTAGAAAATCGTTTTGAGAACAATATGTATCTTTCATAGAGCTATTTTCTTTCTATAATTGTGATACCAACCTAACTCTTAGATAACACTTTGCTTCTAGAACTACAAACTAGTGTCCGACCGAAAATTCGGTTTCGGTCAAAAATCGGCCAAAACTTTGTTCCTCTAGTCTCAGCTAGTATTCGTCCATTTTTGTATCTGCTTTGGCTTGCGCGTACGAAAGTTTCATCTTGTTTCAAGCAAGATGAAACAAGTTGTTTGTGTACGTGCATCTACCTTGTGAGGAGTATACAAAAAGTACGTAAAGAGCTTGTTAAAAGCTATCGACTTTGCAAGAAACTTTATTCTTTGGGCAATAACGAAGCAAAAGTCTCCTAAGCTATTTATCATAGCTCTGAAATATGCATTCAAGAAGCTGGACTGGGAGAATAAAGGACAAATCCATAAAAGTCATAATGGGATCACAAAGATTGAAGGTGATATTGGAAGCTACTGTACTGGAGGACCACACCGGCGCTTATGTTTCAGAAAAGCTTACTTGAATTGTGGGTGAAATGCAACAAATATGGGTTGTGTTTATCTCACACGTTGCAGCTGGTCATCATTGATGCCTTATTGAGAGCAGAAGGCGTAGAAACACCGAAAACAAGGTGCAGAAGAATCACTTATTTTCGAAGAAGTGAACAAGTGACCAGAAAACTAACAGATGGTCAAAATCAATGCGGACTCTACTGCAAGATATAGAAGTACGATGGAATACCTAATGTAGCAACGATTGGTTGACCCAAAATGTACATTATTAAGATCAGTTATGCTTTTTACTTTATGATGAATACAGTAATATTAAAATCCTTGGATTTTGTCTTTTATTTACCCCTGAAAATGTTTCGATTGCGGTTTCAGCCAAATCGTAAGGTTTCTAGTTCTAGAAGTTCAATGAAAATTTAAATTGCGCACGTGTTTGGAAAGGTTAAAAATCTGATTTCCTAAAAATGCAAAATATTACTCAACCTCAACAATATAAAAATACATTAACTTGAACAATATGTAAAGTGCCGATTATTTCTATTAATACCATGTAATAATTTGTTTAAAAAACACACTAAAATGTACCTAGGAAGAAAAAAGTTAAATGTCAATGATAATATTCATTAAATTATAAAGCTAGAGATTAATTTACATTTCTAATTTGTTATTTTTATCATGATCGATAATGAACTCATTTATAATCATTTTATATCGCTGTAATGATGTTTAATGATATTTTATTAAAAAAATTCTGTTTAATCTAATCTATTTGGATAGCCGTTTTTTTTTAAATTTAGATTTCCTAAAACGATTATATTCCACGGAAACGTACAATATAATAATAAAAGTGTTACTTATCACCGTTGAGAACAAAGAGTACCGATACTGGTTTGAATTTGCTTGATCTTCGTTTCGTTTCAGTAAAGTTTATATTTATAAGCTGTTCCCTACTTCGCGTTTTCAATGTAGGAAGTGTGTACGGACAAGGAACGACGTAGGCAGTCGATGTGAACATTGTGAACGTGGAATCAGTCGTGCTTTAACCATAGCTGCAGTAGCAGGTTTTGTTATAACGAAGTGTATTTTTTCTTTTGCTTGTTTACACGGTTTTGATAGTTAACACATTTTTCTTTTTTAAAATAAGCTTTGAATATTAATAAATATTTCTTTAAAATAAGGTTTACAATGAAACTAGATGACATTACGACAAATTATTACAATAGAACTCAAGTACCTCAGTATGAGTAAGTTTTCTTTGTTATTTTTTAAAAAATTTCTTTCTCTTGTGATGTGTTTATTTCAAATTATTTCATTTAACACGATAGTTTGGTAAGAAATTTTTTTAATGAATAATTAATGAGTATGTTGCACAATTTGAACGGTATTTATTTCGAAATTTTTCCTGCCTTAAAATTTTTCCAATTGTTATCAAATATTTTTAAAGTAAACAGATTAAATAAATCACATTTTAATTATTTACTACGGATTTAATACAATTAGAAAATAATAACTGTTTAATAAATATTGCGTTGATTTATTGTCTTTGTTTATTCAAGGATTTCTTACATCATTTTTCATTACTTTCTTTTAATTACAGAATTTTCGTCAATCGAAGTTTACATTTAGAAAACATCAAGTTTTATGGATTCGACATGGATTATACTTTGGCAGGTAAACTAGTTTTATAAAATAATAATCTTTTTTTATTTAAATTTTAGTAAGACATACAGGGGTGTTTAACTTTGGTAAAATTTATTTGAATCTTTCTAACAGATGTGTAGATACCCATAAATTTTAATTACAGATTAAAAAATGTTTTACACAATATACTTTTCTATTTCTTATCTAATTTAAAATAACACCACCTGTTAATTAACCGAATATGTTGAATTTTAACTAGTTATTGAATAACTTATGTTCAAAAAGTACTTAATGCTGGGTTAAGAATAAAAGGTTGCTAATTAACGTTTGTAGCAACTTGCCCAAGTTAATAGGACTTAATCCACGATTAACATGATAATAAACGGGAGTTATTAACATTCCAGTACACAGTGACGCGTGGAGGACTGCGAGTCTGCTATTGCAAATAAGCCCAGATATTTCTAAAACAAACTAGATTTAACACAAGCATTAGAACTAACACTTAACTTAGAACTAGAAACATTTGTGTTTTTAGACGGCTAAACCCGAATGTTTCTAGTTCTAGTTTAGTGTTAGTTCTACTTTAAGTTCAATAAAAATGTAGAACAATACATTAGACTGTTTCGAATGTTTCTAGTTTTATTTTTAATTCCTAGAGCTAGAAAGTTTCGGGTTTAACCATGCTGATGAAGCTAATTGATCTATATAAAACTTTGTTTTCATTAAACTCTTAATGTTTGTTGATGAAGGTTGCATTAAAGTTTTGCAAACCAAATTTTTAAACTATTCTAACCTTAACTCAGAGTAAACATTTCCTTAACGTCAAATTAAGCATTGATTAAGCACCGATTTAGATTATAAATTTTTTTTTAGAATATATTTCGCCGGAATATGAAAGATTGGGATTTAATTTGGTGAAAGAACGAATGGTTGATATTGGGTATCCACAAGAGATTCTTGAATTCGAATATGATCCAGCTTTTACAGTGAGGTAATTAAAACGTTAAAGAAATTCGTTTTTTATAATTATCTAATTTCTTTTATAATCGATTGCGTTTGTAGAGGTTTGTGGTTCGACGCCTTATATGGAAACTTGCTCAAAGTAGACGCCTACGGTAATATTTTAGTATGCGTTCACGGTTTTGAATTTTTAAAACAGTAAGAAATCATTCTATATTTCAAATATTTTTTAAGATTAATTTAATTTTCTTTTAGTTCTCAAGTGTACGAACTTTATCCAAATAAATTCTTAAAACTGGATGAATCTCGTGTTTACGTCCTGAACACTCTCTTCAATCTTCCCGAAACCTATCTTTTAGCTTGTTTAGTTGACTTTTTTTGTAACTCTCCTCAATATACCACCAGCCAAACGGGAGTGAAATGCGGGGAACTTTTTATGTCTTTCAAATCGATATTTCAGGTAATGAAAAAATTAATAATAAATTTGTTTTGTAATAAGTAAATTGATGTAGGATGTAAGAAACGCTGTTGATTGGATCCATTTGCAAGGTGATTTAAAATTAAAAACCACTCAAAACCTGCAACAATATGTAAAAAAAGACGAACGGCTCCCGATGTTTTTGCAACGATTAAGAGAGAGCGGCGCAAAAACCTTTTTGCTCACAAATAGCGAGTACAGTTTTACAAATAAGATAATGACGTATCTTTTCGACTTTCCACACGGCGCCAAACCGGAAGAACCGCATCGTGATTGGAAAACTTATTTTGATACGATCGTTGTTGATGCAAAAAAACCTTTATTTTTTGGGGAAGGTACAATTTTACGACAAGTTAACACCACAACGGGTACTTTAAAAGTTGGAATACACACTGGACCCTTACAACGTGAACAAGTTTATTCAGGAGGTAAATTTTAATTATGTTTATTTTTATGTTATGGATAAATTAAATTTTATTAGGTTCTTGTGACGTTTTTACCGGATTAATCGGAGCTAAAGGTAAAGACGTTTTGTACGTTGGTGATCATATTTTCGGGGATATTTTAAAAAGTAAAAAAATTAGCGGTTGGAGAACATTTTTAATTATCCCCGAATTAGTTCGAGAACTGCACGTTTGGACCGATAAATGTCAATTATTCGATGAATTGCAGTCGTTAGATGTTAAATTAGGCGAAATGTATAAGTAAGTTTTTTCTTTTTTGTAATTTACGTATATATTTATTTTTAATTTGCTTTTTTAGAAATTTGGATAGTAGCACACGAGAAAAACCAGACATTTCTCAATTACGAGCTGCAATTCGTGATGTAACCCACAAAATGGATATGTCTTATGGTATGATGGGGAGTTTATTCCGATCTGGATCGCGTCAAACGTTTTTCTCATCTCAAGTAAATCACGAAAATTATAAAAAAAATTTTTTGATTAAATTAATTGATTTTTAGGTGGTTAGATACGCCGATTTATACGCAGCAACTCATTTAAATCTTCTTTACTATCCGTTTTCGTACATGTTTAGAGCACCAGCAATGTTACTGCCTCACGAATCAACAGTTGCTCATGAACAACGTTTTATAATCGAACCAGTTCGTTTAAATTCGATCGATGATATGGATAATCAATCGATAAATTCTAATAGGCTGTTAAAAGTATTATTAACAAAATAATTCTTCTTTTTTTAATAATTTTTAATATATTTAAATTTTCAGTCTTTAGAACGTTCTCAAAGTTTGATACCACACATCCGTCCAGAAACGCCCCGTTCAGTTACGCACAATCACGACGAAGATTTTTCTGAAGACGATAGTGACGAAAAATGCAATCTAACACAAAATGGTGAGCCCAAGGAAGTGATTACCATCGATTAAAAAATAGATAATGGTGTCAATAAAAAATACCTTAGAAAAGAATCGCAATTTTTTTTAAAGGTGATTTAAAAAAACAGGAATGAATGTAAACGAGTTTTGCAGTGCCATAAGCGTTAAGGTTTTAATTTATTTGTTGCGATACACAGAGAGTAATATATACCAACTACACTTTTTTAATATAATTAGATTGTTTTTTGTATATTGTGTATTTTTTAATCGCATTTTTTGAGACAGGGTAGACATTTAACAAATAAGAAGTAAATGACTTAGATTATAATGTTTATTGATTAATAAAATTTATTTCAACAGTTTAAAATAAATTTGTGCCTTTGTATCTTCCAATTAGATTTTCAAGTCTTTTATGCCCCTCTTTCAAAACTTTACCTGGAGACATGAGATCTTGTTCCTGATCTTTATTTTTGATATATTGTTTCAAAAATATGTGACTGTTCCATGAAACCTCTTCTTTGATGTACATGGTAAATAACCTTACAATTGGTGGCAATTTTTTAGACTTGGAGAAAATTCAAACACATCTCGAAATCTTTTATGATGTTACTCAATGAAGCCAAGACAATACTGTAAAAATAAATATAGGATAAACCTTAATTATTATCACTTTAAATCCTCTCAATAATATGTGAGTAAAGTACACTGTTTGATATAAAGCATCCTTCACAAAATCGACCCCAATTGATTTTGGTCGATAATAATCAATCGTCACCTTATAATATAAGGTGATGATATTGAAGGCTTTCAGCATCATTAAACCGCGCTTTTATGCGGTACACTGAACTGAATTAAACTGGACAGAATGATATGAAAAACCATATATTAAGTCCACGTACAGTTAACGCCATATTTTCATTATCACGATTATACTCGCCAATTCCCGATTTTCATCCGCGATTATTGAATAGGTAGATTTCCAGGGGAATACCCTGAGAACAACTTTTGATATTATTAACACAATCGAGGTGAGATTCCAATTTATCATAAGAATGCGCCAATAATTTAACGTTTCTTTTAGAATATATACAGGTGTAAGCAACAAAGTACATAAATGGCATTAAGGAGCCGAGATACGCAGCTCGTCCTTAGACAAAAGTTGTAGGAAATTTATCACACTATAAACGGAAAATATTTTTATACAAAAAGTCCATAAAGTCGTACCGAAATAAACATGTTATTTTAAATGAATGATATAGCTTTTATTGCATATTCTGATTCTATGCACAAAACTAAATTGACTTTGATAAGACATGTTGATACCTAATGCTTTTAGTTTTTGAGTTATTTTAATTAGAAGCTTTTATGCCATTCATGTACTTTGTCGCTTATGTGGGACACCTGTATATATGAAAATAAAATAAATTTTAATGTATCACTGTATTTGATTAACAAAATTATAAACAATTCAGTCTTAATAACTAAAATACATTCGAGATAAACTTACCTCATCTTACTTTAGATAATTATAACAATAAAAAGAATATATATTTTAATTAATTGATTAACAAATTTATAAACAATTCAGACTTAATACTTAATAACTAAAATACATTCTGTATTAAGCAAGATAAACTTATCTTTACTTTAGAAAATCCTAACAATAAAAGGAACATTGTCTTCCTCATCCCCTTTATATTCAATTTCCATCATAGAATTTAAGTCTTGGAGTTTTACGCGTAGATTTTCAAGTGCCTAAATCACATTAATTATTAAATTTAAATCAATTAAAAACAATTCATAATTAAATTACCTTCATAACATTACTTGTAGCTTCTTTATCCTTCATTTGAACACGTTTTTTCATCTCTAACATTTCCTGGGATGAATTTCCCACTAATTCAGTTACAACAGAATCATGAACATTTACATTTAACTCTTCATTTTCCGCTTCAATTTTAATTTGGAGAACCCAACCTACTGAATCTGCCACGGTTAATTTTTTTACGACCGATTTAAATTTAGCAAAGGTTTTGAAAGTTCCATGTCGATTCATGGCAATTAATTGTTTTAATTCGGGTAATGTATAAATTTTATCTTCATTTTCATTGTTCCAGGGGGTAAAAAATTCATCGGTTAAATCAGAAATTTGTAATTGAACACTGAGATCATTTTGCAATTTCAAATTTTCGTTTGATTTGGTTTTAATTTTGGTTTCTTGTAATAATTCTTGTTCTATTTCTAATAATTCATCAATTTCATCAGATAATAAATCATCCATTTCATTGTAATCAGTTGTTTTTGCGTCACTTTTTATAGTGATATCATTAGAGGTATTAGTTTGTGTAATTTTTTTATTTGAAACTGATTTTATTTGATTCGGAGTTACTTCTAGTGGCTTTTTATCATTTTTATTGAAGTTAACCTCACTATTTATAGAATTATTTGCAAAATTATTTTGTACATTGCTTATATTCGATGTTGATTCCATTAAGTTTGGTTCTATGGTTGTTATTAATTGATTTATTGCAATTCGATTATTAATAAATCTTGGTTTAGGATTTATGGGCAATTTTAATGATTGTGCTAGCACATTTTCTGCAGCATTTGAAACTAAAATTTCTTCGACTTCACCTCCAAGCAATTGTACATGATGATTTTCAAGCATAATTGTACCTTTTCTTATAGTCACAGGATGATTAATAAATATTTTAATTCCTGGGGATAAATTCAAATTTAAACTATCAACAGGTTTATATTCGAATGCTTTAATTTCTTGAACACCATCAGTTAAAACCATTTGTAGTACACCTTTATTATTAGTAACCTTGTTTTGAGCATTCTCATCTTCATCAAAACCTCTCGTTAAAGCATGATAGTTTCTAATTTGGTTAAGTTGTTGTAATTGTGATTTGGAAATATCTATAATTGACATCATTTGTAATACCAGCGGTTTTTTGGTAATTAATTTTTCGATCTTTGTCACGTCCGGTGGTAATTGGGGTACTTTTACTTTACGTAAATCGAAAATTAACCATTGATCGTAAATGGCTGATTTGAATTCGTTTTCTGTATAACTTGATTTCTCCTCTTTCAACCATTTTATACAACATCCTAACCATTCGTCGGATAAAGGAATGTGTAAGTTTTGAAAATAAGACTTTGTTCTAATTATTTCATCATTTAAAGACATGTTGAACAGAAAAGAAACAATTTTTCGTTATTTGAGGTTATGTTATATATGTGAGGTTATTTTTTATGTCAGTAAGAAGCGCCATCTCTTTTCAATAAGACTCATTAAAAATTTGAATTTAAAATTTTCTATCATTTTTAAGTTTTTAAAGATATCCAACACTTTGTACAAATCAAATTTTGCGTTTACGTTAAAATTTGTATGTGAGGTTATTTTCTATGTTAGTAACAAGCACCACCTCTTTTCAATAAAACTCATTATAAATTTGAATTTAAAATTTAAAATCTTTAAGGATTTCCAACTCTTTGTACAAATCAAATTTTAACTTTACGTTAAAATTTGTATATAATGTTTCAACGTTTTCGACACATTTTGTTTGCGTTCTATTCTTGGAAAACAGGTTAATACAATGGTGTTGTAGGGACATAATTATACCGTTGGAGATGATCTATGCCAAACAAGCAGAGTTCTGGGTATTACGTTGTCGCAATTCGTAATTGGATTGGGTTATTTATCAGCGAAAATTAAAGGGGGATAGAACCGATTTCTGCATTCAAATTAAAAAAAAAAAATGTGCTTATTTTCCATTTTCTGTTTAATTAATTCTCTTTTAAAACAGCCAACGAAAGACGCTAATTAAAGCACACCAAAGTTAATTACGATTTAGAAGTTCAAATCAACAACTTTAAATTGAACTTTTATTTACGGTCTTTATTTAGTTTTTAGTTGCTCATAGAGATTCTGTTACATAATGAAAGTTTTAAAAATGAATGAGACGAAACGAAATTCTTTTTTTCGTGTTTTCTCTTTAAACCAATTAGCAAAAAGTTGGTAATAATAGCAAATGTCCATTTTACCTCAGTTTGTAAGCTCTTAATTTAAAGACTTTCAACGTCTCGTCGAGGGAGATGAAAGGAATGGTAAGACTTAAATTTAATTGCTGTTACTCTAGCAACGTCTTTTTTAAATTTATTATCTCTCATGATTAATTAATGCAAGCTGGCCGTAGATGTGGTGATTATGGCTAAACCAAATCATTTCGGCTATATCTGGCGAAATCAATCACTTTGATATAACGATTTGAGATGAGTATGGTGCATGGCTTAATTCAATAAAATTATTAGCCCACGTACGTCTCATAAACGTGCAGTTGAGAGACTCTGACTTAATGACTGGTAGTATAGTGCGAAAGCAAGTCCAGCGCAGACCATAATAACCCAACTCTAATACAAATATGACACGTGATCAAGCTAACACAACTTCTAACAAACCTAACATAATTCTAAAGCAAACGAACCCAACCCCGAAGCAAAAAATTGGCAAGCCTTGAAAAAGATATCGGATTCTTTTTGACATCTCTAAGAGATTATCAAGCACACTTAAGGGTGTGAGTATGATGATAAGTATGTTTAGCAATTAAGTGATAGATAAATTAGTATTACTATCCAGAGCATAGTATTTGTGGAACCAAGAGTAATCTTGATCATGGATTCTAATGGGAATATAAATGACAATTTTAAAACGTTTTATTGATTATACGTGAAATTTGATACAGTTGTGTATCACGGCATAATTAATCTTGTGGAAAATGTCGAGATTTAGGACAAACTTATTAATTATTTTCAGTAATAAATCACACAAACGAATACATTTTTGACACATTTTCCTTGTTTAAAATCTGGTAGCAGTTGAATTAGTAGTATGTAGTTTTTATCCGCCATAATAATGTGTTTTCTGTTTTAGCAAATTATTTCTAACAAAAATATTAAACAAGTTGCATTGAAAATGGATATGCTATTCAGAAAGTTCTGGAAAGTTCAAACATGACACAACAAAGGGTTGTGAAAATTGTTAGTTAAATAGGTAACAGCCGAAACGAAGTAAACCCGACGTATTTTACTCGCGAATTAAACTCATATTAAACCATATTATAACCACAGAGAATGTAAATTATAACATGGTTATAACCTACATACATGGTGTAGTAGTTGCTACTTGTGATGCGATATCCGATTTGATTTGCATTTATTTTTAAAATTAGATTCAAAATCAATTGAAGTTATTATTTCCGATATAAATAATTACAATAATAAAAATATTCCGATTTTCAATTCAGCGAAATATACCAATATGACAATTGTATTAATGGTATTTAAATAATAAAATTCTATTTTAAAATAATAACACAGCATTAAATAACATCGAATTTTATTTTGTATGTTATGTATGTACTTTTTTATTTGTCAGACATCACAAACAGTTTTTGTTACAAAAAAAATTCTAGTTACACAACAATTATATTACAAACATCGTTATATTTATTTTAAGTATACTTTGGCTGGTTATTTCTTGAGTTTTAACGTTGAACTTTCTTCGTTACTTATCTCAAACCTTTATATTCTTTATCTTCTTTATATGAGCTGTTCAAAATGTTGTCCTTTTTTAAGCAAACATTTTCTGCTATGTTAAAAGTAGTCAGAAATTTAATAAATAATCCTGCAATTTTTACCTCGAATTCTGTCCGGATCAGGATGTTTCCATGCTTCCACAATCCGAAAATTCCCCATTTCCCGTCATAACGAGATCCCCTCTTCGTTCACCGGGAATACCGTACACGGACGAACGATGTTGTCCCGGATTTTGCTGGTTGGGGATGTCGCACGAACGACGAAGTTTCCGGTTACTGAACCGGAAGTAACCACGAAGGCGTTCTTTTGATGGACTATAAACAATATAAATTTCAAATAACAAAATCTAGTGTTAGTTCAATGAAAAATATACAACCATTTAACGCTGAATAACAATTAAAACAAGAACTACCGCCCTTGATTTATAACTGTTGGTTTTTATTTTTGAGCGCAAACATTTATATTTAAATATACTATCCGTTATATCAAGATTTTATTGAATTTTTTTAATGAATTTTATTATAAATTGTTTAATTATATATTTTTAGATTAAAATTTAAGTTTAATCTGAATTGTCCACGCAAATAGCGATCGATGGATTGGCGACCATTACGTGAGAGGTGTTCCGAAGTTTGCCCCGAAGTTGATGGACGTCCACAGATTTTAATTGAAACAAATAATTACGAACCGGGATTAATTTGATTTATTGGCGTATTAGCAAACCCCATTAATTTATTGGTTTGCCTATTTTACGGCGCAATAGTAACTATAATTAGGAAGCGAGGCAAAAATTTATTCGGTTAGTTAAACGTAAATTCACCAATTAATTTATCGATTCATGTTAGAAACTTCGAATATAGTTTAAATTTCGTGTAATTAAAACGTAATTAATTGGTCTTTGTGCAGAAGTTTCCATTGAAACGTATTATAATTAGCCTAATTAAATTGTAAGATCATTTCCGATTTCTTAATCTCGTGTCATTTTCTTCTTTGTTTTTTACTTACCGACTCATTTGCCAGGATGCGAATAAAATCGGGGTGGAGCAAGTATGAAGAAACGCGATCCAAACCAGCATAGTGTAGGTGATATCGAAATGGGCGGTATTCTCGTAGGTTTCGATAAGAGCCAATCGAGCCACCCTCAAGATCATCAACGGGCAAAGAAAAACCGCGTACATGGTCACCATTAAGACCAAATACTTCTGCGTTCGCGTTTCTTTCGGGATATCGAGATCTTCGCTCGATTCTTGTCTAAATCGACTCTCTCTGTAACTAGCCCGGTTATTTCTTGTATAACTATTTCGGCTGTTATCGCTTAAAGTATCGCAATCACCACGACAGTTACTTCTACTAAAAAAGAAAAAAATCGTTGTTTGTATTACATTTAAATTTTTAATTATGAGTTTACGTGATATCGATGGTGGTTGAATGAGAATCGGTCCTAGATCTCCCATTTCGTCGAGTTTCGAATAAAATCACTCCGGAATCCCCTTGTTGTTCCTGCAATTTTCTCGAAACTTTCACGTACAAGTACGAAATTGTTGATAACGGAGCTGCGTACCTAAATTTTAAAAAAAAAAGGATATTATGCAAAAAATACAATTTTCTAAAAGCGAATTTCACAAGGATTTCACCGGGTGCCGAGTTTCAGACGGCAACAAATGGGATTACCGGAACACAGGATCTTTTAAATTGAATTAAAGTGAATTCAACTCGATTTCAGTTGACATTTAAGAGATTCTAATTGCAAATTTGTGATGACAACATAAATGAACCGTATTAAATTATGTTCAATTATTAGAATTAATCTAGGATTATGTTTCATTTTACCTAACACAACAAAACTATCAAATTAATAATACCTTAATATTTGATGTGGTGCAAAACGGAGCGTAAAAAAGATGTTAATTAAAATACGTTCCTAGCAACCTTTGTATCTGTGTAAAATGTTTAATGACGAAGAGAAGTTTCTACATTTTCATTAAAACACAAATATAGGAAAGGATTTCTACATATACAGCGAATTGTTTCGAAGTTTGGATAAATTTTGATGCTCATAAAATATTTGTATGTAATAATACAAGGAAGGAGCAACATTTTATCGTGTGACAGCGCAAAAACTCCTTCAGCAGCAAAAATATCCCAAAGAGACAAGGCTTAAGTGGCATCTAAAAGGTAAACAAGGAATATTCGTCGATTATGGAGAAGATATGAAAAGTTATAAGGTTTATACACCAGAGAAAGAAAAGACTAATATAAAAAAATCATGAAAGATTTAAACTGGATTAAATTAATCGTTTAAATTAAGCTCTAACTCGTACTCTCCAAACTCCTGATATGTCATACACCGCTAGTTGGTAGACCATAGAGAGATAGGGAAATTGCTAATTGCAGATTTATCGATTCATGTGACACTGGGTGGTTCATGTGACACATAACACGCCTTGTGGACACATTTCATCCAATAATCTAAAATTTGGAGTATTATTTAGTAAAACAATTTTAATAAAAGTCGTGCTTTCCAAACACAAACGCGGATCATCATTAAATATTCAAATACGATAGAGTTGAGGGTTCCCACAGTTTAGGAATTACGTGATGACTTTCTGGGATTACTTAGCGGAATTAGTTAGCGCCAATTCTAAGTATTTGTTTTGTGAACTTAGTTTGGTCATTCGCGGTGAGTCGGTGTTTGTTTCCTTAAATGCTCAATTCTGGCGAAAAATATCCGGGGAAGTTAAACAGCAATGTTTTCTTTAACCAAAATAATACAAAGATAAATACTTAATTACGAAGCGCAAGGTAATCACGTGTAATTTAAAATTAATAATACGCCACGGGGTTTAAATTAATAGGGGCCGATCAGAGAAATGTAACGGTGTTCATCGATGCGAAACCACCACTATACAACATCCGACTGCCGTTAAAGGTTGCAAAATATATTGGTGTCATAATTTTGGGATGGAGTTTGTGGGAAAACACATAAAACAAAGTCAGCTGCTACTTGCGATATTGAAGATGAGTGTCAAACAATAGAAACGGAAATTTATCTCTAAGATAAATATAAATATAGTTCAAAATATTTTGGTCTTACTTACATGAAAAGAAAGATTCCACGCATGTACTCTTGCATATCGTCGGTAAAATTTACGATACAAATCCCAACACCGTCGAAAGCTGGAAGATGTTTCTAGAAAAAATTAAATTACTCAATTATTAAAGGTATGGGTTAATGTAACGGAAAAATTGTTTAATTTTTCATCGTGAAAGGCAGGGAAAGGATTTTCAATTAGGGGCCATTCAGTTTTTCCCAGTTTATGAATAATAGAACAAGCGTTTTCCCGTGAGAGAAAATTAAACGAACGGAGCACTTCGGATTTATAAAGCGTGAGATGTTTACGACACAAGTTACTCAATAAAGTGTTGAAAAAGAGATCTTCGCGGATTCCGAAAGGAAGTTATCACATTGAGTAGATTCGAAGAGATAGATACAGAAATGGGGTTTCTTGAGAATCGATCCATACTAAAAGTGTAATAAATCGGCAGAGTTGGAAAGTCTCCATAGTAAATGTCAAGCGGATTATTTCCTATTCAAAGACGTGGAAAGTAACTAGACTGAAAAATCGATATTTATTATATTCTCTTTTTCCCAGGGGTTTAAATTTTATGATGGTGTGTTCTCTTGAAATCCATTAGCGTTTAGTAAATTTAAGCTGAGGTCGATACAACCGAGACCCTCTTTACCCACTTAGTCTTTAGTCACTATGATTAATAACTCAAACCCGTTTTCAATTTTCAACAGTTCATGTTTTCCACTCAGCTGAAACTAAAAAAGTGGGTCAAAGAAAACCGTAATATAGACAGGGATTCGAGTGAAATTTTCATACATCCACAGGTAAGAAATTTGTTGTTGGACAAAAATATACCATCGTAAAATACGACCTTTTTCCTTTCTCTTGTACGTAGCCGGATGAAAAACAAAACGAAATAAAAAAGAAGGATCGATGCCTCTATAATACAGAAAAAAAGTCCTCCCACAAATATCTTGTATGGTGTCTTTTTTCTTTTCGCAGGGAATGATGATTAGATAATTTAAAACAAGGGGAGATGTTTTTCATGTTTTCTTAAAGGAGAAGGAAAACTTATCAAAGCTAAAAGAATGTGTAATAAAAATTTTATGTTTATGCAAATTTACAAAAAAAAACCTTTTTAAATCATATATTTCGTTCCAAATATATTTTAATACATTTTTTTTTCGTATTAAAATTGGAAGTCGGAGAGGGTTTCAAATGTCAATTTCAAACCGGAAGCACCACGATTCGTTGAACGCATGTAGAATAAGGTTTCTACTTTTCCACCGCAAACTCGCCGACTGTAAAATTGGAAAACGATCTTTCACATTTTTTTTTCTCCCGTTTCCAACGGTTACAACTCTTTGTAAATTATAATTTATTATGAAAAAACTTTAAAAAAGAGTTTGCTTTCATCGTTGAAGCGAAAAAAGAGGAGAAAAAAGTAAAAGCGGCAGCTCAAACTTTTATCAAAATTAAATTATCAAAGTTTTGGATTGACTTAATAAAAACTTATTTTAAATTTACTTACCCCTAAATCAACGTAAATAATATAAATCGGATAAGGTAAAACGAGACACAAAGCGGTTAACCAGGTACCAATGGTGCATACAAAAGCTGGTATTCTTGGCTTATTTGGATGTTTAACGTATCTGAGTCGATCCCAGGCCATTAATAGGAATGTTAGTGTTGTGGTATGTAGCGGAATATCCTAAAAAAAGAATAATTTCTCATACAGATTGGTTAAAATAATAAAAATAAACGTGTAATAACAACAACGGGGGATGTAGACAACATCGTTTTCTTTATTGCTATAGGAAAAAGGAAGGAAACGCCAATAATGCCAGTCCCCGTTTTCCACCCCCCGGCAACGCCACTGAACCCTTTAGACACCCTTCGGTTTATTTCTGGTCGTAAATCAAAACGGTATTTTCTCTGGGAAAATCTATTTACTTATTATTTTATTTGCGAATATCTCGTGGGATTTTCAATGAATTTATATTTTACTTTTCTTATTAAAAATAAATTCGATTCTTATAAATAAACATTTTTAGTTGTACTTTCCTACCACTTGTTGTCAAAAACAGTCTATTGCGTGTTCGAAACGCAAAAATACACCAATAAGGGGAGCCTTTTAATTAACCCAGACGCTGCACGTGACGCACAATACTGGACATAAAATAGGAGTGGACGTTTCTGGTCTACTTTTATCGATTTTAATCATTTTTATTTATTAATAACAATCTTACTTAGTGAAAAAGCACCTCGGATTTATTTCGATGATGTCAGATTCGTGTCTAAATTGTTAAATTGAGCGTAAACGAAACGGATTCTCAGCTAACCCCCTTTTAATTTAAATGACAACCTATAAAGTAACCCTCCTCGTGTTGAATTATTCAAGATTCTGACCGGAAAATCGATCGGGGGATAATAAAACCTTAACTTTTTAACGTGGATGTGGTTGTAAATTTAATTTAATTTTAGATGAGTGACTTAATTTATGTTGACTCTTAATAATCGTGTAACAACAGACTTATTTATGTGGCGTGGAAGAATGGTTTTATACACAAGGTTCGTTATTAGCAAACTGCCCACACCTACCAAGTTAATCCTACACTGAGAGAAATAATCTCTAAATAAGCATTATTGTAGGTATATACTATATACCCATATATAATGAACCTATTTACAATCTGGATTCTCATGGTCTTGATATTCGTGATACTTGGAGATTACTTCTTGCGTTCGATTCAAGCGAAATATGTTTGGCCGGATATTAAAAACCTATTACTTAGTACTCCACCATTCACAGGAATTAGTATCTCTTTTATGTGTTGAACTTTATTTACACTGTTGGAAATAATTCACGAGCACACCCTATATAATCTGAACGCGTGAAGATAAATCTATAATATTTGCGGAGCACAAAGGTTTACTGCAGACGAGTTTAATCAGGGAGTTTCGAATTGTTTCGTCGCGGCATTGTTGACTGAGCCACCCTTCCAAGTGGAACATTCCGTCGCTATGGAAACCGAAGTGGATGGAAAATACCGGTTGTTTTTAGTGTGGTGTGAGGGACCACATTGTTATCGTACCTCTGTGCGCAATGGATGGGCGATCGCGTTACTTAAGCGAGTTTGAGCGAGGAATGTTTGTGGGTATGCACATTGAGGGTGTATCGTTCTGTGAAATTGCACATCGTCTGGAGCTGTCGTTATCGGCAGTGCAACGGGCATGGCGAGAATGGTCTGAGGTAGGACATAGGTACCTCCAGCCGCGGCCGGGACGGCCCTGCGCGTCCCCAGCACACGAGGATCGCGCTCTTGTGCTCAGTGCTTTAGCGTCGTGTGTGTCCTCCTCAAGGCAACTTGAAGCTGTTTGGCCACCGGCAGGGGAAGGCGCACTCACTACACGAACTGTACGGCGGCGTTTGGTAGATAGTGGACTGCGCGCGCGTCGTGCGATACAGCGGATTGCAGTAACATCCGAGCACCGCAGCATACGTCACGAGTGGGTCGACGCTAGGCATTAGTAGGTTGTCAAGTACAGGGACATTTGGTTTTCCGACGAATCAAGATTCGAATTGAGCACCGGTGATGCGCGAATTTTAATTCGTCGGAGCAGTGGTGATCGTCTACTCGAGCAGTGTGTGCAAGAACACCCTATCCACCGACAACCAAGCATTATGGTATGGGGTGCGATTACATATAGTGGACGTATACGTCTGCTGCGTGTATAGCAGACCAAGACGCGTCAACGATACGTATATGAGGTGCTACGGTCTGTTGTGCTTCCCTACGTTCGGTGGCTCCCAGGTCTGCTATACATGCACGACAACGTACGACAGCACATCGGGCGTGTTGTACAGACCTTTGTGGAAGAGCACCGTATACGAATGCTTCCATGGCTAGCTCGGTTTCCGCATCTGAATCCGATCAAACATGTTTGGGAAATGACTGGTCGGAGATTTCTACGTTATCCGGCTTCCTCGGCTAACGTTGAGGAGCTATGGAGGCGAGTTGAGGTGGCATGGTTAGCCATCCCTCTTGCTACAGCGACTTATAGATGCCATGCCACGTCGTGTAGCGATGGTACGCGAAGCCCACGGGGGATACTTTCGCTATTGATGTTTCTCCTCCCAGCAGAGTTGTGCCGCTCTCCATGTGAGAGTAAGTTACACTACTGTAGTACTACTTCCATACCAAATTTTATTGCGCTAGACACACGCGTTCGGATTTGAATTATTTCCAACAGTGTATATCAGGCTTGAAGGAATTGCGTAGTTTCTCAATTTCCGTTGTTGTTTGTGGACCAACATTGAAATATTTGTCCAAAGCTTTTTGTTTTGTATCCCTTTTCTCTTTTCAACTCCTGGTAACAACTTACAACTGCGATAATACCACGAAAAACGTTGGTGCTGCCCTCTTTATTCGGATCATTTTGAAGAAAGATGGATATTCCTTGTTCAAATTGCGTAAGTACAATTATCTCGTCATTCGAAAGTGGCTAGCGATCAGCATCCAAGAAATTCACGACATAATTTTATTTCAAGTCCTCAAAACCAACATTTTTTGCTAAACTTAATATGTTTTGTCCAATTTCTGGAAGGAGGAGATTAAGGCTACTTAATAACACAATTGTGCAAAATTTGCTAAAAAATGGTTGATTTCAGCTTATCCCATGATTCGCCAATATTGTCTACAGCATTTGTAGAATACAAACGAAATACCTTAAAAGTAATCACGAGATTCTTAAGTGCACACTGTGAGATAATCAAGTAACTCCACATATCGGCTATGAAAAATCAATTACGCCGCAGAAACTAGAATTTCAAAATCAACCTAAATTGCACAACATTTGTAAACTAAAATTGGAATGGTAAATATTACTGGGTATTTATTGATGTACATATTGCTAGTAATTGCCGATATTTTAATGCTGATGCATGTGAGACCGCGTAATACTTGGTGTTAAAATTGACCGAATATTCCACATCTATTCTACTCTCTACATCTGCTTTGCATTCTAGTCTAGGAGCATCAATCCGTTTTGTTGAAACTTATGGAAAACACGTATCTTTAATTTTCCTTGAAATAAGTTATTAAAAAAATAAATGTTGAGAATTTAATTACAAAGGATGTTTTTTGTTTTGCTTTTAAAGATTTTACGCATTACTTCAACTTTCAAATCATGATTTACTGGGTATTCCTGGTAGGATTCGTGTCGCGTTGGGAAATTGCAATTATGGTGTGGTGCTGAATTCGCAACTCCCCCTCCCACCTGGCCCCCCCCCGAATCCCTCAATACCTCATCGGAATATTTCACGGAGAACAACAGAGGATTTGGACGTTAATAACACGCTGAAAACCGCGCTTTCGGGGTCAGTTAAAAAGAAAAACAAACATGTGAAACCCTGAAAAAACGATAAAAAGTATTTAAAGCTGAAATTCATAAAAAAAGATAGCAAAAAATGTATCCTCTTTAGGATTTTAATTTACGCCCATTCGACCCTTTGAACTTAATTCCTGTCTGTTATTTTTTGGGTAGTTAATTACCTTGGGATGAAAACGTAGACATCTCTAAAGCTATGTAAATTAAGGGTTGAATTTGTTTAATTTAAGTCGTGCATTTCCATCCGAAATTGTGGAAAATTTCGTAGAAAAGTCATTTCTTAAAGTGTTACATGATATCAACCCCACTCAAAGAAGACTTGCGTTTCATCTTTATGAATACGAATCTTTTTCTTCTATATTCCTGCACCCTACGTAACTTTCGTGATATTACTCCATATCTTTGAGCTTGAAAAATGACTTAAAAAGAGATTTATTCGCTATGAGGTTTATTTCAAAAAATAAATTTGAATCTAAAATACCTTATTAATTTTAGGGTTACATCATATATTGATTGAGTGATTGGAGGATTTAATTAATCCGCATGCGATTGTTTGGAATTTGCGAGTTGTAAATAATTCGTATACAATTTCAGGATCGATAATATCCATTTATAATCACAAATTAAGCTGGTTTCCATAAAGGAAAGGGGGGAAACTCGAAATCCAACAACAATCTTTTATAAGGGTTGCTTGTTTGGGTTTAAGCGCGAATTTCAATCTTAATTAAAACCAAGATTGATTTAGATTCTGTTCTTGTTAGGCGGTTTTAACTCCACTTTGAAAAATTAAAGGACTCGATTCTGGTTTAACCTGTCATTTTCCGTTTTGATAAATGAAACATTAATTGAGAACGAAACTAAATAAAGGAGTTTTCGTTTTTGTGATTCAGAGGAAATAAAAGTTTTTCATTTCGTGATATTTTTGTTATTCATGACGTGGATACAAAGTTTTAATAAATGTGGATATTGCATATCGCCGGGGGATAAACTTTATAACATTCGAAAAAAAAATGTTCGATCGCCAAAAAGAATGTTTATTGATATTTGATTATCTTTAGTATTTCATTGCAGCAAAAATTTTTGTACCTACATATAAACCTAAATAGTTTTTCGGTGTACATGAATATTTTTATTTACCATAAAAGCGTGCCACTTAAAAGCTTTTATAACCGAGCGTGATCGTTTCAAGTACATTTTGCTTTCAAACATCGCCAAAGTTGTAAAATATCAACTAGAATTTAATAATCGTATAAAAAACGTTTTATAAACAATATTTTTTGATATATACCAATAAATTTTACACATCAGTGTTTACTCGAGTGATAACGCGACGTATTACGCGTATTACTTTTATAAATAGACGGTTTTATCTGTTTGAATTGCTCCCGATCAATTTTTTACACAGTAAACAATTTCTTGTATAACTAGACATCAAGTTGTTTATTATTAAATGTGCAATTTCCAAAAATTACAATTATAATACCGTAGGGTCATTCAAGACCCCAAGATAAATATAAATTTGAAGACTTATCATTATCAAAGTGCCACATAAGGAATGATTCTATCTCTATATTTGTGTCAAAAGTATGCCTTGATATTTTGCGCTGTCAGCATATGGCACTATAACACTTGGTTGCTGGAAAAGATTGGTATCTTTTTCCAATGATTGACAAAAAATACAATTTAACTGATAAGAATACCAAATAATTGGCAGAAAATTCTTGGTAGTAGAAAATCAGAGGTAGAACTGCAAGCAAAGAATACCAAATGACCAAGTAGAGGTTGATATCAAAAATGTTGCGGGTAATTTGATACGTTGAGCAATACTATAGCTAGAATACTTTTTCCAAATTTTTTGAAATGGGTTGCCCAATAACAAAGTGGGGCCTTATTTGATTTTTGAATAGGGATTAGGATGAATAAAGAATTTTCCAGGAATTCTAGAAGTTCTGGTATCTTCACACTGGATCAGAATTGCTAATATATTCGCTATTAACTATTACTGTGTATTACTGTGTTACAACAGTTTCCATTCCTATTTTCGCTTTTTATACTTCTGTCATTACTAAAGTATCCTCACCGTAACTCCCAATTTATTATAAATAGAAAATATGAATAATATAACTTCAGGTGGAAAAGGTTATAACTAGATTTACGTTGCAAAAAGGTTCGGCAAAGCTCTTGAAATGTAAAAGGAAATGTCATAATACTGAAATGAAGGAATCACTAATAAAATTTCGAGGATTATTAAATGCAGAAAGAGGGGTAAGAGACATTACTAAATTTGCTAATATCATAACCAAAAGAGTTTTCATTCAAACTATTACTAATCCATTTACTTCGCTTTTTAGGATTACATTTCTGTAATTAAATATTCAAAAAAGGACATAGCATGTAGGCTTTAACATTGGTTTTTAATTTCATCGACAACCCGAGAACATTCATCGTCCCACCAACCTAGTTAACAATTTTTTTTCAATAAATTGATTGAAATCGACAAAATGTTCAAGTAGAATCGCTTTTTAAAAAAAATCACAACAGCAAATCAATAACTGCCTGAAAACTGATAAATGGTGATGTCGGCAACAAAGTGGAAGTTTATTTCAAAAGCTCATTGTACTTTACTTATTAAAAGCAAATCAACCAGCCTTGCACATCATTTTCTATCACTTCAATCATAAATATTTGAAATCTTTACATATTTTAGTTTTCAAGAACTGATTCCATAAAGGATTGGGTGTTTAAATATGCAAAAATAATTGTTCTTAGATGGTTTGCTCTAAGGTTAACGTTATTTAACGTATATATTAGAAAATAGTTTGGAAATATTTTAAAGAGTTCACAAAATCAAGGATAGAAGCTTATGGGAAATAAAGAGAATGGAATTCCAACATGTGAGAACTTCAAACAAGTGTAAATAGAAACGTGTTGAAAAGGACAAGAAAATTAAAGTGCTGGTTCAAGAATTCAAAGGATGCTCATCTGATATCTGGCAACCGTCGAGGTATCTAAAAGTAGTTGGAAAATAGCAAAATTTAGATGCGGAAACGTGAAAAGTTTTATAAGAATTGGACTAATTAAATAAAATTATTACACTTATTCGATTTTATTTTCCTTTTCTTGAATTATCTAGTTAAAAATTCATCTGAATAATAAAAAAAAAGTTTTTTTGGGTAGTAATGAAATAAATAGAAGGGAAATCTAAAAGGTCCTTTTGTGTTCTAGTTACAAAGTCGGCTAACTCCTAAATTTACATAAAGCCCCCCCCGAGAAGAGCTGCCACAAACTTCTCTCTTTCTCTTAACCGCTTTTCCGACCCCTTCGTGACCGTTAAATGCTCTTCAGGAGCAGAGAGATAAGAGTTTTTTGTTCGTTTCCACATCCCAACAATAAGACCACGTACCATTTTACGACCTCAACTTGTAACAGTCTTTCTGAATCCTCAAAATCCAATTATTAATAAAATCTTACCTGTAGCATTGGTAAAAAGGAACAAAGTAATTCCCCGAGATTCCAATTTTCTACTAAAAGTACGTATAATGTTATGGGTAAAACAGCGATACACTTAACGATATCACTAACAACATTGTTAACGATAAAACTATATGTGGGATCTGCGTAAAGTCTATGTCTTACAATATGAAAACCGACCGCTAAATTTGCCGAAACTCCAACGATTATTAACAAAACATAAATGCAAATAATCGATTGATAAATGTTGACAACGGAACTCCTCACGTGTGGAACCGTTACATCGTTACCTTCGACATGGGCGCCGATCAAAAACTCAATTATAACGTGCCTTATGTTAACCGGAATATCGTCGAAAGGGTCTTTTGTCGTCGATAAAATGTCAGTCAAAGTTTCGTTATTATTCATGGCGATTTAAATTCTATCAAAAAAATAATGTAAACATTTTATATTTAAGTTTTAATCTTTTAAATTAGTTTTGCGCGTTTTTGCAAGCTCTAAACACATCCGAGTTTCGCGGATTGAAGCGACAAACTGAAACCGCTTTCAGCGAGAGCTTTCAGAGAGAACTTTTGGGTTGGGTTCGAAAGCGCTTGCGTTTAAATTGAAGGACGAAACCCTATTTTTTATTATTTTTTTTTTATTTATTCAAATTTTACTTTTGATAACAATTTATAACAAACAATCGATCCGATTATCGCCGGAACGAATGCAAAAAACATCACAGATTCTTCACCAAAAAAATCACCAACAACCCCCGACATTAAAGGAGTAAAAAATCTCGAAATAGACATAATACTATTCGAAGCACCTGATAATGACCCCTTTTCTTCCTTTCCCGATTTTGTTAGCATCATTTCCATGCTAACGATTCGAACTAAAGCGGTTGTAATTCCAAATGGAACCAGAAACGTGTAAAAAACAATTAAATTTGGCGCCAGGTAAAAACCCAGACAGGAAATTGAGAGGATTATGAATGAATGAAAAAGTCTTTGCAAACAATTTGTGTCATTTTTATAAAAAGTTTCTGTAATCCAACCAAGTGTTAAAGATGTTAAAACACCAATGATACTAAAAAATGAAATTGTGTAACCAATGTAAAGCTGTGAAAGATTGTGCTTTTCTTTTAAATATAAAGATTGGTTTGAATGGAAAAACGATGTGGTTATTCCAAATAAAAATCGGATTAAAAACGCATCCCAATAAATTTTCCAGTTGATTTTTTTAAGAATTTCCACAGATTTCTTCATCTCCAAATTTATCCCTTTAATTAAATCGAAAAGATTAACTACTTTTTCAGATTTAAATGATCCTTTTGTACTTGGCAAAAAACATGTTAAAGCTGCAATTAAAAAGTTCAAATTTTTATATCAAATCAAATTAATAACTTACTAATGTTAATTAAAAATAATCCAGAAGTTATCCAACAAACGTACATAAAACCATCATTTAATTCTGAAACATGACCCCCTAAAATAGGTCCAATAACAAACCCCAACATTCCTAAACCACTTGAGCGACCATACGCCTGTGCATGTTCATTTTTTGGTAACAAATCAACAATTAGAGCTTTACACAACGTTTGGGTGTGTTTAAATCCTCCCAAAATAAATCGGAATATAAATATTAAAAAAACCCAACTAGACAAACCAATTAAAAAATAACAAACCATACAAATAATTAATGTTAATATTAAAACCTGTTTTCTTCCCCGTAAATCACTCCAACTACCCTAAAACCATCTGGTTAAAAAGATTTTTGTTTTGTTTTCGTTTGTTACTATTAAAGGTCCCGCTAAAACTTGCAAAGCTGAATAGGTCGAACCCATTAATCCTATCGTAAGGTGCGAAGCACCTAGGGATCGCAAATGGGGTTGTAAAAGTGGAAACATTAAACCTATCGCGAATAAATCCTATGAAAATAGTTAAAAAATAAAGTTTTAATGGAAGGAATGCTAAGGATGGAAAGGAACTTACCATAAATGATATTCCATATACAATAAATAAGTTGTATTTGTTTGGTTTCATTATTAAAATAAATTCAGATGAAAATTTTGAGGTTATAATTGATCGTTGACGTAAACAGTTCCAAATTAACGTGAAGTTGGATGTTTCAAATATCTTTTAAAAATTATTAAAGTATCTTCTATATATTAAACATATTTAAATTTATTTAATTCACATTTAAAATTTTTTAAAGGAAATTTATTTATTTATAATTAATAATTAGAATTATTTAACAGGATGACGTTTTAACAATTAGCGTGAAGTTGTTTTTTCAGTAAATATTTTAGAAACTATTTGAAAAATTTTACATTTATTTGCAAATAAATATAATTGATTATAATTTTTTCAATATTTGAATTATAAAACAGTTAATAATTAAAACGTTCCATTTTCTAACAATTTCAGTATCAACTAGTCTGAAGTAAGCAAAAGTAAGTGAATGTCAATCATAAAATTGAAATCAAACTTAAGCACAAATATCAAGATTTTTTTAATTATTACATAAATTTGTTTACAATGACGTAAATTAGATTATTATCGCATAAATAGAAGATAATTTAATATAGACATTGGTATGATATGAGTTATTAAGAGGTGAAAGTTGTAATATCAAATAATTTCCAAAATGAAACCACACATAACCTCACTTTTATATGTTATATCTTTTCTGGTGTGTTAAATTATTTTTGTGTAATATTTAATTAAAAAGCTATGTTTTAGGATTCAATATGCTACGGTTTAATAATGCCAGTTTTACCCATCCAGATTTTAATATTGGGTGGAAATCACACGATTTTGGGCTTTCATGCAATGCTCCATATAAGTTTTCAGTTATTTTCGGCACCACTATCAGTACGTATAATCTTTATTACATCAAGAAATGTTTTAGAGAATAATTTCAGACCTTTTTGAATAATTATCTTGGAAAAAAATTAAATTTAAAATTGTCCTTGCTACTGGGTGTTATTACAAGTATTTTAATGGGAATATATCCTTCTTATACAATAATAATAATATTAAGAGGAGTTTATTGTAAGTTGAGAAATAATGTGAAAAATTATATTAGATTTAATATGTTTTAGATTTGACCAATCAAACTCAATGTGCGATTAAAGCGTTTAATTTGGATCAAAATGCAATTTTAAATATTTTAGGTATTTTTGGGTTTATATTAGGACCGATTTTGGGTGGATATATTTTTGAGACAGCTACAGGATTTTATTTGTTATCACTTTTAACTGGTTCTTTTTATCTGATTTCTTTGATTTTATCCGGTTTTCTTCCATCAACTCCAGAAAAGGATTCAAAAATATCATTGAAAAATATCATTTATGAAACATTCCAACCTTTAAGTAATATCCAATTAAAAAACATTTTTTTACTTCGCTTTTTAATCACGTTTGGTTTAACAGTTTTTTTTACAAAGTTTCCTGTGTTGTTAAAAGTTCATTATTTGTCATCGCATTCGCAAGTTGGGTGGACAATAGCCTATCAAAACTTCGTTCTTTTACTTTGTTCGTTTTCGTTAAAAATTTTTGAAAAAAAGTTAACTGTAAAAAACTTTCACAAACTGAGGCGATTTTTAAGTGTTTTGGCGATAAGTTCAACTGCTATTTGTTTTGCGCCAACTTACGAAATGTATTTAATCGGTTTCGTTTTTATGGCATTATCGAAAGTGCTTGTTGATTCAGCGTGGAAAGAAATTGAGGATAATTTTAAAATCGATAATTTAGTTGGTGATTTAAAAACTGTTAACACGTTGAGTAGTGTTATTGCTCCTGTTATTTTGGGAGTTCTATGTGATATTTATTTACAAAATGCTGTTAAAATGCTCACAATTATTCCGTTAGTTATAGCATCGGTTTTGGGTAGTTATTATTATGTGGGAAGTGTAGATGTTGCTCAAAAAGGGGTTAATAAGAAAGAGAAAAAGGAAAAATAGTTTTATTTTAAGATTATTTGTATCAATTTACTTATTCATTAAATAAACTATTTGTTCCCCTTTTAATAATAAATTATTAGTGAGTTTATTTCTCATTTCTGCCTCAAGAAAACACAAAGTCCTTCCTTTTTTGAATGTTTTAGTTTCAATTAGAATCTCATCCCCCAAACGTGTTGGCTCTAAAAAGCTATAAATCCTTTCTTTAATTTTTTCATATAAATTCTTTTATTTCACCTTAAATGTAGATCAAGTGAAACATAAGTTAATTTTTTTTCGGATGTTGATTGTAAACCAATACCAGTTAAAACATCTATAGCCGTGGCTGAAAAGCCATCATGAAGGTTATCGTATTCGTTTACATAATCCTCAGTTACCTTAAATTCTGCCTTTAATGACCCGTTTTTTACAGAAATAATTTTAATCTAAAAATAGAAAATTTTAAAACAATTTTAACTAATTTAAAATTGATACTTTATCTAAAACCATATTAAAACCTTTCTTAACTAGCAGAAATCTAGGTTCCATTTTACACCTTAAGCTGGAAACGTTTTTAAATGTAAAAGTAGATTAATATCTGAACTTTGAAATTAAATAAATAATTTAACATAACCTCAAATTGAGTTCAAAGAAAATTGTTTGGTGTAATGTTGGTTGCCTATACATAAGTCATCGTCATTATTGGCACCAAAACCCATTTTTAGACATTCTTCCACCTGATTCCATGTTTTCTAGATGGCCAAGTCACCTTTACCTATTAATTTTGATGGATTGTACAATAATCGGTTCTTCACAATAAAATTATAACGCCTTCTCCATATTCTGTTATACCTATATTCCAGTTTTTTGAGAGTTTTAAGTGCTTCCAGATTAGCCAAGATAGGTAGTATGGTGGACCAGAACCTCCCCAATTCTTCCATTGCTTCCTCCCAGTATAGCCCTGCATTTGCGTCTATATTCATCAATGTCTTGCCATGCTCTATCCATTTGTTCTTGTAGTTTTGCTCCTAGTCCTTGTTCAAATTTTCTAGTTAGCTCAAGGTTTTTGAGAGCTTCCAAGTTGAGGTTGTCCTCTCTTTGTCCTTTTTCTTTTTTAACATCAGATATTCTTGCTCTTATTTTTGATTGAACTAGATAGTGGTCTGAGTCTAGCTACAAGCACATTCATTGAGGCATAGTTTCCAATAGCATTTTTGCGTTAAAGTCTTCCAGTATTACCTTTATGCCGTTTCTTGGGTTTCGTAAAATGCCTTTTTTTCTTCATGTTTTTTTCCGTGGGTGGGTTATTAGTCTTATTATGGAATTTTTGTAACCATCATATTTTTCAGAGAACGTGTCGTTGGCCTGTTGTTCAACCTCCATCCTGAAGGACCACAGACTTTTCTTTCGGGGTTTCCATTCCTTAACCGATCTATACCGAAATTTGAGAGCTCACCCAGGCGGTCACGCGATTATTGGATATTCGAGGACGTGAGAGTAGGCAGAGCTGCTTGGGAGCCTATACACAAGTAGTAAGTTTTAATCTTAATAAATCATTAAGGATTTTTTTATTGTGGTTTTAAAATTGATGACACGAAATTCCACATCGTATGAAAATTTATCGTTTTATAGCGTGTGTGCGATCTAGAACTTCCACGAAAGTACTTTTTAACCCGATACCAAAACGATCTATTACCCGTTCGCTTTTACTCGCGCGCGTGTTCGCTCATGTGAACAACAATTACTCACTTAACAGTATGGACGAGCTAAGAACAATTAATTATGTCGGGGAATGAATTTGTAAAACGACAAATTTAAATAATAATTTATTCTAACTTAAAAGTCCACTGTCGTATAGAACGCAGTTGAACTTGTATTCAATGTTCTTCTAACATAAACTTCAATTTCATAGTTTCTTAAACGCCACATGTACATCGCCAAATTAAGTGAATGTTTAAAAATATTTACTTCATCTGTATCCTAAAAAGTTAGTTTTTTTAACAGATTTGTTGGAGAAAATCTATAACTTACTTCAATATCATTTTTTATAGCATCATCTTCACAATATTTAAAGTATTTAATTTCCTTTATAGCTTTACAAAATATTTCATAAGACTCTTTATTGGCACATAAAAGACTTTTTAATACCGATTCAGATTTTACTTGAAGTTGATAACAACCGTGATCACTACAATTTAACCTAAATAATAAGAAAAACCAAACATAAATTCAATCTTGCAAAAACAACAAGAAAACTCACAATATATCAACTTTCATTTTTTGTTTTTCTTCATCATAAACAATCAACCCTTGATCAACAGAAACTGATTTTAATTGAAACAAAAAAACTATATCAAATGGAAATAATAGTTCATCCTCTACATTACTCACATAATGCATTTGTTTCACCTCTTGAAAATTTTTATATAAACTGTGCCTAAAACGTTTTATTTTAAATAGTTTTAAAAACAAAGAATACTTGTATCTACAAATTTGCTGGGATTATTGACGGGGTGTTAAATTCGACAAATTCAAAAGTTGTCAATGGTGTGCACTTAAAATACGTTTTACTTTGAGGTCGCACTCTATATATGTTTACAACCATACCAGGGATTAAACCAAATGGATAAAGATATCTATTAAAATCGTTTAAAAAAATCCTAACACTCGCTTCATTTTGTTTAAGAACAATAACTTGCGTCGAATCACCTTTAAAATAAATATCTTAATATAATTTTTGTAATTAACTTTGTGGTTGGTTTACCTGGTGTTCCAAAAGGTAATTGATATCGTTTTCCACCATAAAACGATTTTGCCAGGTTCTTAAAAAGTTTTTGCGCTATTAACCCCGTTATGTTAACATCATCAGTTTTTTCTCTAACATATGTAATAGCTTCTTGAACATTTAATAATTGTTGAGATAAATTAGAAAACGATTTAAAAACGAACTTTGTTGTGGATTCTTTAAATATAAACCCATTACGGTTATAAAGTCTATTAATTTCCCTCCATTTATATGGTTGTCTAAAATGTTATTTCCCTTTTATTTTACTCACTTTAAAAGTTCAATGTGTTAATTAATTATCGTAAGTATGCAACCAATATCACAGTATTGGTATTGCAGTACCCATACTGTGATATTGGTTGCATACTTGCAATGATGACATCGTGTACAATAATTAATTAACACACTGTATGTACTTACAAAGGATATTTATGTACGACATCATATTCACAATTAATAGATAATAAAGGTCTCACTTTTAGTAATTCATTAGAAAGTATGATAAATATTTTTCCTAGTTTGTTATTATGAGCTTCAATCCAACATTCTTCTTGATCTGTTTGACCCTTTAAAACCTGTGAATTAAATTAATTTCAATTTTAAAGGGAAAAACTTTCAGATCACCTTACCGGACCAATATGACTTAAGTTAACTATAATTCTATTTGATACCACCTTAAAATCATTCACGTCATCATTTGCAACATTCGAAATTAAATTTAATGGAATAATATCATCACTATTAAGAATTACACAAGAGATCGTTTCCTGATTTGGTACATTAAAAATTTCAGCAATAAGCAAAGTTTCTTTAATTAACACAAAATGATTAATATACTTTTTAATTTCATTATTTTTGAATATAAAAACGGGTACATTCCATTGCGAATCTACAAGCATAGGAACCCCAAACATATTGTTGATTTTTAAAAATCCAATAATGTAATTGTTAAGGTTTTTTTGATTATCAAAACGTTCTTTGTGAAAGGTATAAGTCCATAATGGAAATGATTGGTATCTAATATTGGTGTTATCAACTATTTTACAAGCACTAATTGGTTTTAAATTAAACCGATTATTATTAATTATTAATGTTTCTTTTAAAACTTGTAAAATTATGTTTCCATCTCGAACATCGAAATATTCATTAAACAAATTTCTGTGTTGTTTATACACTTCCTTCATATAATCTTCATCTAAGTTATATTTTATTATTAAATCAAGTAAATCATTATTGTATTTTTCTGTTATTATCGGAAACTCAATCTGACATTTATCACACAATATTGGATATTTCTCCTCCGTATCATGACATATTTTAATTGTAATTTTGTAATTTGGTGTAAAAAAGGTTTTATTTGCAAGTACCCATTTTGCTGCATAAAATATATTTGATTCTCCTTTTATTTGAAATGATAATAAATCTTCATCGATTGAAGAAATTTCACCCTAAAAATATGTATTTTAATGATAATTATTTATAATTAAATGATATTCTTTTTTAATTACCTCATAAACATTAATTGGCATTGTAAAAGAATATAACTTTAAACTTAACCTCAAAATAATTTGAATGATATAAACTTATACAACATAGGCAACCAACACTTCACCTTAATAAATTTGGTGGTCTATACCAAAATGTTTTCTTTTTTAAAGATTATTAAAATATATTAAATTTGTTATAAATAAATAAATAATAATAAAGAAAAAATGATAACAAATAAAGAACAATAATTAATAAAAAGAAAGGAGTAGTAATTCGCCTATATTAATTAAAATGGTTTAGAATCAATTCAACCGTTAAAAGATAAGATTAAAGATTTTATTGCCACCGGGTTCTCTTTGGAAAGCTTCAAGGGAACTTTATAAATCACTTCCTCAGTTTCTATATTACGGTAAAACAATTCCAAAAAAGAAAACATTTCCGTTTTTAATTAATCATTATTAATAAATCATTTTTTGATTCGATAAACTTCACCTCGAAACGTACACTTTATGGAATGCGGATGCATAAGTGCTTCTAAAGAGGTAAAGATTGACCCCGAAGGTCACGCGATCTTCCGAGGGATGTTAACCGACGTTTAAAAGACGTCCGCAAAGATACGCGCTTCCTACCTATTTAGTTAAAGCCAGAAAGCTATTTAGATGGACGTCCAGGAGTTCTTTGCAAAAAAATCTTCTCTGAAGACTTGAGCTATTTATAATGCTTAACTAACGTGTTCTATATATGATAGGAGGTTGAGAATTTGAAATAATATTAAGGAAATTCTCATTTATTTTAAAAATTATCTCAATAAAAGTTAAAGGAGCCACAAATAAACCAGCAGATAATGGCGAAGTGGCATAAACGATGGTAAGAATACACATATTTATAAAGATCTTATCGGTATGGTACTGTCATGGGCATTCTACTGATTACTACATATCGCAAGCAAAATCACCGGCCATGGTAGCTGATTTGGATGTGATCATCTTTCATTGTGCTGAATTCGTGGAGTCGAAAAGTAAGTGGCACACTTACTGGCAGAAAAGAGTCAGAGCGAGCTTAATGTGTCCATGAAAAAAGTTCCACAGTGCATCAGGCCGCCTATGATAGTTAAAGAACTTGCAGAGAGGAAGGAGAAGAGAGGAGAAATTTTCATTTCCTTCATTTCTAATAGTGCACAAAAACTTATAAATTGCCTCTTTAGCCAATACAAATGTACATGAAAGCTGTATAATGGCTTACGAAGCCACTCTTTAGCTGTATAACAAGGTGTTATGTTTAAAATATTTTACACTCATCGTTGTTATAAACATTTTTAAGATTGTAAATTTTTTATACACAAAACGGTTAGTACCGGATGGTTCAAAATGGTCAGTAGTAATAATAATAATAGTAATAGTACGAAATTGCATTTACAATCACCCGCGGTGTGAAGTGGTCAGCTTGAGTCCGGGACACCTACGCGTGTTTCTCATTTATTGTTATTGCCCCCCTCTTGATAGGAAAAACGATCAAAACGATTTAGAAAGAAAAAAAATTGCAAAACGAAGAATAATAATAAAATAAACGTCGCGAGGTGGCGAAGAAAAAGTTTATTAGTGCCGTGTCTGGAAGCCGTCGCCGTCGCCGTCGCGGTCGTTGTCTCTCGGGGTCTCTCCTAATCACGAAACTAATTATTACAACGACACCTTATAGAAAACGGTTCGCGTCGGTCGTTTCGCTTATCAAACTGCCATTTCGCAAGTGTAAAGTGCTGCTGTTGCTGTTGCCCGTCGTCACCGTCCCGTGACCCCTCTATTTCTTATCCGTTCCTATTAATTCAACACCCCGCGTTTGTTGTTACGTTAAATATAAAATAAATCTTTATGAATCACACCTAATACACACATGAATTAACGTTGCAATCATGTTGAAATGTTACGAAAGTTTCGCGAAAAGGTTATTCTCACCTTAATTGGGAACCTAATCAACCTTAAAAGATTAATTAATGAATATAATTTTTAAAAATCCTTTAATTTGATACCAAATATGATTGTTTCTGTTATGTCAAAAATGACAGCTGTCAAATGAATTTAATCGAAAAATAGATATAGTTGCTCACAAAATTGAGTATACCGGGGAATGGAACTTTTCCAACAATATTAACAATAATAAGAAATGATATGAAATTCACGCTGTAAAATTGAGTATACAGTTAAGCAAAAGTGATTAAGTTTAGGTTGGTATTATGTTTTAATACGATGTATAGTTCATTTTTTTCTATACTCTGTTTTTAAACCAGGAGGAGTAAACGCGAAAGTCAGATTTACACTAGGAAAAATCACCAGAAAATATCACTAGATATTTTGGCGGTAAATTTAAATTAATAATTATTATTATTTATTTATTTACTTATTATTGTATTTATTTTCGTTTGTTATCGTCAACACTAAACATACAAATTAACATTGAAGTTATGAGTGTATTTATTTCAAAATATAATAAAGAAGGGTTTAAGAACACAAAATTTACAATAATGACACGAAACTGTCGAATTGTCAATAACCTAACCTTCAAATTCAAAATTGCCTGTGTGTGAACCTTCCTCGCATTCAACCAATCACGTGCAAGGTCAATCTGGTGACAAATTTAAAATACTCCTCCTGGTTTAAAAACAGAGTATAATTGCCAAAGAAAACTTCAAGGTATAATTAATGTTTGTAAACAAAACTAACCTTACCTAACATTCAGCGTCTGAAGACACAGGGCTAAACCCGAAACTTAAAAATATACAACTTAGCGCTGAATAACAATTAAAACTAGAACTAACACTTGCACTAGAACTATACTCTGTTTTTAAACCAGGAGGAGTAAACGCGAAAGTCAGATTTACACTGGAAAAAATCACCAGAAAATATCACTAGATATTTTGGCGGTAAATTTAAATTAATAATTATTATTTATTTATTTACTTATTATTGTATTTATTTTCGTTTGTTATCGTCAACACTATACATACAAATTAACATTGAAGTTATGAGTATATTTATTTCAAAATATAATAAAAAAGGGTTTAAGAACACAAAATATACAATAATGACACGAAACTGTCGAATTATCAATTACCTAACCTTCAAATTCAAAATCAAAATTCAAAATTGCCTGTGTGTGAACCTTCCTCGCATTCAACCAATCACGTGCAAGGTCAATCTGGTGACAAATTTAAAATACTCCTCCTGGTTTAAAAACAGAGTATATAATACCTGTCAAATTGTTGTAAAGTTGACAAAATTAATAGGGAGTTTTGTTTTATCATGTTTTGAAGTAAATATATGTCACATTGACGTTTGAGCTTTCATTATTCAAAAAGCAAAGGTGCATAAAAAGTGTTGTGGGGTGTTTATTTGCCATATATTTACCTAGAAAAGGTATTTTATTTTATTAATTACTTTGTAGCACGTTTTTACAACAAATATGTACTTCGTGAAAATCGTATTTACCTAAAAATGTATTAGTATTTTAACCTCAACTAAATAGTTACTGAAAATGTTACTAAAACCATGAAAACAACATAAATTTTATAAGGGTCCTAGATAATACCAACAGAAACCCTAAATAATTTACATTGACAAGTATTATAGAAAAAAACGAACTATAGGTCCTGCAGTGGCGTCAAGTATTAAGTATGTAAGTAGTATCAAGTAAGTACAATTTCGAGAATTATTGACAATGACTTTAGAAATGAGAAAACTTTATATAGCTATATTCTGCAGGTAAATCCTTTAGAGATATTGGTAAAATTATTGGAAGACCTCATTCCACGGTACAAAAAATTGTAAACAAGTGGAAGTATGAAGGAACATTGAAAAACTCGGATATTAATCCTATTCAACATTTATGGAGAGAAGTTAAGTTTTAGCACTGAATTTCGTGAGCAACTATATTTATTTATTCATTAATTATTTGGAATTCTTAATTGTGAATTATTTAGTTTAATGAAAATTGTAATTAAAAAATGTTTTTGATAAATCAATTTTTGTCTTAGAACGTATATTAAATAAACCGAGACACGGTCAACGCCAATAACGATCAATTTCTCGTAACGTTTTACTCCTCGCGCATCCGGTTGCGTTTTATAAATAAACGGTACGGCTAAAAATGACGCTAAAATAAATAGCGGTTATTTAAATTGTTAATGGGCCGATTAACGTGTGCGAGCTCGCTCGCTCACTCTCGTTCGGTTCTCGAAGAAGAAGATGCGTTTTAAGCGAAATGCGATTCGCGTGCACATCCGGCGCGCACTATTTGCGTAATATGTGCTAGTCGTCTTTTACTTTTTTCCTTTAAACTACCTAGTACTACTACCTTTTATTACTTTATTACTTTTAATTTTCTTGTTCCATCTCTCTTCTCTGATCTCTATCTCCTTTCTTTTTTTTTCTTTTCGGCTTTCTTGTTGTAGAACGTCGTTCACCATCATTTGTAACGCCGCCGTTCAGTTCGTTTCGTTCGGTTACGTCTAATGATGTATGTAATGCGCGTACGGTAGCCCAGTACAAACCGGTAATTGAAGATATATGCCCGTGTACCTTCGCTTGTACGTACTTGTACGTAGTTACTACTACCAAACACTTTATACATTCACGTCCTCCAACTCTTTGGATACCAATTTTCAAACAATAATTTGTTTTAAGAAAGAAAACACATTATAACTTTTTATTTTTCCAACTTTTGGGAGTTTTTTCACCTTTACAAGACCTTCGCAATAAGTTATTTCTACGACGACGAAGAAGTGTAAGAGAAGCACTGACCCGTGGGGGCGCCGCCGTCGCTTCGGTAAGCCGACCTTATTGTAACATTGTTACTGGGGTAATTTATGTAAACCCGTACTCGTCTCTTCTCTCCTTGGCGTCCTAGCGGGGTCGGCTATGAATAATTATAATCATAAATTTGCCGCGAAACGCGATACTTATTCGTCCTCTATGAGTTCTGGAGGCGAGCTTAGAACCTGGGGCTTTGTACCCCCGGTGAATTATCGGCAATAAAAGCGTCGACGCCGACGACAAGTGACAAAATT